TACTGTGTCAATATGATAAAGGTTCCATCTATAAGATTAGTAATATATTAATAAATAATCTATATAAAAGATTTATTCAAATTGAATAAGATTTAAGAAAGTTATAATTAATCTAATTTATAAAATATTAATAATTTGAGATTTATATTCGAATTATTATATTTATATATAACTTTATTTAATATCATATAACTATTGAATATTATAAATTTACTCCCGGTGAGCCACTTTATAGATTTAGTTGCACTGGTACCAGTACTTCATCCCATTCGCCACCCATTCCACCCCTCACTACGTCACCCCACCATTTTCAACCCCGCACTTACGATTTTTGTCAAAGCTCAAGCTTCATCCCTTTCAACATCCATTACCACGTGTACATTTTGTCCCAATATCAATATCAATATCGATCATGCCTTGGATATTTCACTTGATGAAAGGATCAACACGAGATTATTGAACATTTACAAACCTACCCAGTAGGTCTTGAAATCATCTCACTTTTGCTCATATACAACGACGAGAAGATATCAATCAAGCTACCTCGAACCTCGAACCATAGCCGAGCTCACAACTAGATTGATTTATGATCAAACCACTCAAGGTATCAAAATACTGCAAGAACAAGAAAGATACCAGCGCATGCAAATCTCCTGTTTCAAATTTCGAATCCTAGCACTCCTCTTACCAGTAACCTTTCTCATATCCGTAAACAAAACCCCACCCACAAACGCGGCCCTTACTCCTCATTCTTCACAACCTCCAACAAACTTCACCCTGTCACCCTTTCACCTCCGAGTCCGCACATATATTCAGCACTTCGCGTTCGCGCACATAAATTGTATAGGAGCGAGACGAGGAATATTATTTGATAACAACAGCAACAGCAACAGCAACAGCAAGATGGCATGGACATGTTCGGGTCGCACGAATGCGGAGTTGATTACTAATATGTGGGATGCGAACTTGATACAGAGTGAGAGGGTGAGGGATGCGATGATTTCTGTATGCTTTCCTCTTTCGATTTTATTATCTATCTTTCCTACCTTTTCACCTCGCTTTCCCACTGTTCTTTCCATTTCCCATGAATACAAAAATCCAACTAACAACCCAAAAAGATAGACCGCGGCCACTACACTCCCTCTCGCCATCTCGCCTACGAAGATTCCCCCCAATCCATCGGCTTTTCTGCCACAATTTCCGCTCCTCATATGCATGCCTCTGCTCTCGAACATTTATCCCCATATCTGGGAGAGGGGAAAAGAGTACTGGATGTAGGGAGTGGAAGTGGATATCTAACCGCTGTTCTGGCAGAACTTGTATTTCCATCCTCTTCTTCGCATTCCTCGAGTCAGGTTCCTGGAGAGGTTAGAAGAAGTAGGGAGATGGGAAAGGTAGTGGGATTGGAACATATACGAGCATTGAAAGATTTAGGAGAATTCAATATGCGGAAGAGTGAAAAGGGAAGAAAGTGGTTGGAGGAGAAAGTAGAATTTGTGGTTGGGGATGGTAGAGAAGGTTGGATCGATATAAATGGGGAAGCGGATTGGGATGCTATACATGTTGGAGCTGCAGCGAAGGAAATTCATGAGGCGTTAATCGAGCAGTTGAGGTGTCCTGGGAGGTGAGTTTTACGACTTTTACTTATCTACATCTACGTTTCTGGGGAATCTGTTATCCACAGACCTGACAATTAACCAACCAACCAAAACAGAATGTTCATACCAGTCCAAGACTCCAGAGGATCAGGCCAACATATCTGGGTAGTGGATAAAGATCGAGAAGGAAAAATTTCAAAGGAAAAATTGTATGGAGTGAGATATGTTCCGTTAACTGATGCGCCGGGAATAGTGTAAACGAAAAGTAGGGACGCGAGGGCGAGGGCGTGGGAAGTTTCGTTGCTGTGAATTTTTATTTATTTGGATGGATACCCTTTTGGAGTAATAGCTAGGATAACCTGAAAGGTGTATTGGGACTCTCACCTCTCAATTTGAGCAAAGTTGTAAGAAACTGGGGGATATGAAGGGGTAATAAATAGGCGATAGTTATGCGGATGTATTTATGTTATTATTTTGAAGAGAACTATATGCTTTTTTAAAACCTCGTCTCAACCCATTATGATATACAAGACACTCGACTTGTGATCCTCGAAGGTAATGAATAGGCAGGTAGATAATAGATACATGATGAAGATGTGTTTCTTTCCACTTTGAAGAGATATATCGACGGGCTTATTAAATTGATTCGAAATTATAGATGATGTGATATTGATATGATACGAAAGACACTTGTAACCTGATATGACCTGACCTGGCCTAATATTCTTACCAATATAATGATATGATATGATATGATGTAACCCAAAACCCAAGAAGACTCTTGATGCATGCATGACTGTAATACATATATACATAGTCGATGGCCGGACAGTGCAGTTGATGGATGGATAATGATGAATTAGTGAGTCGGCTTAATGTCAGTCTGGACTAGAACTTGGAACTTGGGGTTGGGGTTTTGCATTTTTGCTTAGGTAGATGGTAGATGGTAGATGGTTGGGAGGTTGAAGGTTGAAGGTTAGTAGTTGTGATGATGATGATATGAGGCTAATGAATAAAGATCTAAATTTTGAGGGATTTGGATATGGATTTAAATTTGGATAATATGACTTTAACGACCCGGGTGATGAATTTGATAATAGGGAAATTTTAACTGAAAATCTAAACTTGAACTTAAAAAAACTTGAACTTGAGAGTAAAGTAAATTAAAGTAAAGTAAGGTGCTTCTTTTCAAGTTTTGCTATACACGGGTTTTTTTTCTTTTCTTTTTGAGTTGTGTAAAGTTTAAAGTATTGCAGACAGTGTCTAGATTATTGTTTGCTGTTGTATGTATGTATTTGAAATGAGGTAGATGGGAAGGAGGAAGGGGGAAGGGAGGGAGTGCCAGAACAGTGATATATAAGGAGTAGTGATGTATTGGGATTAGGATTGGGATTGGGATTTAGTTGGATGAGATAGGATGAGATAAGATGGTTGATGAGATGGGATAAGATATGATAAAAGTTGATGAGATAGAAGTTGATAAAATGAAAGTTGATAGGAGAAAATTCAACAAAATACAATGAGAGTCGATGAGATAAACAAACAAAGGGTGTGATTTAGGGTTATTTTGAGTTATGGTGGTGATGTTTGGTAGAGATGTGTAGTAGAGAGATGTGGTAGAGAGGTATGGCAGAGATTTCATATGTATAATATGTTAGTGATTTGATTTCATAGATAACAGGTACAGTTGAGATTTGATGTAAAAAGATGTAAAAAAAGAGATATAATAAAGCAACATGCTAAAGAGTCGGCATAATATCAAGGCAGAGTAGAGAGATATTAAGGAAAAAGAAACCAATGTCGTGCAGAAAAATGGATTATTCCAACAAGAATTACAATGATTACAAGTATGATTCGGATAACGACTCACTCTACTCAGTAATGGCAATTGAAGTGATGATCAATGATAGTGATTCAGCAATGATAAAGATTCAGTAATGATATTGGTAGTGAGGTGAAATGGGTTTAAACTTGAGCGAATCGAGCGAATAGTTGTGACAGTAAATTGAGTAGAGTGATGACATATTCTTTCAATGTTCATTTTTGCTCAAAGTAATATGTATGTATACCAAGCTCAACTCACAACAGACCACTGAGCCACCAGAGAAAAGAGAAAAGAGATATTTCTCCTACGTAAATCGATCAAACAGAGGGGAATATGAAAGTACCTGATAAAATATGGTATATCTCCTCCTGTAAATCACTTGGCCACATCTGAATACAAAAAGTTTAATCCTATTGATCGCACTCTTCATGTTCTAATCCTAACAACAGCGACAACAACCTTCCGTAACGATCGCCAACATAACATACAAACCTTCTTCTGTAAATCACTTGACTGTATTTGACTGAAGCTGTATAAACCCACTAATCGCACTTGCTAAATCTTTCCTAACAACAGCGACAACAACCTTCTGTAACGAACGCCAACATGACATGCCACTAAGGTATCTATCAAAGAAAAGAGATATTTCTCCTACGCAAATCGATCAAATAGTAAAGGAATATAAAAGTACCTAATAGAATCTAGCATACCTTCTTCTGTAAATCACTTGACTGTATTTAAATGAAGCTATGTAAACCCACTAATCACACTTGTCATATACTATCCCAACAATAGCGACGACGACCTTCCGTGACTATAGTCAAGTATGAAAGAATATTGAAAAAAGCCACCTAGTAGGTAATGTGATGTGTCGTTCAATTCTTTAGTGTGCTAAGGTAAGGTTATACCTAAGACAGTTAATTACTACCATTTTCTCTCTATCCGCGATCGACATATCTACCGGTAAACTCTATCTAGTCCGCAGGATATTTAATGGATTTTCCAGGCTCATGCCTATATATATGGCTCTAGAAACTAGATGAGCAGGATTAATTAATTTACTCATTACTCGAGTAGGAATATGATCTAGAATAGAGGATTTCTTTTGGGTCAAGAAGACGCTTGCTTAATCTTGCTTGATTGATTGAGTCAAAACCACGGTTCTAATGAAGTTCCAACCAAGTTCTAATGAAATTCCAACGAAAAGAACGAGAGGTTTGGGAGTCACATGTTGATCATTCTAAGATCTTTGCATATCATTCTATTTAGGTTATTGTAACGTGGATGTTGATCAAGCGAGAACAGGGGGGGCGGGGGAACTTGGAAACTTCTGAAGAACCGGAAGAACCCCATGATTGTAGGTGGGGTGGGTTAGGGTTACCAGAAGAGATTGGAAATCTCAAAATTGGAGGAGTTACAAGAGTTACAGGTATTCCGCTCTCTTTCAAGTGATGTTGATGATGTGATACGTAATGCAGGCTGGTCATTCATTACCTAGGTAGGTAGGTAGGTATGCGATAATTATTTTGACACTTTTTTTATATACCGGTGTATTTTTTTCTCTATTGTTTTTCCAGCTTGCTTAAGCCTTAAGGAAGATTGTCATTTGGGATAATCTTTCTATAAAACTTGATTGTTAGGTAAATCAACTAAACTAACTATCTTCGGTAACGCGTCATTCGGGAGAATGGATGGATGGATTGCTTTTGTTGAGAGAATTGAGAGTTGAGAGTTAGTTGAGAATTCAGATTTGAGAGTTATTTTGTCTTATATATCAACACGAATACGAAAACATGTGATAAATGTACCCTAAAGCATTGATCAGTGTACAACTTGTACACTTGCACACTTGCATAAGGGTGAATGCAAAGAACTTCGCGAATCTGATGAAACGAAAACGATAAAATTGAAATTGAAATTGACCAATGAGATGCTTGATAATCCCTGTTTTTACCAGATCCACCACTGACAGATCAAGATCTATTACGCACGGTGCAAGTAAATTTACCCACTCTTTATATGGTTTAGTTCTCCACAAATCACTTGGCGCTTTAGCATGAGATCGGATTCTCAAATTCGATATCCTTTTGACTGGCTCTGAATCGAAAAAAGTTAAATATATATAATAAACAATCCATCCACCCACTCATCAATCTATCTCCCCCTCCCCAGAATCCAACTTAATCCAAACCCATATACAATACAGTACTCGAGTACAAAGCATTCCGTTTCCGTCAAATATATATATAAACTTTTCAAGTTCTTCCCTTCTCCATCCATCACTGTTCCAACTTATTTATTAGCTGCGTTCAATAAAAACTTTATATTCTTACATCATCATATCATCCTCATTCATTCATCCGTTCTGGACCATTCATATTCTTCACTCTTATAATTTCTTAACTGCTTGAAGAACCAATTCATATTCTTCACTCTTACAATCTCTTAACTACTTGAACCATCTCACTATCATCGATTATACTCGCATTCAAACTCACATACTTTTTACTTACACTTATATATTACTTCACAAGTAAACATGGGTAAAGAGAAGTTGACAGTACCTGCGGGAGTCAAGAAAAAGTCCAATAAGAAAGTATGCACATATATCCATCGTTCCCTTTGCTTTCTGGTAAAGACTCTAACATATATAGAATGCCAACAAAACTGATATCGACAGCTTGAAAAGCAAAGAGCGGGCATACGTAGCTGCTTCCAGAAGGACCGATCGTAAAGACTTCAAGGGTCGAATGAAGTCTGCCTTAGCGGCTTCAGATGTACACAAACAGATAACGGGTAGAGCCTTGCACATCACAATGGATGGTGTGCTTAAGCAGGAACACTACGAAGAGGAAAGTAGCCCAATGCGGACCTTAACGAAAGCTTCCAACCATTCCATGTACGGTGAGTACGGTCAAGGTCAGAGTAATCTCACCAGGGAAAAACTCATCCAACATCTTTGCGAAAATCCTGAGCTATTGAACAACCTCGAAGCTGTGATTACCAGTGCTCGAGTCCGAATGCAGCAAGGATTTGGTCAACAAGCAGTTGAGAATAACCCACAGGGACAGTCCTCGTTTGCGTCAGTCGATCCCACAATGGAGATAGAGATGTCACTATTTGCGCAAGCGAATCAAACTCTCCCACAAAAATCACCTGGACAATATCGTCACCAATCAATGTCCGAAGCTGCTGGTCCTCGGGGATTCTTACCAACGCCATCGGTGAGCCCAACGAGGATTAATGCGCAGGATGTACCAATGTCGATGGGCCGGGAGATGAGCAATCAAAGCTATCAGAGCTATCAGAGCTATCAGAGCTATCAGAGCTCAACGGCAAATCGTGAGCAAGGTGTACCAATGCAGATGAGCCGAGAGTTAAGCAATGAAAGTCATCATAGCCACCGGTCGAATCCATCAATGCAATGGCCAGAGGCTGGACCCTCGATCGTTAAACCCATTCATTCATTGAAGGGAAAGGAGCGTGAAGCCCAGCATCAAGCGCCTTTTAATCCGCAGGCACTCCAATATCAAGCGCCTCATCGTCAGCCGGCACTCCAACATCCAGCGCCTCATTATCAGCCGGCACCTCAGCAGATCAACGTTGCTGTCAATGCAAATCAAACAGGCACTCAACCTGAAAACATGGGCCGCATTGATACTCCCAGAGCACCTCCAAGTCAGTTTTCTCAGGAGCATTCACTACATCTGGCGTCAATCAATCAATCCTCAATGGCACGACGTCGTGCGCCCCGGTTTACGCCACAACCCGAAGAGGATGTTAATTGGAACGAGTTTCTCGTTGATTTCTAAGAAAACACGTAGCAAAAGAATTCTGGGGTGTTTGATATAACGAAGGGGCGTTGTTTGTTGAGGAGATGGAATTGCATAAATTGGGTTTATGACATGGTGTTTTGGATTATATACGATACAACAAACCAAGGATGGGAATATATCCATTCATGACTACGACGAAAACATATACCAAAGGAATTCTGGGGCGTTCGATATAACAAAAGGGCATTGTCTGTTCATAAGGAGATGGGATCACACAAATAGGGTTCATGACATGGTGTTTTGGATTACATGATACCACGAAAGAAGGATGGGAATATAGCCATCCATGACTACGACGAAAACATATACCAAAAGAATTCTGGGGCGTTCGACATAACGAAAGGACGTTATTGTTTATAAGGAGATAGGATTACACGAATTGGGTTTGTGATACATACTCGAGTATGGTGTTTTGGAATACATTATATACCTACAGATACGACGGATGAAGCATGGGAGTTCCAAATATATATATCCATTTGACGAGAGCATGGGGTTTTTTTTGTTCTCGCGCCTCGCCTTGTATAGAGAGAGGCTGGCAACAATTGAAAAAGGGGGTCAGTAGTTTTTTACTATTTATACTATTTATATATTCCTGTTTGGCATAACCTTACTCGTACAATAAACGAATATTGTATACTACTATACAAATTTTATGAGCATATTACATACATTCTGAGGTTTCATTTCCTCGTCTCTTTTTGCTCTGTTGGGAAAACTTGAAGCGACGATACAGTCAGACTAAGAATGAGAGTAAGTAAGTGTGTGATGTCTATAGAAAATAAGGTTGTACATTAAGGTTATTGTAAGCGGAAAGTGATATATACTCGAGTGGCATATGATAACCTTACTATAAATTATATCTCTACTTCTTCCCTCCGAGTCTTCCTTCTTCTCTCTACCCTCTATCTACCGTGACTACCAAAGATATATTTATTCTATTATAGATTGATTCTAATATAGAAAATGATACTAAGTACTAGTAGTATAAGAGTAAAATGGATTCGATTTTATAGTTATTAATATTGTGCCAGTGAGTAAGTATTGTACTTATATAGATATATATATAGAGTAGAGTAGAGTATAATTAGGATAGGATAGGATAGGATAGATATAGATGTAAGATACTCGAGTAGAATAAGGATAAGAATGTGATTTAAAAAAAAATTGGGATTTGTTTTGTTTCTGTTTGATTATTTCTATCTCTATATCTATATTTACTTCTATTTCTGTAACGAAAACTTGAATTCGATTTTGAACTTGATTTTGAACTTGCACTTGCACTTGAATATTACAGTAATAGATAGTAATATTGAATACCGAGTATACTCGAGTAGAATTCAGACCTCAGAACTCAGAACTTATATCTCACTGGCAGAACTCAGAATTCAAAACTCAAAACTCAAAACTAAGAGGTAATAGTCATAAAAAGGAAAACAAAAAGGAAAATAATATACTCCAGTAAATTAATAGTAAAGAGTATTAGACCGGACTACGAGTATAGTAGATTGTGGAGTATTGTATACTATATATATACTACTTGTACTGTATTATTGGTGGACGGACTCAATCCGTTTCATATTCATTTTCTATTCATCTATTCATCTACTCGAGTATCCATCTATTCGTTCATATATTCATTCCATAACCTGTACACTAATCTCTCATCTGCACACCAATCTCCATCTTCATCTTCATATTCATCCACATTTATCCATTCTCATAATCTTTATTTTCATAATCTTCATATTCTTCATATTCTATACAAAGCAAGCAATACAATGCTCGCAGATCGCACTCATATTAAACAATCGATACTAAATACGCAAGGTACCAACCACCAACCACTAATCAGTGACCACCAAGAACCATATGTACTTAAGTATATCTGTATGCGAAGCCTGAAGAAATCAAAGATAAAGAACAAGCTGTGTACGCACGCACGCACGCATGCATCGGATATCATGCTACTCCATCCCAATTCATTCGTCAATCATATCATATCATACCAAGCGCAAATCATCGAGTACAGATCCATATCCATTTATAAGAACTTTCCATGCCTCCTCTCTTCAGAGCCTAGGCTACCCAGAACTCTACCCCGTCACCCCAATCGATCCATCTATCCATTCAAGCCCCCATCCACGTCCCCAGAGATTCTACCACTGAGCTTCATATGCATCTGATGCCAATTGAGAAGTAACACCTGTCTTATCCTCTTCATCCGTCTTCGGCATAATCTGTCTCGGATTCACATATTCCAGATGTCTCACTTCCCCCATCTCCACATCCTCATCATGACGCACCTCAACCCCATCTTCCAAATTCCTCGCCCACGATTTCGCACCCGCCACGGGAAGTGTATTAGACATTTCCACCTCCCTCAGTTCCCTATGCACAGCCCCTACCAAACCCATCACATCCGAACTCCGTACATATCCGAGGTAATAAGGAGTGCCACTTGCACCAGCAGCTTCATGTTCGAAGATTCTGCGACGATCACGCACTTCCGTCACGTATTCATCGTTATATTCTCTCCAGATATCGTTCTCGAAATCGTATATGTAGATCCAGTAATGACCACCACCAGCTTCACCGCGATGAATGAATACCGTTTGAAGTTTGTATTCATACTTTGTCATGTTGGTGAATTGTTCATTTCGTTTTTGTTTAAGGAGTTGGATTTCTTCATCATTTCTCTCGATCTCTTGGATTAATTCGGTTTGTCGTTCTTCAAGCATGGTGACCAAGTCTGCGTCAACTTCAACGCCATTCATCTCCTGCAAACCTTTAGTGAAGTTATTTGCTGCAGATAGCGCTTCACAAACAGAAATCTCTTCTGCTGTGTTTTCTTGGCCGAGGGACTTTTGCCGCTCTTCCAAGGTATTGATGCGGGTCTTCCATTTCCATGCTTCTTGACGACGGCGCATCAAAGTAGAGTCAGAATCTTCGGAGTCCATATATCTATCAAGGTATATCGTCTCTGGAAATATGACCGCATTTCTGTTCTTATACGCCGTATGCTTGACATTGTCGTAACGTGTACGTTGGATTTGTACTTGTAATATCGGAGGTAGTTTAGTAATGGATGCATATTGTGGTTGAACAGTACCATCAATATGTACCTGCTGTTCATCAAAAACCACATCCAATGCTTCATAAATATCTCGAGGCTTATTTTCATCCGGGAAAATAATGAGATTCGCCCATGGCTCAACTTTCTTCTCTAGTTTTTGCGACTTCCGAAGGTATGAGGCATTCGCACCATAGAATGTGTCCCTGACGTTGTCGATTTGCTCACCAGAGACAGGATCGATACTTGTTGGTTTTATAGCGCATTGCAAACGAAACATCACGTTTCCGATCACCTCGGTAACATCTTGCTGAGATCCAAATTTCCATAGATCGTCGTCGGTGATGACCTCTTTGTGATCATTTGTCTGTATCGAAAGGCCAGCCTTATTTCTTGGAGGAATTGGGGGCGGCTTATCTGGCGCGGCGGGGATGATGTCCGAAGCTGGTGATATCGAATCGCCATTGACCATAACAGCATCATCAAAGGTACTACTGGTATCCTCTGTCTTGATGTCCCAGACTTTTTCTGCTGCGGCACTTGTTTTCCCTACAACGTCAAGATATGGAGGTAAACCATCCATATCCGGTGCATCTACCAGTGTACACTCACTACTGTCATCACGCTGATTCAAGACTTTATCTTCAGGCCGGTCAACCATTTCAATATCATCATCAATCGAAGGTGGAGGAGAAAAGGTCGTGTTTGGGGGACCTTCTGGCCCAAAAATGGGGCTCATCATAGAAGCGATGTTTGGTGGACCACTTGGACTACTGATAGAAGCTCGACGGAAATTTGCTTCAGCTGCCGAGCTAAATATAGTCAACTCAGCTAACTCTCTAGTAGGTTTAATAGATTTTGTTGAGGCGGTCTTCAGATTTTCAAACAGGTCATGTAACTCCGTCACGACTATTTACAATTAGTATAATGGCTAAGTCCGAGCGAGTAATAACGAGATACTCACATTTCTGGGCTTTGATGATTTCGGCCTTACTGACAGCACGACCTCCAACACGTTTCTTCTTGATATCCTCTTCGTTCAGGGACATGCGATTTTGATCGAAATTCATGACTACGTCTCGAACGGATTTTACCGTATAGTAATACTGAAGAAGACTGTTTAGATAACAAGTGTTCCCGATGTTGTCCAGACCAATAGGTTGATTAACTGTTGACTTTTCTGCTTGAATATCGGCTTTTGGATCGTCGAGTTTCCTTAATAAGTAACTACTCTGACGATCGTGAGCTATTACCCGAAATGCTTCTGTGTAGCTATCTGATGATCCGGCAGGAGCACCAGCCCTCAAACTTTCGTAGTAGGCCAGTACAGTATCATCCGGAGCTCTTCTATCGTTGATTTGGAGTCGATTGTAAGCCTCACCAACGTCAAGATTTGGATCTTCAGTTCCCGACTCCATGGACGTAGCCGCACGCTGCAGGGTATAATCATCACCACGCTTATTAGCAATAGCTCTAAGAGCTTTTGCGACTTTGTTCTTGTCGCCCTCAAAAGACTGTTCGAAAGTCAGCCTCCTTTCGTGATTGTAAGAATATTTTAATGCTATCAACATACCATTGCAACAGCAGCGGCTTCAATACTATCGGATGCAGTATCTGACGAAACGCTCAAAAATTCGAGAGCTTCCTCAAATGTCATTGATCTATCGTTCGCTACAGCTTCGATAGCGTTGCTCTGCCTATCCTTTGCTATCACAAGCAGGCATTCGCGCGCCTCATCTTTTTGTCGTGGGGCAGAATCAATACGGGATTTAAAAACACCAAGAATGTAGTCATCGGCTTCAGCTTCAGCAGCACTTCTCTGCAGCGCGAAAAATGAGTAAGCTTTCTCAATATCTTTCAGGCTGACTTCGCCAGTAGACACGATCATTGCAGCCTTCGTTTGTAGATCAGAACTAAGGCGGCCATTTCCAAGCTCTCGCAAACAGTCTAAATAGTATGGCTTGCTCTTCGGGTCACATTGACATTGTCGGTCGTAGCTCCAGGCTAGCAGATCATCCGTGAACGTCTCCATTGCGCCTAAACTGGCGTAATAAGGATGCTCCACCGTCTCTACATTTTGAACAGCATCTATATTCCTCTGAGGATAATTGTTGCAAGCCAAAGATTGTCTAATATCAGCCAGAGCATATGTGAGAGTTTCGCGACGTCCTGCTCCAGGTAAGTTTTGCTCCATTATTGGTCGCTCGGACATGAGCTGATTGAGCTCGAACTTGACATCATCTATGAAGTCACGATTCTCATCATCGACAGCGGGCAAAGTCCAAAACTGAGCGAATTCATCCTGATGCGAAAGTTAGCCATGTGTTGAATTGTAAGAGTGAGCCATTGTGAGCTAAACCCCGAAACGTAGGATCTAGTAATTGATAGTGGGGTACGTACTTCGGGCTGGGACGACGGCTCCAGCTTGAGTTCAAATCCCAAATATTTCAGGAGGCTGTCACAGTCGTCTCCGAATGCTAATCTGAACTTTTTATTCCTCCTCGCAATCTGTTTTCTAGTCTCACCTCCTGCATCTTGTAAATATGTACGAAGATTGCCGAGAACCTGTATTGGGTATAAAGGCCTGTGTCCCTCGAATCTTTTGGGGTCTGCTTCAATTTCTTTTTGACCGCGACCTAAAATGTTTTGAAGATCTGTCAAGAGAGACACCATGCTCATGAACAACCTGGGTGGCGATATTTTGACTTCAACCTTGACTGGACAGGTAGCCGCAGTGCACGCAAATCGATGCTCCACAAAGTTGCACACCCCATTCGAATTCTGTAACCAACGTGAATCAACTACTCGAAAATGGTGGAGCGGATTTTCCGGATCTCTAGAATTACAAGGAGTTTGTCCATCTTTCCAGTCTCGATAATCCACCGTTATCAAAAAATGATATCGACATTTAAAGCAGAATGCAGCTATCTTGCAGATTGTCGTGGGATCAGGATCCTCATGCGGATGCAGAGATGCCGTTTGAAGGTCTTTCCTATAAAGCTCGTGGCGACAACCGGAGGGATCGGTCCTTTCACCAAAATGCGCATCATTGTGAATGGGCGCGGGGTCTATGAGAATGTGTTTGCCGGTTTTTGTGCTTCTTCTTAGATCGTAATCAAGTAGATCGTTCACAAGTCTAGGGGCCGTCTTCCCTACATAAGCAAACGCCATTAGCTTAGTTCTCGTGCATGCAAGAGCCTTGAAGACTCCGAGTTCGAAAGGAAACTGCGTCGCAGAACTCGCCTGGGCCAGGGTCCATCTCGTAGTCAAACATAGCACCTCTCACTTATCTGCCGCCCACTGTGCCTGCTGGGACCACGTAATTCGTGGCCAACTGAGATGATCTGGGCCAACTCAACTACCCTGCCTTCAAAGAGGCTGTAACCTTGAGTTTATGGTGAGATTGAGAATAAGATCAATAGTTTTGCTGGCATTCGAAAAGACTCGTTTTAGAAAGACACTTGAAGGTGAGTGATATCTTTGTGCCCACCTCTGTATTCAAACATGTAAATTTAGTTGTATGATTGTGTAACGGTGATTGAATCTTCAATTTAGGAGGAATACAAGCAACAAAAGAACGGGAGCGGGAGCATTAGTAAGTTTTATGGGTTTGTTTTAGGAAGGAGAAATCTTCGATATTGTACAAGCTTCCGTTGGGATGTTTGGGCAAACATGGATTTATTTGTATGTATTCTCATCTAATATGGTACACATGAAAGGTGGTGGGTTATCCGCCTGCATTTTGTTGCTTGAAGAGCATAGATGGGTGATACGGAAATAACCAATCCCTAACCCGATGGATGGCGGCTACGCACAAGCCTTTAGCGGCATCTTCCGTCCAGAAGCTCCGGATCTATTAACCTCACGTCAACGACGTCGCAACTCTCAATATTGATTTTAAATTGTTGACTCTCCGAATTGCCCCAATATGGCACCTAATAGCGAAGTCTATCATCCTAAAGATGCACTCAAAGCAGGCATCAATGGCGCCTTGATTGTTGGAACGGCTGGTGCCTTGGCTTCCGCGATTCAAAATAGTTTATACAAAAAGAATATCGGGGCATTGGGTGTCTTGACTAGGGGAGGAAGCACAGTTTTCGTATGCAGTAAGCCCGTCAAATCGAGTCTTCTGGGAGAGGCTTCATGCTAACGTTTTTCAGCTGCGATGGGAGGAGCATATGAATTCACAAAACTCGCATCTGCCAATTTGCGAGAGAAGGACGACAGTTACAACACTGCCATTGGAGGATTCGTGGCGGGGTCAATTCTAGGTCTGAGATGTGAGCGCCCACGCAGAATTCCTCGTGGTCAATTGATTCTAATTCCATGATAGTTGGAACAACTCCTGCGGTTTTTGGATTCGGCACCTTGACGGCCGTTGTGCTTAGTGCATATGCTTATACTGGCGGTGCTCTATCGGGATACAAGAGAGATCCAAATGTGGATGAATTTGAGCGAAAGGAATATTTAAGGAAAAACCGACGGATACCTATGGAACAGACTGTGGCCGAGTTGGGCGAGGGAAGAGGTATGTTTATCCACCCTTCTTGAAGAATATTCAACTAATTATTCAAAGGCATATATGGGCCTGGTTACGACGAGAGAAGAAGGGAGAGAATCAAGGAAAAATATGGCATTGATGTACCTGCTAGATCTTGAAAGGACCTTGTATTCATTAATATGGAGGTCTCGAACAACAATGTACATATGTTAAGGGCTTGCAAATCGTTCTGAAATCCTAGGCGTTTTGGAACGTTAAGACCCGTATTTCAGGTTTATGAGCTGATGGCGACCTCATTACGTTGGCTAGCTCGGCATCATAGCAATCTAGAGGACATTCACAACGCCCTAGAGCATGAGTGAGCCTTTCTAAGGGTTTCCTCTTTCGCCGAAAGAAGAAGGCAGCACAATAGGCGGGTTTTCGTCACCCACAAGCAGTTGTATCCAACATCTGAATCCCAAAGTAAAAAATCTCTTGCCCTCTGACGTGTAATCACGTGCTTGATAGAGATATTGACTACTGCCGGCAAATACAAATATTGATTTAACCCCGCAATATGCTGTGACCCTCGTCCATCCCCTCTTGATCGACAATTTGTCAAGTACGATTAATTAAAAGGTCAACAATTCTTGTATAAGTTCCCAGGCCTTCCATCTTCACAAGTTTTGCAATTTTCTCGTGTGCCTTTACTGCAGATTTGAGATCAAAGTAAGGTTAATACGGCCACACTATAAGTATTAGCCGAAAAGTGGTGTTCTAGATATATTAAGTCATCTGCATCCACCTCTACTCTCTCCTTTCCACCACTTGAAGTTCACTCAAATTGTGGCAAATCGAGACATTGAAGCTGACAGAATTGATTATCTCGTGGAAAAGACCTGTCACATAGTATTGCAGTGGTCTTGCTTACACAAACAAATCTCTTGATACAATGGAGAAGGTAATACCAGTTGTTCGTGCGTCGTTCAACCAGTCAGCGGGATCGTCGCAGGATGTGAAGGGGCGCTTCTATCGACACTTTCAAGAAGAAGCGACAGGTAAGTCAACAACTACCTGATGTAGAATTGAAATTTCGAGAAAGTTAATATTTCAATAGATCTTCAACAGCGAATAGGCCAGCTCGGAAATCTCTCCTTAGTTGGAGGGGAAAGGCAAGATGCCACAGACCACTGCATTGCCAGTATTACAAGGCTATCTAACGAAGTTGCCGATGCTACCGATAACCTTCCAGCATATGATCAGAGAACTTACTCTCAGGCAAGCATATCCTTGAAGGGTGGGCCTATTCCGTGCTAACAATGACCAGGCCATTAAAGCTCTCTCGGAGAATCTTCAAGAGGTAAAATCCAAGGCCGCACCAAGAACCAAATTTCGGTTCACAACTACGAGCAAGAACAGTTCCGCGGTTTCTATCAACGATGCCGCTCAGCTAGCCCAGGAAAGTCTCGGTGCTGCTAGTTTGAAGCCGTCCTTTCTATCTTCTACGGAATCATCGATAGCTACAACGCCAGCCAATCTGATGACACCTCCCGGTGAAGACAGTGCCAGAGATACTGTTGGAGATCTGCCTTCTTTCCCAAAGAATTACAATGCCGAGATGGCCAATGCCCCTGGCCCAATTCGAAAGCCAAGTTTCTCACAAGCAAGCACTATCAACATCACAGGTCATACCGGTCTTCATATTATCCTACCTTCCTCGGCATCCCGTGCAACTTCGTCAGGGGCTATAACGAAACTTGATAGATGTATCGTTGATATGTCAGTACCGACCGCCAATGGGGCCCCTTTTGCTGGGCTTACCCTGAAGAACATCAAGCATTCTTTGGTGATAGCTGGACACGTTGCAGGAGCAGCACATATTACCGGTATTGAGGATAGCATAGTTGTCGTCGCGTCAAGACAAGTCAGAATACATGAGTGTAAGAATGTCGATATATACCTCCATTGTGCTAGCCGGCCCATCATCGAGGACTGTAGCAATGTCAGGTTCGCACCTATTCCAGACTCACAGGTAATTTATGTCGTGGTGATTAGCTATTTACAGAATACTGACACTATGTTTAGGATGTTACAGATGGATTCGTTAAGAACCAATGGGATCAGGTTGATGACTTCAAGTGGATCAAGGCAGAGCATAGTCCAAATTGGAGTATCTTACCCGAAGAGAAGAGACTGAAAGAGGAAATTTGGACGAACGTTATACCAGGAGGACCTGGGGTTGGACTGGATGATATCTTGAAGAAGATTGGGCTTACTGGACAATGAGTTCTGTGATCTCGTAAATATCCATTTAATGCAGGGCTGCCAGCGATATACATACAACGAGCGGCTAGATAATGCGGTAGCAGGTAATATAACATTTTTCATGATTTCATATTCCTAAAATTGTATAAGATTCATAATGACATCGCAGCTCAATAACGAGTGTGCATTTAACCCTACTTGAGCTTCTGCCCCCGCATGTCTTTGCAACCAGTCCCACGCCATCTAAGTGCTTCAACGCACGAGAACGCTTCAAATTGCCGGTTCGACCTTGAATGTGCTTAATAGAGCGTACTTCACACGGCGTTCTATCAGGCTGAGCATTCAGCTGGTCCAGTCGGGTCTCATTCTTCATGAAACACGCTCCCCGATATGAATGTAATGCATGCTTGCTTTCTTGCTTCCGTTCTGTCTTTCTTCATCTTTCTCAAATTATCCGTTTTCTCAAGTTTCCATTATGTCCCCCGATCCTCTCCCTTCTCGCTCTTTCTTCATGTTCAATCCTACTTTCATCAATAAGTTCAATACCTCCCTTTGCTGCCTAATCTTCTCTTCACACTCTCTCAACTCCTCTTCCTGGTCTTCGATAGATCTATGCATATCTGGCAAACCCTTCACACTTGCCCTCGCTTTTTGTAATTTATGTTTAATGCCATCGGTCGCAGTGTAGATATCTTTGATATTTAATGGCCCGGTGCTATTTGCATTGAATGAAGGGGTCGCGCCTGGTGGAGAAGTTGCGGATGAATTGCTTGGAGAGAAGTTTTGGAGACGCGAAAGAATTTCGCAGAGAACGGGGATTGTGTCGATGGAATCTGCGGTGAGACCCTCAGGGAGAATCATTGTTGAAGGGGTTTGAGAGGATGTAGTTTGCGATGGGGTAGTCGTCATCTTTACTGCATCAACAATCGATGAACCGACAATCTTTCGTATGCAATAATGAGATTCAATGTCCGGACCCGAGTCAATGATTCTGATATTGGTAGTGTCATCAAACAGAATACATGTGTTATTGATTGGATATGGAGTGGTCGGATCCGTCCCTAAGATTCTAAGAATAAGTGAGACGGCAAGGGCAGGTTCGCTCTTATCGCGGCGATTTCTGGAAGGTGGAGGGGCCTGAAAACCACACCCCCACCACAAGCGCAAAAAGCTAAAAAGCTTCCTAAAGTTATTTCTATTTCTCAACGGAACCCAAAACACAATAATTCACTTTTTTGTTTTCTCAAGTCATCTTGTACATTGTACCCAAGGTTTATATCGATTTAGAATTGTCCTTTTCTCTCGTAAGTTGATATTTGGTCCCCAACAACCCTTTTCATTCTTCGGAAGAGACAAGTACCGAACCTGGAGCTGATATACCTAATATACCTAGTAGCCTGTGTCCAGATTCGGAACAAATCATCTCGCCAAAATGGTCCAAGTCGAGAATAAAGCTGTGCTGAGTACGTTCAAAAAAGATTCCACGTTTACCTTATGAACTCCTATATTTGGCATGTACATATTTGCAGCAGTTCTTGAACATTTGTGGTCTCAGAATTCTCAAAGTGTACAATGCCTCGAACATCTATACCAACAGTTCAGCTCAATACTGAGAAACTGCTACCCCCTTTACCTCCTACGGAGGAAAAACCGGATTACATACTTGCACTGTTCTATATCCTTGTATATCTTGAAGTCTCTTGGCTAATTGTAATGGTTTGGCGCAGTTGTCATTGATGGATGGGGAGTTCCAGGTGAAAATTCACCTAAAGATGGAGATGCCATTACAAACGCGGAAACTCCAGTAATGGACGCTTTCGCAAACAACCCAGATGGATACACCAAGCTTGAGGCATCCTCTTTGGCAGTAGGACTTCCCGAGGGCCTGATGGGCAACTCGGAGGTCGGTCATTTGAACATTGGTGCTGGACGAGTCGTATGGCAGGATGTGGTCAGAATTGACCAAACAATTAAAAAAGGAGAGTTGAACAAGAACGAGGTTGTCATGAAGGCATTCAAGGCTGCTAAGGATGGTAATGGACGTCTCCACCTTTGTGGCTTGATCTCAGATGGTGGTGTAGTAGGTACTCCTCTGGTCCAATTGGCAGATCCAATACTTACTCGAGCAATAATAGCACGCCAAGCAAGACCACCTCTACGCCCTCCTCAAGGTTGCGAAGGAACTCGAAATTCCCCATGTCTATATTCACTTCTTTGGTGATGGACGTGATACCGACCCAAAATCTGGCGCTGGTTACATGGAAGCTCTTCTAGAGAATATTAAGGAAATTGGAATCGGCGAGATCGCAACAGTTGTCGGCAGATACTATGCTATGGACCGTGATAAGCGATGGGATAGAGTTGAAGTTGGATTGAACGGTCTATGCATCGGTGAAGGAGAGGAGAGCAGTGACCCAGTCAAGACAATTAAGGAGAGATATGCGAAGGGCGAGAACGACGAGTTCTTGAAGCCTATCATTGTAGGAGGAAAGGAGGCTCGCATCCAAGGTAAACACGTCGAGATTCTACAAAACCCATGAGCCAGCCATGTTAACATTCCCAGATAACGATCAAGTCTTTTTCTTCAACTACCGATCCGACCGTGTCCGAGAGATCACTCAACTGCTTGGCGATGTTGACCGTTCGCCAAAACCAGACTTCGCCTACCCAAAGAACATCACTCTTACTACTATGACCCAATATAAGCTCGATTACCCATTCGAAATCGCATTCAAGCCTCAGCACATGGGTAATGTCTTGGCCGAAACTCTCGGTGCCCAAGGCGTCAACCAGGTTCACGTTGCCGAGACTGAGAAATACGCTCACGTTACATTCTTCTTCAATGGAGGTGTCGAGAAAATGTTCCCTCTGGAGGTTAGAGACGAATCGCAAGATCTCGTACCATCGAACAAGAGCGTCGATACCTACGACAAAGCCCCAGAGATGAGTGCTGCAGGTGTCGCCAAGCAAACGAGCAAACGTATCTCGGAAGGAAAATTCGAATTCGTGATGAATAACTTTGCGCCACCTGATATGGTTGGCCACACCGGTGTCTATGAGGCTGCAATAATTGGTGTTGCTACTACTGATAAAGCCATTGGCGAGATTTATGAGACTTGCAAAAAGGAGGGATATGTCCTTTTCATTACCTCTGATCACGGGTAGGCCTCGCAAGTCATTTTACGTTTTTCATTTCTCATATACCATACTAACAAAGGGTTTCTATAGTAATGCCGAAGAAATGAAGTTTGCCGACGGCAAACCCAAAACTTCCCACACAACCAATAAAGTGCCATTCATTATGGCGAACGCTCCACAGGGCTGGTCTCTCAAGCAAACAGATGAAGGTGTTCTAGGTGATGTAGCACCTACGATTCTGGAAGTTATGGGCTTGAAACAACCCGAGGAGATGACTGGATCCAGTCTTTTGGTCAAGAGTTAGATTACCCACCCAGCGTTGAAATGAATTTGCGAATTATTCTGAGTTTTGCCATTGCATTGTTATGATTGATTGAAATTTGCGTTTGTTTTTGGTTGAGCGAGCATAAATCCACAGAGAATAGAAAGCTAAAATTTCATACTTCACAGGCAAAGGTACCAAGAGAACTCACGAGGAGACAAAATAGAGGGTAAATACCAAGAAAATAGAGAGTAAATACCAAGACAATACCACGAAATACCATAGAGGTTTGTCCATCAGGGGTTTGTTAAAATAGAGTGGAAAGCAAGTTATATAGATACCTCCAAAAGCATTTTCAATAAAAACGCAACATTAACTTAGGCCTCCGCCTCTCGCCTATCCCATGCGGCGATAGCGATTTAGCGATACTCTCCTGAATACTGCGGAAGCAGAAAAACCAGTCCACATGAAATATGTTCAAGTCAGTCTGTCATCCATCAGTTGGAGTGCGGAGAATACCCGGGGTCCAATGTTAGATTGAACCCAAAATTGCGTAGGACAGTTTGATAGCCCAACTGTGCCGTCTAATTGCATGATATTAGTGCTGTGTGGCTCTGAGCTAGGCCTCGGTCTCCGTATATGAGTCGGAGATGAATATCAATTAAGACGTTTGTTTTATGCCGAGCTTATTGGTGAGTGTGAAAGCACAAAGTGCCAACCAAAGTGGAGTGCTTCTCTGGGGATTCTATGTTTTTGACGTATCATGCAGTGCAGTGGTGAGAGGTCTGAACTCACGATAAGATGGGATAAAAAGAATGGAAAAGTCAGACTAGATTTAGGGGGTGCTTGTACAAGTATAGATACATTGAATGCGCAGCGAATGGAAGCTGGGCTTTTCATTACATAAGTATAGTAGAAAAGTAAGATGAGTATGGGATGATATATGACTATGACTATGAATATGTACAGTATATATAATACTCGAATATATGAGCAATACAATGCAATAGTCAAGTCCGATTGACTCACAAGAACACAAGAGCACGATTTTAGCCATATACTCATATACCCATACACATACCCATTCCTTCCCGCTACCGTCTCCATACTGATTATGATATCTCGAGAAGAACCAAGCGTAATCTTGCTTAAAGATGCTCAGCATATATTTATTCTGGTGGCTGTGATTTTCCCGAATTAAGAAAGTATATGGCACTAACTTACTCACTCAATGCAAAGGTCTATCTATCCATCTATCTCCTCGAGTATGCATTCTCGCAACATCTCGTACCCATATCCCACATCCAACAAAACCAGTCTTAAGTCTTAATTAAATCTTAGTTAAATCTTAAATCTTATAGCGGGCCCGAGAAGTCAATAACGTACTAATGAATGTAATGTCTTGGTGTTAACCTATGTATCCATACTATCCATCTATCTACTACCGGTACAGATATATCAAATCAATCCGATGCTCTTGTTATGGACGACATGTATGTACTCGTATAGGATAGGATTGAATGAATGAATGAATCATTGATGAAACTTCTTGAGATGAGCTTTTGATATGGATTAGATAGATAGGCCAAAAGATAAATATATCGCTAGAACTCCATTGCTAGTTATAGCTCGGATTTTTATGCTAGGGATGAACAGAACCTTCATTGACGGGAACAAGTTTAGATTTGCATTTCAAAGTAGATAGATGATTACAATCAAGAAAGAACCCACAAGAACAAAACAAAACAAAACAATGCATCGTGTTATCCATTGCATCAACCTATTAAACTCTCGGTATACGTATATCTATGTACTTCAATTCTTACACCTATCTCATAATCATCGCTTTGGTCTACCTCCCGCGACCGCCCCTCCCAATCTCCCAAACTTCCCCAAGCTACTTCTCGATTTCGTATGTTGTGGCCCAGAGGGTACCGTACTTGTCGTCTCCTTAGATGTTGGTGGCGGACCCGATAATCTCGCTAGATCCTTGAAACCTCTACCATCTACGCTCTCCATCCTTGACTCAAATCCGCCTAATCCATCATCAATATCGCCACCGGGTCTCCTCGCCCTCCTCGCCCTCTCTTGTACACTTCTGAACTTCTCGAGTAATTCTCCCCACCTGATACCGCTTTCCTCCCTGCCTTTCAATCTGCTACTCCTATCATAGTTTGACGGTCCCGCAGTGGTCTGAACGCTAAATGAAGGAGAAGAACCATGAGTTTCTGTGCCACTCTTCTGACGTTGATGGAATGCAAAGGTAGAAATCGCGTCCACTACACTGTTATTACGAGATAAAGGTGGTACGTACGCTCGAGGTGCTATGTGCAGATAACCTATCGCACTAACACTATTTAATCTGTTCTTCAATGCTGCAAAGGCCGATGATTGGGGAAGCAGCATAAGAAGGCCGTAAAGACATTTGTATAGATGAGGATATTTTTCGGGCTCAAGTAATTGGAGGCGGAGATCTGAAAGAGTGGTTAGTAAGGGCAAGGTCCGAGATTGCCAGCTTACATGTAAATACTGGAGATTCTAATAATTGCACCAGCTTATCTATCTGAATAAGCATGTTAACTGTCATTTCAAGTTCGGCACTACTAGTGTTAGCGTCGCTTCGGATTCCGGCTGCTCATACATACAATATCTGGAGAAGATTATAAGCTTGCTCGTAAGCTTGCCCTAAAAGACACAGTGAGAAGGTGGCTACAGCATTGTAGCACCAAGATCTGAAGAGAGCGACGAAGAAAGCTTGACCGTCCTGTGTAAACATTAGCAGCTGATCACTCACGTATATGTGAATATCACAAACCTTGTTCTCAATATTACGGAGTCTCTTTCTAAGATCTGCTAATTCCGGCGCAGTGATGAGGTTATTGTTGAGGTTCTGTACCATAATGCTTGCAAATTCAACATCTTCTTCCTTTTCTATGCAATCTGCAAGAGTTCGGTAAATTCGTTCTGCACTCAGGTTAATGCACAATTGCCGAATGATTAAGTTTCCTCGAGTTTCGAGGAGCTTCCGGTCAGTAGAAAATAGCTGAAGTAGATTTACCATGAAAGAAGTAAAGTAGTCATCATCGCTATTCCTCGATATTTGGGAAAGTAGTTGAAGATCCTTGGTAACTACGGCTTCCGATGGATCAGAGAGTGTTTTGAGAAGAGCAGGGAATATGCCATCATTAAACGCAAGTAGTTTCTTAGGTGCTTTCCTGTGTAGCATAAGTAGCCAGTTGAGAGCTTCAACTCGGGTTACTTCGTGATCGTTTAGAAACAGCAACGTGAGCGAACTAACCGCTGCTGCATAATCTAGATCTACGTGTGTCTGGTATGGCGGTGTGGGTGTTTGTGCTTTGGTCGATGGAGGTGGGGGAGTTTGTACTTCTATCTCTCGTTTATCAAGCTCACGAGACCCTGACAAGGAGCCACGATTTGTGGCGGAAGAATCTCTTCGTTCGTTGGGAGTAGACTCTTTCATGGCGAGAAATCTAGAAGCTGCCGAAGACGGAATTTCTGAAGCAGTACCTTCGTCTGATAGTGATACAACGTAAGCCATTAAGGATGTGTTAACACGGGCGGCGGCTTGTCGAATCGTTTCCACCCCACTGGCCATGGCTGGAAGCAGATGAGCCAATATCTTTGGGGCAAATGGAAGGACTTCTTCAGGGCAAATATCAAGGAATTCAACAATCCATCTTAGTGATTCGAGTAAGCTGTCCTCTTCTGTTTGATGTTAGCTGGTTAGGTCAAAGGCTCCAATACGAATTTCATACCCATTGGAGTATCCAAGTTCGCGGTAAGAATCTCAAGGATTTCTTTGTGGTTTACATGAACATCCTGACCGGGAACCCAGTCATCGTCACTGCTGATATCTTTGTCATCTAAATCCATACCCGAATCGTCGTCCGCGCCTATGTCTGGTGCCAACGATCCTTCGCTGTCCATAGAGCCAGACCTTTTCCGTTTCGTGTCGCTGCGCGATTTCCGACTTTCTTCGATTCCTTTCTTGATGCGCGATATTCGCTTTATTTCGCCAAGAAATCTCTCAATGGCACCTTGAGTAGCCACGTGAACATCACGATTCGGATCACTCAGGAACTTAAATAGCCCCCCAAGAAATTCAGGAAGGAAAGAAACAAGTTCTAGGTCTGGAATAGAATCTAACAAAGTTATCCATCCCACGAGAAAAGTTCGCGTGAATGGATTTATCACGTAGATCCGTTCTTTTAGTAAGGGAATGAAGCGGGCCAGGGAGAAGGCTGTAGGAAGATCTTCGGAATCCTCAAGAGTTTCTTTATTAGATTCAGACGTGGAATCATCAGAAGTATGAAGAATAGATACGTAGGTAGCTGCAGATTCGGAAACTATATCTTTTATCAAACGATCTAAAAGTTCTGCACCATTTTTGACAGAGAGTTCCGAATCTGCTCCTAGCTATTCGGTAAATCAGTCCAAGGATCTTTTAAGAGGCTCTAGAATTTGACTTGCCTTGCATAAAGCATCGAACATGTCGTTGAAATAAGGTAAAACTTCGCCTTTTGCTACTTTGGCAATATTGTACATGCTTTCGCATGCATAATACCTCACTCGAGCATCTTGATCTGTGAAGCAGGCAAGAACTGGTGGCACGATTTCGTCAAGATATCTTGCAAGGTCCTGTTAATCATGTCAGTTTGATGCATGTATGTACTCAATAAAAGTCTGTATCATACCGGGCCTAATGCAATAGCAGCAGCAGCCAGACCAATGAGACCACCATTCCTGGCATGTGGCTGATGAACGGCATAAGCATAATCGTTACACAGTTGTTGGATGATTTTTTTGATTCTATCAAACTCCTTGGCTGCCGTAAGATCTCGAATCACCCGTTCAAGACTGCAGATATCCGTTAATATATTATTACATGTAGCAAGGAAGGAGGTAGGAGGAAATCTTGAAGAAAATGAGATTATTCCAAGCTTACTCTAACGCGCCGACTTTCCGTTTGTCGTAAAGCTTATCATTCAGAGCACGTTGTATACTTTGATCCATCTTGAGCTACTGATTCAAGTACTCTGCTCAGATGGCACCCCTTTCAAGCTTTCCTTTTCATGTCGCAAAGTCAAGCAAAGCAAAACAGAATGGCGAAGAAGTTGGGTAGATTGGTGGATAGATAGGTGGATAGTTAATTAGTTGGAATGGGAAATCACATGAGTGAATGATGATGGACCATAAGAGAAAGAGTTGTATTCCATTCGAATGAGATGCAATCGATAATCAGATTTACCTCAAAGCGGTGAGGTACAGTACTATTATAATGTATTTGGATTGTATTGCAAGTGCTTTCTTGCGGTGTGAAGTGTTTCGTTGTTTGCTTGAGGCTGTGGTTGTGGATCTAAAGTTATATACGAGGCAGGAAAGGATAGGAAAGCTTGATGACGAGGATTCGTGATCTTCAATAATCAAAGAAGGGTCTACCCAATCAACAACCCGTCGTGCCTTTACGAGTATTTACGAGAATACAAGGCATTATACAACAATCAACAATCAATCATCTGTTTATATCAATTATTAATAACAACAAATTAATGATAAGAATCAAACTAAAGGTATTTCGAAATACAGATGTAATTACTCGTAGACAATTTTACAATTATATAATTATATACGAGAATAAGAAGCATTTCTCCGGACAATATAACGATTATGTAAGGTGGTTCCATTACACGTGACCACATTCACAAGGATGAAGTCAACTTCATCGAAATCGGTCCCGATAGATTCTCTGGTTTAGCCAAAATTTAGATTAGATTAGATTAGATTAGATTAGATTAGATTAGGTTGGATTGGATTATATGTCAAATTGTCAATGTATCATGTTGACTTCCAGGTAGTATGCATGCATGATCAGGATCAATTGCTGAAGTGGAGGGGTCAGGGTCAGGTTGTATTGCTTGCCTTTACTTTTCTCATTGTGTTCAACGTTGCGAATTTTCATCAGCTGAACATGAGCATGGGTATTGAGAGTTCACTCCCATATCTCTTCCTATCAATTGTCCTTCTAGTAAAGAACACAAGTGCCAAGAGACAATACGTGTTCCAAGATATGGAAAATCCCTTGGACGAAAAGGAAACCTGATAGAAACCTGATAGAAACTTGACCAAACATTCCAATACATTCCAATACAAGGCATTTGATCTTCTTCAAAGACAAACATCAGATAGCATTCAGCATTCGCCTCCTAGCTACCAGGTACACCTGTTTGCATGACGAGCACAAAGGTTGTCCGAGGTGCAATAGGGGCATTGGCCCTCCCAGCTGCTTGCTCTTGTGCCATGTGTGTAGAGGCTTGATCTGCCTGAGTATGTCCATGACCGCTCGCTGCTCCACCCTCCCGATTCTGAATTTGCAGCTCCCTATGCCGTGCAGCCTGAGATTGAGCGTCGCGTTGGCTGTTACTGTGACTCGCTCGAGCAGATCTTCTCGCGAATTCTGACTGAACATTGCTTAGTATTTTATTTCCAGCTTGGTTGAGCTCAAGCAAACTTACTCCAGGGTTTGCCCTCGCGATACGACGAGCAGCCTCCGGTGTCATGAGACGAGTGCCCATCTTGTGTCCCTGTAAGGCAATGGATCTCAATGTATGATTTGCGGGCGATGGTGAGTGGATTCGAGGGTCTTATTCAGTATAGTGTAGATTGATTTGAAAGATTGAAAAGTTTAGTTTCAATGATTCGAGGGAAAATTGAAGATATATATAGACTTTGCATTAGATTCTCTTAGAATGAAGATTAGAAGGCCTTATATGAATTTCAAATTTCGTCACAGAACGCCCCAGGATCCCGCGTTTGCCTTTCAATTTACTTTTTGTAACAGCCTTCAAGGACATGGATATACCGTAACTGGTAAGTTTTGCGTATGCCTGATATTGTGGCATTTTTCTTACGGCGCCTTTCATTCGTTCGCTTCATTTTATAAGATGTATTGGTCATACAGCACCACGATCTCCGAGAGCCGCTAAAGAGAGTAAACGAGCACAAGACATTCATCATGTCAGGCTCACTCCCGTCTGCACACTCAAGTACTCGTCCGTATCCAGGAAGCAACTCGAGTGGTCCTGGCTCGATTACCACACTACATGGTTCTGTAAAGGATAGGACAGAGTGTTCGGAAAGGAAGGGACGTTGCGATAAGTAATCATAAGAATGGCCTGATACAGATGTTCTGCTGAACGACCATATCTTGGGGCAAAGTAATGTAATGGATCGATACTGGACGCCATACCCGCAATCGCTTGCAGGATCTTTGCGAAACGTTGGACAATGACTGGCTGCAAAATCGAGAAACGGGACCCCACAGTCCCAGGCAATATATCAATGCATAGAAAAGCAGTGTTAAGAATCCTGTTCACCGCACCTTGTGTCAGATAAGTCATATACTGCAGTAAAAAATGTCTTCTATTGCAATCACTTCTGGGATGTATCTAGTGCCCATGAAGAATATCGCCTTTCTGTACTATACTCCTTTGGCATTTAGCAAGAATCGCAGCTTGCCTACCAACTTCTCCAAGCCTGCCAATGACATCTTTACTACCATCCACAAATCCGTAGAGCGCGTAGGGGATGCCCACGTCATTGCAAAATTCTAACACAAGTTTCTGGGCGCGACGGAGATTATGTCTAGGCATCCTAGGGAAAAGGTGATGGATAGCTTGAAATTGAAGACCTCCATGAAAGAAGTCCAGCCACTGTGGACAATCAACATCCATGGTCGTGCGGAGCATTTTCTGTGGAAAAGACTCGTGTGGGCCAAGCTCTGACGTGCTCATAGAGAAATGTGAAAGAGTTATCTGGGCATGCACCGGCATAGTAACCACATGGCTGACCAAGACAAAGACAATCCGCGCACCATTTGTCGGAATACTTTTGTAAATTACTCCATAACCAAACCATGACCAGAAGAAAATATGACCAGCAATTTCTAACCATCGTTGCCACCATGCAGGACCTCTCTTTGGCCCAAGGCCTAGAAGTAGATGTTCCCAGGACAAGCGGTAGAGATTGAATCGACCAAAACAGAGTACTACGTAATAATAGTATGATTGGTACGGAAGTATGTATTGCGCGAATGCGTCATACGTCATGCATCTTTCATAGAAGGTCGAGGTTAGAGAATTCAAGTATCTGTGAGTGACAGCAAAAAAGGGGATATGCTGGATGTCTGGATCATGCTCGGGTGAATTTGTCACAATATGGTGGACATTGTGACTGCGTTTCCACCATCCAAGTGATAGACCGCCAATGAAGTCTGCAATTCCAATGCCGATGAGGGAGTCAATCGTGAAGTTATGGGTGATACCCATATGACCCGCATCATGCACTGTGAACACCAATTGATGCCATAAGCAACCAAGAAACAATCCACTTGTCCCATACCAGCCCCACTTTAAGCACACGAATGCCATAGTGGCCAAAAAAGTGTAGCGGCAGCATTCAATGGCGTATGCAGCGTAGTTACAGTCGAAGAGACCTTCCGCACGCATCCTTTCGTCCAATAGGCGGTACTTTTGAACGATCTCGTCTTGCGTGTCCGGGTCCAGAGAAGGATATTTGGCATGATCTAGATCGATTTGTTCTCGAGTCAAAGCATCGAAGTGGGACATGCCATCATTCAGGTCAGGGGCGGAGGACACGGGGCGGTCCTCTTTAGCTGATCCTCTTCTACGCACTTCTGGGTAATCTTCATCGAATGTAGGCGAGGGAAGTCTTGACGTCTCAGAGCTCGTTTTATCATCGAAATCATGTTCATCCTCTTCGGAATCGTCTGACATGCCTTCGACATAGCTTCGAAACTTTCCGTATTGTATTGGGGGCACAAAATTCTTCCAGCGACCTTCTGTTCTACCAATTTGATATCTTCCCATAAAGGCTCTTGTTTCTGCCGAGTGAAGCCTACAAAAGAATTATTATTAGTCTGGATGATTGTGCAAGAGTGAATTGATCCTTTACTTACGCATTTACTTCATCTGTTGCATCTCTGCCTATCATATGTCTTATGGCCTTATCTCCTCCGGGATGATATTTCATCCAAGCATCTACTTTGAGTACGGCCTGGTCAACAACAATGATGGACCTGCCATCTGCGATGAGACCTTCGACTTGTCTGCGAGACATAATCTTTTCCTTGGAGGAGGCCGCCATGATCTTCAAGGGGGACATTGTAGAATAATCCGTCTCGTATGGCGGATTAGAAGAAACAGCCAAGAGCAGAAAAAGTGTAACGAATGTGAAACGCAATCAATTGATGCTTATTTAAAGGTTGTGTAGTATAATCATTTAGATTTAATTATCTTTCGAAGAAGTACTTGGTAGTAATATTTAGGAACTTGCGGTGTCTCTGGGGATGATGTTCACTAGTGGGTGCGAGTACCCCTGAGCCAGTGGCGGGGCTTGGATTTAAACCCATATATTTGTGGGGCTCAAGGGCTCAAGAGCTAAAGGTATCAAGCTCTTGAACTCCTCGACTCAACATCGGGATCGATATCAAGTTATCAACTCGATTCGACTTTTCTATGTAAATTATTCAACCATAACTAGATCTTTTATGGGATCCTCTCAATTCACGTTAATCTCGAAAGTGCCGTCGAAGATCAGATAACAGTGTAACTCCAAGAATCCCTAAACAGATTATACCTCGAAAAAACAGATTGTTTGATCATTGTCTGAAAGTGCAGATGATAGATCACCCCATTCTCCCATATAGATGGCGTGGATGACGGAACCCCCCGGGGACTGCCTATGAGTAAGACCTGGCATGGGAACTGATGCAAACAATATCGATCGTCTCAATGTGCCAAGCGCATTATGTGATTGAGAACCAGTTCACGAGGTTCACCGATCAAGTGTCGGAAATATCAGTGACGGTGACGTTAACGGACGTCGGGCGACTGATCTGCATTATATCATGTACTCTGTTTCTATGGAAGTTCAATCCAAATCCCTCATACCATAAAAGGTCGAACTCTTGTGAAGTTTTTTCTTGTTAACTTGAGTCTTTTGCTTCTCATATGCAACCTTGGCCTTCAGTAACACCGAGAGGGGACTTCATTGTGACCTTCTACAATGGGCTGAAGAAGCTCATGCTATATCGAATGAATTTAGAAGTTTCTAGAATCGGTGTATATTTCAGCTGTGCTCCAGTGTATCAGCTAGTACAGTTTACAGGTCGATATCATCACATCGCCGGGTGTAAAGTATGTTGTGATTGTCTATGTTATCGACTGCTTGGGCAATATTATTCGTTGGAAACATGCAGCAGTCTTAATGATATGATCATCTCAACTCAGTAATATTTAGTCCCAAACACTGCCCCTCGGAATTGTGCTTGTGGGTTAGGGTTCAACTCTTTCCCACATTCGTACACCGAGGAGAAGTCTCGCAATTCAAGGCGGTAAAAAGCCTTCCCCTATACCCCATCGAGCTTGGGATTGTCACAATCTGCTTCTCTAGGCTTCTCAAGTCAAAACCAGCAATCACTGCCTTCCAGAAGGGCCAATCGCTGTTTTATTCGGAAGTGACTTTTCATACCGCAATGGTACAAAATGTGTTTGCTTGCCATCTTTAGCCTTTGCGTAACTCTAAGCAAACCTATCAGAAATATACTACTGCCTAGAAAGAGCAAATCCAAGCACAACATAAAATACAATATATGATTTCCTTCGTTGTTATCTCCTAATAATTCCGGTTGCACATGAGGTAAGCCTCATTCTCCTGGCAAAATCGACAGTTCACCGCGTGGGGGCTTGGTATCTCTCTTCTTCCAAGTATAAAACGCTCGTCGGATATCCATCTCATACTTTCGAATCCAGAAACAATCAAGAAACATTATTACAGTTTTATAGACCCCTCAAGCTTTCAAACTTTCAAGCCCCCAAATCCCTCAAAATACCACACACAATGAATCTTACCACCTGCCTCCGCAAATGCAACCCCAACGTCTTCCGCCAACTAGACCCCTACACCGATCCAATCTACCTTCAATCACCCCACCGCCCCCAAACCACCCTCTCACATTCTCTTATGCTCCCCCGCTCTCACCCCCCTCACATCTATACCGACTGCCAATACTGCGAAGATGATCCACGCACCGGTGCCCATTACTGTCGTACTTGTATCGAAGCCCAATATTACGCTTTGCAAACCCAATCCCAACCACAATCACAATCACAAATCCAAGATATGTACATAAATTACGCCACATGCGAATGTCCGCATTGCGACAGCGGCATCAATTCCTCCACCCTTACCTCGAGAGGATATACCTATACCGGTGCGAGTGGGAGATACCCAAATATAAACATGGAGCCAGCGACTCAACAGCTGTAAGTATAGTATAACATTTCGCATATTTCTTGGCATATATGGCGTTTTCCCTTTGATTCCTTTCATAACAGGCAATGAACCACACGCGTGTCGCTCTCCCACTTCCAACTCCCACTCACACTCTCACACCCCCAACATTAACCTTTCCATGTTTCATATTTCACATTTCATATTTCACATCAAAGATACAGTCAGTTTATATATACATCACCACAACAAACGTGCTAACGAACCACAATAGACATAATACAGGAAGATATACACACATGCCCAGCAGCAGACTCGGACGAAGCTCTTATAGAGATGTGGGACTACTGGGTTCGGGCTCATGTTTAGCCACTCTAGGTAATTTGAGTGGGCTGGGTTCTGTGGGTAGTGTGGGTAGTATGGGCAGTTTGGGTGGCCTCGGGGGTATTGGTGGAGTGAGAGATGTGAGAGATACGAGGAATTATGGTGGAAGATATGGATTACGAGACAATAGGCTCGGGCTTGGATATCGACTGTAGGATTTTGGGTTTATTTTCTGGTCTTGCTATACTCTACTGGTTCGGTTGTTATCGACTATCCTTTTGTTTGGGTTCGTAATGGAATTCAGGAGCATCACGGGATCACAAGAAGAAGTTGATCGAAAGTGATTCAGAAAATTCTAGGCTTCATGGGTTATCAACGAGTACTGCACACGCTTTATGTAATCATATCTTACACGAATCACAAATTCAGTTCTCATGCCGATGCTTATGCTCGCACCACTCATTTAATAAATCACGCCCCCACCATCGTTGACGGTCTCTTAATAATGAACAGCCTTGCCATAAGTAGCCATAGCAGCCTCCTTGAATGCTTCCGCCAACGTCGGGTGTGCGTGACATGTGCGTCCGATATCCTCACTCGATGCGCCATATTCAATAGCCAATGTAGCTTCGGCAATCATCTCTCCGGCATTTGGTCCGATGATATGAACACCAAGGATTCTGTCGGTCTCAGCATCGGCAAGCATCTTCACCATACCTTCGGTGTCCAAGTTGGTCTTCGCTCTCGAGTTTGCTGAGAATGGGAATGTGCCGGTCTTGTATTTGGTTCCGGCAGCCTTGAGCTCCTGTTCGTTCTGACCAACCCATGCGACTTCGGGATGTGTGTACATGACAGATGGAATGGCAGCATAATTGACGTGGCCGTAACCCTTTTTGATGTACTCAACCACTGCAACAGCTTCTTCCTCGGCCTTGTGGGCAAGCATAGGTCCGAAGGTGCAATCACCTACAACTCGGATATGTGGTATTTTGGTTCGGTATTCCGAGTCGATAACCAACCTTCCCTTATCATCGGTCTCGAGACCGAGGTTCTCTAATCCGAGACCTGCGGTGTATGGTCGTCGTCCAATGGCAACAAGTACGACATCTGCATCAATCTGTACAAGATGTTAGCGTTATATGTGCAGCGTTCGGTAGGCTGAGCTTACGGTTTCTTCCTTGCCACCCTTTGCAGCCTCTAGGAAAAGCTTAATTTTCTCACCACTAACATCACCGCCCATGACTTTAGTGTTGACCTTGAACTCAAGACCTTGTTTCTTAAGGATCTTTTGCGATGATTTTGCGATTTCTAAGTCCATTCCGGGTCCACCAATTTGAGGTAAGAACTCAACGACAGTAACCTTTGTACCAAGTCTTGACCAGACAGAGCTCATCTCAAGACCGATGATACCTCCACCAATAACAACCATGGTCTCAGGAACCTTGTCTAGCGCAATGGCTCCGGTGCTGGTGATAATTCTCTTCTCGTCAACCTCGAGGCCTGGGAATGGTGTAGCTTCACTACCAGTAGCTATGAGAATGTTCTTTCCAATAAGAGTCTGCTCTCCACCTTCTGAAAGGTTGACCTTGACTTCATGCTCGCCAGTAAGTGTGGCTGTACCCTTGACGTATGTCACATTGTTCTTCTTGAACAAAAACTCAACACCCTTCGTGAGTCCAGAAACCGCAGTATCTTTCGATTTCATCATTTGTTCCAAGTTGAGTTTGACATCTCCGACTTCGATACCTCGAGCTTTGGTGTCATGTAAAATTTGGTGGTAAAGATGCGAATTGTTGAGTAGAGCTTTCGAAGGAATACAGCCGACGTTCAAACATGTTCCTCCGAGAGTTCCGCGCTTTTCTATACAGGTTACCTGCGAATAATGTCAAAAATCTGCAGACCCTCTCCTATAAAGCAAACCGTACTTTCATGCCTTCTTGACCAGCTTTGATAGCGGCAACATATCCGGCAACACCACCTCCAATAATGACCAAATCCTGCTCATCTTGTACATGTCAGTCGTTGCCGCCTCACGGTAATCGATTAGATCTACTGACCAGCTTCAGTAGCATATCCTCGTCGCGACAAGTTTGCAATTCCCGAAGGGGCGATTAACTTGGGAAGGCTGATTAAAAGAAAAAAGTTAGTATGCAAAACTTCCATCAGGAATTGAGAGCTGGTAGTCAAACTTACGAGGATTGTTGTCTGAAAGCAGACCTTGCGGCCGCTCTGGGCACTACTAAACTGCGAAGCATTTTGTATGAAGAGTATTGTTGTACTTTACAACAAGCTTTTGAGATCGCTGCCGTTTGTTTAGTAGAAGCGGATTGATCCGATAGTCAATCACGTGGCGTTATTTTTTTAAGAACCGCGAGTTCCCGGCGCCGCTTGGTTGTGTCAGCTATCCACTAGAGGCCAAAAAGAAACTCCAATCTGGCACTTGTAAGGTTTATTTTGGCTTAAGAAATACTAATCATTCGCAGCGGATGTATACAATGTATAATAACATCAAGGGAAGCACAAGTTCATAAATGATCCTTCTATTTTTCAAATTTATGTCACCACTCACCGGTTGCTACTGGAGTATATTAAATAAAGCATGAAGCCAAATTTCATTAAGGGATTTAATCTTCCAATTTCTAATCTCGCCTCGCCACTCACTCACTCACTCACTACCTACGGGTATCTTCATTGAGCAAAGCCTGAAGTGTATCTCCTGCAACCTTAGAACCCCATTTAACAGTATTCTTTTCAGCTGCCCCTCCTGCTATATCCGTCTTACCTACTACCTTTTTCAAAAAATATCGTAGTCCAGTTATCATCTGAGGTGTATCCTTCATCCTCGAGAACAGATTTATGACTGCCTTCTCATCGCGCCACTCTTTCGATGCCTTCTGGGTTTGAAGCAGAATAGTGATGAAAAGGACCTCGCAGAAAGTTTTCGTCTTAGCTTGTAAATAGCTGAGATTCAAATTCTTGAGAACGTTGAGTCCAAGTCCCCCTTCGGCCATTAGTGTACCAAACATCTTGGCTAGATTGACAATGTGCCTCATATCCAACTCTGTATCCTCCTCAAAAGCGTCATCATCATCGTCGTTTGTCTCGCCCATCTTCTTGAAAAGGTCCCACAAACCGAATTGAAATGCCATCTTGAGTCTCCTATCACCACATAATTTCTTTGCTATTAATGTATAGTATGGGTTGTACATCTTTTCGGCACCCGAACATTGTATCAAAACTTTCGGTATCTCAAGCTCTTGAACCTTTTTTAATTTTAGCTTCATCAGCCGTTGATATGCATCTTGATAATCCGAGGCGGACATGATGGTAATGAATACAGCTCGACGAATATCCGTGTTCATACGTTGCTCTCTAGCAAGCTGAATAAGATCAGATGTTCCTGCATCTACTTCTTGAACTTCTCTGGCATTCTTGGCTTTTGAGGTGGGCTCTTCATCGTCTTCGGCATTACCTGCCCAACTTGCACCAATCAACCACCATTTCCCCTTTTTATCCGAGTCTCTTATATCCTTGAGACCAATTCGTAGGGGCTCGCTCGCTTTTATATTTCGAATATTTAGTGTTCCTAGCGTCTTCTTCATCCGAATCGTATGCTCTGAAGTGACAGCGGAAGCAACAGCACCAGTTTTCATTTTATTATTTTTGAGATCATTGATGGTTTCGATCATGAATTTTGTTCTCACTGACAATTTCTCTTCGCCACCCGCCTTTTGGACGGCAGGTCGAAGCATAGTAACAATGTCCTTCAGTGACGAAGGATCATCTTGTCGTAGTTGAGGGCCCGAAATGCGTACAACCTTTAACAGAAGTTCGGCATTCAGTTCTGATAGCGTATCTAAAAAGAGCTTGATGTAGTCGAAAATGAGACTACTTCCCACTACTTGAAAATTATACAATTCTGAAAGTAAAGCTATTAGGTTAGTTGTCTCCTTACTGTCGGGAATAGATGATGAGGTGTCCTGATTCAGAGATACCACTCGCGCATAGTGCTCATCAAAGAGTTCAACTATTCTTTGAATTACCTGAGCACCAAAATCCGTTCCAATGATCTTATAGATCGCGGCAATAAATCCAGCGGGGAGGATGATGAGAGTATCGGGTAAAGTTGTTGGCTCGCAAACGGAAGTTAGGAGCAAATCGATAAGTGTAGAAGTCATGTGTTGACGGGGATTGACTCGATACAATTTTTCTATCTCTCCAAGGAGAGTGATGAGATTGGCTTCGGTCAACCTGTTGACCAGACCTTGAGTTTGTCGTCGCAGACGTACTAAATCCTCAGAATCCGAAGAAGATGCCTTTCGTAATGAAGGTGGAATATATTTTGCAGAAGAAGCTGCGGTTGCAGCCACGGGTGCCACATAAGGATTTTCACGAACTTTTGGCTTCGGGAGAACGTCTTCTTCACTTCCAGGTCCAAATCCTTCGAAGTCGTCGTTAGCCACGCCATCATCTCCAAGATCACTATCATGATCACCAGAATCATCCATTGACATGTCAGACGCTTCATCGTCATCGTCATCCAGCATCTCGTCGTCTTCGTCCTCTTCCTCATCCTCGGAGCTCTCGTTGCCCCTCGCACGCTTTCGGGCTTCTGATCTCTTGCGTTCAAGCCAATCATTCGCCTCCGCTTTTCCTTTCTTCTTTTGCTTAACTTCTTCATCTTCGCTCTCATCCAAAGCATCTAGATCACCTAAGAGCTCATCTAACCCGTCTTCTTGGAATGACTTTGGGAGGCCTTTCTTCTTCCCTTTCATTCCCAATTTCTTTTCCAGAGCAGCTATCTCATCGTCGTCCTCCGCCAATTTATCCTTGACAGCTTTCGGAATATTCTTCCCAATCCGCGAATCAGGAATCACATCTTCTTCACGGGATGCCTTCGCTTTTGGGGGGTCCACTTTCTTCGTCGTTTTCAATATAGATTTCGTTTGTGGACTATCGTCTCTTCGTTTCTCATGTATGACTTTCGCATTCAAGGGTTCAATATCCTCGTCTTCTTCATCGTCGTCATCGTCATCGTCGTTATGCCTGACATGTTGCGACTTCAACCGCTTTTGCGCAGGAGGTCTGGAGGACTGAGATCTACTCTGCTTCTTCTCATGCCGTTCTGATTTGCGCATTTCCTTACGTCCAGGACGTCTATACCCTCGACTGCCATTTCTACCACCATCACCTGAAAATAGAGGTAAGCGTATGAAAATAAAAGCCAGTGGCTAACAGTTACCTTCGACTCCTAGTTGCTGAAGAAGAATATTGGGTAGTTGTGGGCCTTTAGACTTTGGCGGCGCCATTTTCGTAAATATAGTACTGTAGTACTATTGCGAAAAACGTGAGGGTTTCAATCATAAATTACAATAAACTTTGTTCACAGAAGTCAAAAAGTAAAAAATATGCGGTCCAGCTTAAGTCAAGATACCGATAAGAAATTTTGAGGTTTATCCAAACTTTTTTCCTTGATTAAAATGTTCAGCCTCGCATTTTAGCCTGGTTTAAGACCCCACACATTTCATCACCCCACAATCGTCAAGCACAGCTTAGACAAGCATCACAACCACTATTACAATATGGAGTCACATTTAAGTAATGATGAGGTATGTTTATATTATTCCTATTGCTACTTTCTCGGATAAATAACCAATCTCTCTGCGCAAACAGTTCTTCTCAAAACTCGCCCCTCTCTTTGATTCACGAAGGGAAAAAGACCATGGTTCTATCATTTTAACACAAAAATGTTGTAAGTACTGCCACGCCCTACTTCCTCCTCCTATACAGGAGTCCCCCGCTACTTCATATCAACAATCCTTCTAACCGCACTTCTAGTCAACTACAATCCTACCTCTGGCGCTTTGATAGCTGTAACTCCAGCTTCCGAAGCTGACGCTGATGCCCTCACCGATGTCCTCTGTGCTCAATTCCCAGACCTCGTACGCGACGCCCCTATGCCTCTCCTCGTCCGTGCCACGAACAGTAAAGGCAAGCTCCAACGTACGGAGAAGATAAAACTATCCACCATTGTCCAGCCCGATCAATTGGAAACTTTCTTCGCTAGATATGCAGAAATATGTAAAGGTGGCATGAGTGCGCTCAAGAAGAGAGATAGGAGGACTGCGAAGGAAAAGCTCAGGGCAAAGAAAAGAAAGATGGGCACTGCTACTACGGCTGTCTCGCTGGGAGAGGAGAAGAAGTGAAAGAGTTGAAGCTATCTTTTGGTGGAAGAATTAAGTGTGTTCAGGACCGAGCATTGTTGCCTCCGATAGATAACCGAGCAGCGTCTTCAAGGGGGATCAAGATTTTGTTGTTCAATATCACAGCATGGAGTCGCATAGACGGAATTACTATTTGAATTCTATGGAATGGTATAGAAGAATGGTATAGAAGAGGATATACTTATATCAAAAAGGGCATATGGGGCGTTTGTCCGATCTGTCGAGCTACCGGAACGTCAATTACTTATCACAAGTATAACATCTTGCGTTTGGGACTGTTTTGAAAGTGTTATATGTCCATGGATCAATATACAGGCAACGAAGTTTCCGTCCTGCGCCCAGGAATATTCACAAATCAGATTACCAGCACATATCCCTATCCCCTTCCATAAATGAACAAATCCACTCGATCCTCCGAGTAGCCCTGTCCTCGCCTGCTACTATGATATAAACCCACGAGCCAACACACCACCATCTAATCTATTCATATAAGAAATCCTCTTATAGTACATAGACCCATCTCAATCTATACCACTGTAACAAACCCAGGTCGATATGAGACTAACCACTTGTTACCGAATATCAAAAAAAAAGAAAAGAAACAATCTTATAGATATCCATGCCTAAGAAAAACTAAGGAACGAAAAGAAAAAGAACGAGAAAGGAGAAGGGTATATTGATCATATCATGTAACAAAGACACAGAATTGTCCCGAACTCTGGAGCGTCTGTAGGTAGGTATGTATATTCATTCGTGAGTACATTTGGTCGAATGATCCGATTGATGCCTCATGGAGGAGTTGGGAGACGTGAAACCGAAGGAGATGCAATATCAGCCATGCCTGCTGCTAAAACTGGAGCTGGAGCTGAAGATGAAACCGGAGCCGAAGTTCCTGTTGTCGTGTTTTGAGGAGCATGTTGAGCAATGTGAGCTTCCGATAAAGTGGGACTGGGCAAATAACGTGGCTGTGGACTAAATCGATCCATCGTCATCTGGGCAATCGGTGCGACGGGCAACATCTCTGCATGTGTATCATGAATATCTGGCGCAAAACCTCCATTGTTTGTATCCCGAGATGAAGTATATGGCAAACCGTGATGATAGGAAGGCCACTCATCGTGACTCAGATAGAGACCATGATGACTATGATCGATAACCGTGGGAAAGTTGGCAAACTGGTTCTACTCAAATGAAATTTTATTAATCGGTGGCTCTTCATATATGGGTCATTCAATAATATACCTCAGATGAGCCCACATTGTCGGACCTCACTCCTTCACCGACGTCGCCAATCCTGCGTTCACCATGTGATGCGTCGTGATCAAATTCGATGGAGGGGCGGAGATGGTCTTGATATGCCATAGTGGAGTGCTCCACATCATGGGGATTCACCGTATAATCTGTCATGGTGCCGTATTGATGAAGGGGTGCTTGATTTGATGTGAATGCGGGCATGGTATTGAAATGTGCCGAATAGGGGTTATCGTCATTGTTCATATTCATACCAAAGCTGGGCAAGCTAGGATCTCCGTGATGGTTCACGGAATCCCAAGAATAATTGCCATATGAAGATTCGGGAATGTCAGGATGGAACACTCCTTGCGGAACTGCGATATTACTGTCCACGAGAGACGGAAACATGTTCATTTGACCATCTTCCTCGATAGTAGCCAGTTTCTTCTTCTTACTGCCTCCAGGTGGTCTGCCTCTCTTAGGCTTGGGGGGACCTCCTTTGGCGACAGCGGCAGAAGTGCGTCGCTTTTTCTTGACTGGACCCGCAGGAGCACTCTCGCATTTATTTTTCCCTTTCCGTGCACTCCCCGTGCCATCACACTGTTCGCAATCCCTCACACCGTCGCTGCTCGCGCCGCAGAACCAACAGTTTCCCTCGTGCTCAGCTTTCCTTTGTCGATCTGCAGGGTCACAGATATCTATGCCTTCAACAACCACCGCATTATCGATAAGTGGTCTCCGGGCTTCGTATGCTTCTCCTTCAAGCCCTTCTTTCGTTGCTTGACATCTCCAGCATACACCTGGACGAAAATCCCTTTTCAATTTGACTTTGGAGCCTTCCCAAAGACATAGTTCCGGGGGACATTTCTCCTGCGGCCACCCGGCAGGACAGCTGCTATGAATGATGGAGACTTCGACGTAGGTGCGATCGCAGCAACTATATCTAAAAGGGCGTATGACACACATGGTTTTGTGCCGGTGTAGGGAGTAGCGATATAGTTTGGAACTTGACTGTGTATGAGTGTAGCCGTGGCCGTTGTTCGCGTTATTATCCTGGTATTGTTTTGAAAAGGGAATAATATTATCTTGGAGTTCAAAGTTGGTTGTACATTCACAATCAAAATAAATCAAGGGGGAAGAGGTCTAGAACTATATAATATGAGCAAGACCGAAGTCATTTTTGATGGAGTGAATGATAAGATGTGATGCAGAAGATGGTTGATGATTCACAGCCATTTTTTAAATCTGAATTTGAAGGACTCATGTGATTGTGTTGTCCTCGAGTATTTTGATTGTTCATCAAAACTAACAACGGACAATCTTGCTCTTTTGACTGACAATGCTTGGTTGGCATACACTTTATGACGATAAATTCTGGCGTTCACATTCACACTTATTTATATATGAAAAGAGGCTGATCTCAAAAACAGACTTGCATTGCTATGTGTATCAGGCATCTACTGCCATTGTACTTGCTATTAGGAACCATTCTGTGTGAGAAGACTTTTGAATGAAAGAAACAAAGAAGGCAAATTGCATAAGTATCCACCTCCAGATGTGCAACGAAATAGTCGAGTAATTCCGGGATAGACGAATGGAACCATTCATCTATTCAATATAGAATTATCATCCTCCCGATGACTTTCTGGGGGTTAGATTTTTGATCACACATAAGGAAATCGAGCTTAGTAAAAGAAGAGTGTGTGTTGTAACATGGATGGAGTGTGTCGTGAAGTGTGGTACTGTCCGTCTGCGCAGACCCGGTCTCACATAATTTGATCTTGTGTGAGGTGAGTGACTTCGGTATCCATAGCATCACCTGCACCACCAGGAGTTTGGTACTTGACGAAGCTCAAGCCAAGAGGACGGCCTCCGTATTGATAACCGGAGAATTTCTCAATGGCGGTATCGGCATTCTCGGCAGAGTCAAATCGAACAACACCTGTACCACGGGATCGACCATTAGGCTCATATTGGATCTCGGCCTGCTCGACTTTGCCAATGGTGGTGAACAGCTCAACAAGATCCTCGTTGCTGGTGGACCATGGAAGCTGCATTACGGGTCAGTTTGTGAAGAATCAGAAGGGTTAAGCAATACTCACGTTGCGAACGTAGATGATCTCACTTCTCTCAGCGCCGGCGGTGGCGTGATCGGTGAAAGGGTTAGGCGCAGCCGCGGGAGCTCCAGCACCACCATCAAATCCACCAGCACCTCCAGCGTAACCTCCTCCGAAGCCGCCACGGCCTCCGCCGAATCCACCGCCAAATCCGCCACGGCCACCGCCGAAGCCTCCACGTCCTCCAAATCCAGCACCGAAGCCTCCACGGCCACCGCCAAATCCTCCACGTGGACCACCGAATCCTTGGGCGCCTGCGAAGCGATCTTCACGTACTTCGAGAGGGCGACCTTGCCAGTCATAGCCATTAAATTGCTGAATGGCAGTGCGAGCGTCATCAGGGGACTCAAAAGCAACGATACCGGAGCCCTTTGGACGCCCGTCAGGACCAACATGAACATCGGCACGAACGACAGCACCATTTCGGGCTGCAAAATATTGATCAACATCGTTCAAAGATTAGTGTCAGTGCAGGGGTGAAAACATACCAGCGCCGCGGAATAGATCCTTCAGATCTTGCCATCCAACGGTGTAAGGAAGCTAGATCACCAAGTCAATATTCTCGATCCCACAGGTATACAAAGGGGAAAGATGAATGGGGACAAACGTTGGAGACGTAAATTTGACGTCCTCCACCTCCACCTCCACCACCAGGGGCCATGCCGCCTCCGAAACCACCTCCGAAACCACCACGTCCTCCTGGTGGACCGCCGCCTTCATAACCGCCACGTCCTCCTGGTGGACCGCCGCCTTCGTAACCGCCACGGCCTCCTGCTGGTGTACCGGTGAATCGAGGTTCGGCCTCACGATCCTGTTACGAGAATTAGTGAACTTTGAATACACTTTGAATGGTACGGAATCTCTGCGTACCTCTCGAACGTAAACGAGTCTTCCCATAAGGTTCTGGTTGGAAAGAGTGTTGACTGCCTGCTGAGCTTGCTCCCTCGTAGCATATTCTACAATGCTGATTTGAGTTAGCAATTGAGATTATATGAGCCAAGGCTGTTTACTTACCCGCATCCCTACAATACCCGCGGAACAACGTCCCAATCCGTCAATCCAACATTCCATCAAAATCCAAGAGAAAAAGAAAAGATTCAAAGCCAATCACGTATAGGCGCCCACCTTCGACATTCCATTTGGAAGCAATAACACATCAGCAAAGAGGACCTCTCCAGCTAAAGAAATCAAAACCTCCAGTTAGCCCATATCCCCAACTCCAACCTCCATTATCGAACACTGACCAGATCTCATAAAGTCTTTGAGGTGATGCCACTTAACGTCGTATGATAAGTTGCCGACGTAGACACGGCGGTCTTGTTGCGATGATTCTCGTAGACTGCTCATCATTTGTTCTCTAGCGGCAGCTCTTTCTTCGTATGTCCTATGTGGTTGTCCACCGTAAGCTGACCCTCCAGAACCACCTACACCTGCAGCACCCGACATTGGGGATCGAGATCTGCGATCGTTTCTGCGATGTTCGTCACGGCTACGAGAGCGACTGCGAGGAGAGTATGAACGACGACGTTGAGTGCGTCCTGGACTACGAGAGCGTTGTCGACGAGGTGAGCGAGATCTCTCTCTCTGTGAAACGTAAGCTTCTTTAATCATTAGGCAGACCAAAAGACAAGGGATAAACAAGGAATGTGTCTTGTGCGAGAAGCTTTGTAGGTGTGGGTTGAACCATCAAGGTTTTTTACGCCATCAACTAGGAAAAGCCCCCACAGAAGCGCACTGGCGCGCTGCGATCAACGGGATCTTACGACTCGTTTGCGCATGAATATGGGATGGCATAAGCCGAAGGCTCATAAGGCTTTCAAGGCTGCCTTAAATTGCTGACACCCAGATTTGCGCAATATTATATTGAAATAGTTATTGAGGAAGAAGAAATTGAACATACTTGTTGTGGTCGATAGGAGTCGTCGGCTAGATTGAAGAACGATTGTTAATAGATTGTACAAAAGCAAGTAAGATTGAGGTGGGGTGGTTTGTGTAAAAGGTTAAGGAAGAGTTGAAGGTAGGTCGACAATGACGTGAATAAAGCAGGACAAAAAAAAAGTGAATAAGGAAGAAGGTGAATGGACGAATGGGGAATGGAGGGGAAGGTGTTGGGAGACATACCCATTGTATCTTATTGTGAATGAAGTATTAAGGTGATAGTAGAATCAGGAGGCTGCTGCTGCTCAATGCTCTAACCTGCAGGCTGGAGACGAAATGGACTCCTTAGTGACTATGCACAAGGATTCTATGGACTAAGTAAGGGCGAATTAAACGTTTCGTTTAATTGATCGAAATCGGTAAATAAAGTGAACCAGTGAAGCTTCGTGAAGAATATTCGATGCGGCTTTTTAGGACCCGTAAGGAAGAAGTGCTATAACAAGGGCAGAATGGCACAGCGTCTGGATTTTTCCTGCGTCAATGTTCGTCAACAAGGGCGTTACCAAAACAAAAGGATAGTGGCGAATGTCAAGGGTTGGCTCTGCCTATTCTGAACGCGTCTTCTGCGGTGACAAAGCTAGAGGGAAGCTGATGAATGGATTGGGAGTACAAGAACTTGGGAGGGGAAGGGGGGAGGGGGAAGGGGGGATGGAATATGAGCCATGAGTGAGAGCTTACCTGTTGCTTTGACCAATAATTGGTTGGAAAAGCTGAGATACAGAAAATTTGTTTATTCTCTTTTCCCTACCCGGCTAGTTGGCTCACAAGGATCTACTTCTCCTTAAGGGTAGTACAGGAGATAGATGGTGTGGTTCGAATTTGTATATGGGGGTGTGGGTGATGGGTGTTTTTGATGATGGTGTGAGGAGTGAATGCCCATAGAGACGCGATGCGATGCAATGGATGGAGTTGGAGAAAAATAGCGTGCAGGAACTGTTACCTTTTCGGTTGATAGCCGGCAGCTGCTTCCTCTATCAAATTTTGGCCCCAGCTGAGACATAAATCATTAATTAATGTTATTTAAAGCTTTTAAACGGGTAATAATAGCTTAAAATGGTAATTGTTAGGTGTGCAGTTAGTAATTAAATATTGGTCACTATCACGAGAATTATATCTACTCGTATATTCTTTCTGAGGTTGTTCAAATCATTCCACCGAGTATTTTCTAATATCGTATTGTATTGTATCTACTGTATCTTCTATACACATCTTCATCCTCATCTTCATACACATCTTCCTCTTTATCTTCATCTTGATCCCTCGTCCTCATACTCATCCTGATCGTCATCCTCATCCTCATCCTCATACTCATCCTCATTCTCATTCTCATCCTCATACTCATACTCATACTCATACTCATTCTCGTCCCCATCATCCTTAGCACACACCTTCTTGAAATATCGATATACGAGGATACAATATGCTAATACTTAAATTTGGTGAAATATTTCCATTCTTTTACTGCACTTTTAAGTGCAGTAGACTCTCAGGTACTATTGGATTCGCTATTCTGCAAGTTCGAAAACGGACGGGTTGACCTACAAAGTAAAATCATGCGAGCCACTTGTTCTCCACACCTTCGACATCTATATATGGATGGATCGTATCATTGCGGGCATCTTCACCCTCCAGCGTCTAGCGAAATTCCCGGACTACAACACGGAAACATGGGCTCTTTCATACTTGTAATCCATGGCCCTGAAGTTGGCTTTAGATCACCGTCTCCCTTGAATATTTGGTTGGTCATTATACCATTCACCCTGATATTGGTACTTACCTACCACATGCCACAATTAAGTTCGAGCTCATGGATCCCAAGGATCACCTCGGCTTTCGATTTTCTTTTTACCTAAATAGCCTCTACAATCATGAAGTTCAACAACCTCCTACCAAGCTCACGGATTCTCTAATAGGTACAGTACATACAGACCCCGCATAGTTCACAGGAACAAATTTTGTGATTAATTCGATCAAGTTTGGTTCAACTTACTTGAATAAGGAAGCTCAAACCTGTCTCCCAGATTAAGCAGACCAATGATGTCTCTTGAAATGGGAGTAGGTATCCACCAATCGTTCCCTTCTACTCGATCTGAACCTAGGGTCTTTCACACATTATGTGCGATCTCATTCCATTTTTATCCAATTGAACAAGCTACAGAAATGGAAATGGAAACGCAGATGCTATGCCTCTCGGCGAACTTCACTTCTTCATGAAACACGCCCAATATAACAGTTAACGTATGAACAAGGAGAACGAAAACAGCTTCTCTCCACTTGTTGGGTTTCTTAGCTATCTCATGCATGCTCACCACCACTATGGAAGAAACGTTGAATCCGAAGTCCTGAACGCCAATGATATGATGATTCCCAATAATTGATGACCTGCAGCTGAAATCTGCAACGATACTTGCTGGGCTTATTAGCTGGGCTTGCCAGACGGAAGCCATTCCCCGTAGCACGACAGAATCAAGTTGATATGTGCACGAGACGATACCTCAACCATAAAGTGTCATCTTCAAGCCCGATTTCAGCTGCTCTGATCTTAAGGAACAAGATCAGATTGTAGAGATAGGTTCATTTCCCCTGATATGTACAAGTTGTATGTGCAGTACTGTACTATATATATATATGTCCGTTTGTATCTTGCAGAATAAGGACAATTTCATGCAATACGATGTTGCCGTTGCATCCCTAGGGTAAGGCCCATATTGCATTTATACAAGGGACAACGAAAAGTGTGACGAGAAAGGCACCAACCAAATCATGATATACAATGCTGTGAGAGGTAAATAACATTTCTTACTGTACAGTATGTAAGAAAAGCGGATGAAAGGTAATAGACAGGGCATTCGCACCAAATAGAGCGATCAACACAAGAAGGCGAGCGTAATCATCGAATTGCTTGCCTGCTTACTGAAAAATGGCCAAAATTGTTAACACACGAGGCTCTGCGGCTGTAAAATGAAAGGGGACGGGGGAGGGGGGAAAGGGGGGCTCACTTCAACTCCGTAGACCTCGCGAGGGCGAACCTAACGGTTTATTCCGCGGGACGGGCAACCATTGGCCCATGCTGAAGCTATCGGATTAGAAAACCTTCTAGTAACACCACCCAAATTTATCCTCACAAACCACCTCCCAAAATGTCATCTCCCACAATTAGACTCCTGCCCCGTCATCTACGGCCTCGTACCCACCAATACAATCACGTAATTCCCGCCTTCCTCTCCGCCCAATCCTTCCATTCCTACGATCGCCCCTCACCCTCCGATTCACCCTTCCCACCTACGGAAACAAGCATCCTCCGCGCCTCTCTCCCACATATCCCGACTCATGGTTTTACTCTCGACACCCTCTCTCTCGGCGCCCAAGATGTCGGTTATATACCTGCCGCCACGAATCTTTTCCCCAAGGGAGCTTTCAGTCTCGCACACTACCATCTATACAGTCAAAGACTAGCTTTGAAGAATCATACTGAGCTCATTGCTCCACCCCCGGAAACCGAAGGCAGCGAACCACCAAAGGGGGTAGGGAAAAGAGTCAAGGCCCTAACGTGGGAGAGATTGATGGGAAATAAAGATGTGATTCATAAATGGCAGGAGGTTCGTGATGTTCACTCCAGACTTTGGATATGTTCCATAAGAAACTCCAAAACATTTTGAAAACACAATCCTGCCCCAAAACAAAACCTCATCTAAACGTACTACAAATATGTACATACAAACCAACTAACCTCCTCCCACCAGGCGCAAACTCTCCTCACCCTCCCCACCAATCTCCCCACCTCCCTCCGCGAACTTCACGCCCTCTCCGACGATATCTGGTTCCTGGCCGGAGACATCTCTATCGATACTTCTTGGTACACCAAGCGTGCTTCACTCTCCACCATCTACGCCGCTACCGAGCTATACATGACGACTGATAAATCCGACGGGTTCAAAGAAACTCGGGGGTTTTTGGAGAGGAGGTTTAGGGATTCGCAGACGCTGGGGGGGATTGTGGGGGGAATTGGTCAGTGGGTGGGTTTTACGACGATGGCGGGGATTAATGTTTTGAGGAGTAAGGGGGTTAGGGTTTAGCGGATGATACAATGGGAGGATGGATATCCATTTGACATCGGACGGTACGATAGGCAGGTAGAAGGTCATGTATTCATAATGTACTTTTACGTTGATAAGTTGCCACCCTTTGCAACCATATGATCCATATGATCAATATCATATCTGGATCCAAAGACCAGTGCACAATAAACGCCATATCTGTCGTAAAACATAGCACCAGAGTTTTCCAGACCATGAAGTCCCAAAGTTCCCTACCTCAACGCCCCTTGGAAGTGAACACAGCGAGAAAAGAAGAAATATTTTGATTAAGCGGCACCTATCATCTCAGGAAGAGATCTTTGATTTTTCTCTCTCGGATCATCGAGTCTGTTATGCGTTAGAAATAAGATTTGTCATTAGTTGACCGCATAGCTTACTTGTGAATTTTGACATCTTCTCCAATTTCAATACCAGCTCCTAATGCTTTGGGCGTGATTAGGATAAATTGTCTACCGACGGCGCGTCGAGCTGCACTGATCTATGATGCATTAGTAGATATCAAATTTTGCATTGAGAATGCTGGAACTTACAATCATCTTGGTGCTCACATCCCGATTGACATCATCCATGAAAACGTCGAATTCATCTAAACAGCGAAGAGGAGCACCCATGGCTTCCCAAAGAGACAGAAGTAAACAGATGGATGAGAATGATTTCTCTCCGCCCGAGAGAGTCTTGGTTTGTCGGCCCTTTTTGTTGCTGCTTGTCTCGTCTGGTTCGACATGAACGTCCAATAATCTGGCCTTGTGATCAATTGAAAGCCTACCCCTAAAAGCTCTCTCAAGGAGTAAATATTGGAAGTTTATCCGAGATCTGGCTGAAATGTGTCTTTGGAAACTGCGGTATTGCTTCATACGCTGTCCAAAAGACTGTTTGAGAATTTGCAGTAATTCTTCCATGTGATTGCGGCGTTCTTTGAAACTCTTCAACAACTCTTTGGCCCTTGCCCAATTTTCTAAAATTTGTTGCTCTGTGACACCAAGTCTCTGGCTATACTGTTGCAATTGATCCGTGATGCTCTTGTACTTCGCCTCAAGACTAGCTCTAGTTTCGTTGGGTGGTATGGGAATCCTGGCACATATTTGTGTTGCATCTGCAATGTAAGCTTTCACGGTATTCTCCTGCTCTGCGAGCTTGACCTCTGCTTCTGTCTTCATTACACTGTATGCCTCAACTTGTGTAATGGCGGTATTCTTTTCTCCCAGTGCGATACTACGTGCTTGAGCTTTGGCTTTCGCCTTCTGATTTGCATCGGAAATCAACTTTTCATGATTCTCAACACGTTTCTTTGCGGCTTTGAGGGCATTTTTGTGTTCAGAAGCCTTCGCATTGTACTCTTCCTTTGCAAGACCAGTGGCGCCATATGCGTTCTCGTAATGTGCCACAAGACTGCTCGCTTCCTCCAGCTGTCTTTTGAGAGTGTCCAAGAAACCATCCTCTACATTGAGGTTGCTAAGTTCAGTTTCCAATGATTCGACACGTTCCTCAGTCTTCTGTACGCGAATCTTCAATCTGCCTTGGGCGACTTTGTGTTGTTGGATTGCCTTCTCTGCTTCTTGAGCACGCTGTTGTAATGTACGGCAACTGTTTGCAAGTCTCGACTCTTCGTCTTGAAGTTGCCTCAGAGTTTCCTGTTGCAAGATGATACGGCCTTCGCCATCTGTATTCATGCGAGGTTTAAATGTGTAGGGCCTGACGAAATCCTGTGCACTATTTTGATTGTTGGAACCATTTAAGTACAGTCGAATACCCCAGCCTCTCTTTTGTGGATTGTGAGTATAGCAATGCTTAACGTGGGCTGGCTTCGACCCAGGTTCCATGATCCGCCCTGCTTCTTTCAGGTCGTCAACCAACAAGACCTGTTCTATCGCTTGGTTTATGATCAATGCATTCCTCACAATCTCACTGTCAATATCCAGCATTCTCAAGATAGTCATGAAGTTTTGATCGGGCTCGTTTTGAGTGGTATCAATGTGTTGAGTATTCGCAATAATGTAAATTTGAGTCCGGGGTATGCCTATTGCAGATATGATCTTTTGTAACCTGACTTGGTCTGACCTATTGGTAACAATGAAAGCGTTCAAGAGGTTGCCAAAGGTTACCTCGAGAATATCTGACCACTTTGGATCGCGAAGTTTCAAATGAATACCAATAGGACCGACAGGCGTGTGAGAAAATTCCCGGTTTTGTTGTATACTCTGAAGTAAAGCAGGCATCCTGGCGTCAAAGCCACGCATCGGATTTGGTCGCTCGTTTTGCATGTCTCTCAATCCGTTTTTGCAGTTTTCAACATCCTTTTTCTTCGCAGCCCAAGGACCTTGCTCTTTTTCAGATGCATTCTTGGAAGCTCGACTTTTCTCTACTAATGCTTGCATCTCTGCGTGGCATTTCTCTAACTCAGCTCTAGCCTGCGAAGCTTCAGTTTTAGCAGCTTCGATTTCCGCGAATTTTCGGTTGAGAGATCCGCCATTAGCAGCCTCTATGCGCTTCTGCTCGACGTCAATATCCGTTTGTGTTTTTTGGACTCTTATCCTCGCTTGTTTAAGCTCTCCTTGACTGTCCTTGTATTCCTGGTGAACTCTTTTAATCTCCGAATCTACCTCCTCAACTCTCGACTTGGCTTCTTGCTCTTCCTCCTTCAATGGAGCAAGCTCATCTCCAAGGATCTTCGCCTTCTCGAGAGCTCGTTCGACTGAAGAATCGAGTGTCTGGTATGCTCGGTCCTTCTCCTCCACAGTCCTCTCCCTTTCTTCAATCTTTCGCTGTGTGTCCGAAACTGTTCTCCTGCGCTCCTCCAAATCGCTCTCTTGCTCGTCAACCTGACACCACGTCAACTGGTTTCTCAAAAGTCTTCTCTCCACTCTCATATCTTGATGCTGATCAAAAATTTTCTTCTTCGCCGCCGCATCCTCAGCCTGTGTTTCCAGCCCCTTGAGATCACCGACACTTTCGTTGAGAAGATCCTCGATCTGATCACAGCTCTCGGAAACAAGCTTATAATCATTATCAAGCTGTTCGAGCTGTACACCCTTCCTGAAAAAATCAAATTTCTGCGACGGTGTAGAGGAAGTGATGAAAGTTTTCGCTTCATCCTGAGTAAGGATATTCATTGGGTTATCGACTTGAAGTTGGAAATACTCCACAATATCATCCATGTCACCCTTCTTGGTGGATATAATGTTGCCTGCTACACTCTTCAACTTGTAGCTGCTACCACTACCCGACCTCGAGAAATGCCGCTCAACAATAATCGACTTTCCGTATATATCTGACTGATAGGCATCAGGACCCTGATTCTTTAACCTGACAAGAAGCATCCCTCGTTCAGTACCTGACTTGATCAAGCTGTTCATACTACTTCCACGGTTCGTAGCACTAGGCTTTCCTCCCAAACAAAGTGTGATGCCAGTTAAAACCGCACTCTTTCCACTTCCATTCATTCCAACAACGAAATTAATGAGTGGCCCCAACGGAACATTGAGGTTTTCGTGGTTCATAAAGTTCACGCATTGAATGTGTTCGATGATGGAATTATCGTTAGCATGATTGTCGCCGATCATTTGGCTTTTGGTGAGGAATTGCCGTGTGGCAATTGCATCATCGTGTTCGGGGTGTTCCAAATGTTTGAATCCAGCATCACGAAGTATCTCATACTGGGTTCCAGGAGGCATAGATGTTTCTTCATTGTCGTTATCGGCATCATCGCTGCCATATTCGGAAGAACTAGAGGAGCTCTCGTCGCGGGGTTGTGACGATCTCGAGGAGGGTTGACCGTTCGAGATTTTGATTCGCTTTCGTTGCTATAATAAAGTGTCAGATTTTATGAGCATTAATGGATTTTTTCAGGCATCCTTGAACGTGTAGGACGTCTGCCAATCTACAGAAGCGTGAAAAGATAGTGGTAGGTATTCGAAAATAACTTACGTTATCAGAACGAAGGGCTGAGCTTGCGCTCTCAGTGGCGATCACATCCCCCTCTTCGTGTCTTACACGCTTTAGAGGAGCCATGTTGCAGTTATGCAGTTATTGATGAAGGTTGAGTCGAGTCGCAAAGTTGCTCAAAGTTGATGATTTAGTGGTGGACGCGTTTGTTAATTATGCGAAAACACCTGATGAACCACAATCGCGTGTACAGTACTCGTAGTGAATTGAAGCCTTTTAATTGGCGCAACTAAAACTACTTTACAGGGCGAACTGTTAACAAACCAGAACAACAATATTATCAAAACTTTGTAAGATTACAATGTACATACACATTTAATTCTCAAAACCAAATGTATCAGGTAGGGCATGCTACATTATACTTTATTTGCGGCAATTTAATATAAGATCATGGTTCTTCAATAAACGTTGATGGATTAATCACAGAGTACACTTGAGTAGTTACTGATATTCATTCATTCATTGTATCATCTCAAGAGCTCATATTTTCCATGCTTTTCTATCTATCGGTACATATCTCCTATTGGAAATTGGGCTCATGGACTATTGAAAACGAACTCCTTCTAATACATCGCAGGTTAAGCTTAGTTGTTACAAATGATTAAGAAGTTGCATCTTCTGCTGCTTTCAATGCCATCGCAAATCGCGCTTTCAAATCACTCGCATCCTCAAGGCCGACGCTGATGCGAATGAGTTCCGCAGGCACTCCAAATTGTGCCGCCCAATCCAGTTCCAAATAATGGGCTAAGATCACATAAGGCGAAGTCAATGTGAAATTAGTTCCCAGACTAGGACCTTTTGCAGTCTCAATCTTATCAAAAAATGCAACCGCTTGATGCATTTCCTTGAAGGTGAATGAGAGAAGTCCGCCATACCCTCCATTCGGTGTACGACATTCATCGTAAAAGGTTCTAGAGACGTTGTATTTGGGGTAGTAAACCGACTTTACCAATGGATGGGATCGGAGAATGTCACAAATGACTTCGGCGTTGTCATTGATCTTCTCGATTCGAGATACAAAGTGTCGGCTATTTCGTTCCATGAACATAACATCTTCGGCCCAGTAGTTATCTTCATATTCTGTCCTGGCTACGGCCTTCAAAGATTGATAATACTTTCCACTGGTATTGAAAATGGCACTCCCACCCATGACGTTGCATTCTCCTGAGAAAATTTTCGTAAGACTGCTTACGACTATGTCCGCGAATGGTAGAACATGAACATTGATAAAATTACCAATAGTCTCGTCAATTACCACAGCAAAGTCGTATTCATCGGCCAATTTCCGGATTCGTTTGAGGTCCGGACAGTTCAGCATTGGGTTCCCTGGGAATTCACAAAATAGTGCGAGATATTCTTCTCCTGCTTTCAATCTGTGCTCCAAGTCATCCAAATCCTCAGAGGAACCGTTGCCGTAAAAGGTACAACCGGGGCCAAACTTTTCCAGAATCTTGAGAGTGTCAACGTACGGGAAGCCGAAAGATATGCTTTTTAAAGAGCCTCTGGTTTTCAACATCATCTGGTGGGCATTGAAAATCGAGTTCATGCCGCAAGGATAGAGGTAAACATCATCCTCAGGAAGCTCAGCGACTCCACGCATGTTGGAGGTCATGTCTGCGCTCGGGCTCTCGGTCAAATCCACTTCATCAACCAAGGAACCTGCTATCCGACGGCGAATTGCAGAATTTGCATTGTCCACGAAAGAAACGTCAAGGTTCCGTCCAAAGCGTTCTTCTAAGAACTGCGAACTTTCCCGAGCCTCGGAGTTTATCGGCGAGATAGGTAGATGATGGCCATCGTCCGCCCCTGAGCCGTTGTGACTTCTAGATGTCTTGTCTATAGAGCCTTTCTGGTATCTCCTAGGGCCTTTGCATAGCTTGTCGCCATTCTGAGGACTTGATGGATTTGTATTTTTCACTAGTAATCCTTCTTGGAAGAGAGTGTGGCAAAATTCAGCCCTTCTACTCGAGACACCGTCTCCAGAATGCTGCCAGTATTGCTTCGCAACTGGGAACAATTCCTTGGGAAACAAAACAGCAGAAATTGAAGGGGAAATTTTGGTGAGAACTTCCGATGATACTCGATTACGCTCAAGGTCCAAATCAACCACATTCAGTTGTTTTGAAGATATTGACTTGTCCCTCGAACGCATAAACGCCACACAGCTTCTAGCAGTCTTGGGCGATGGAAAGAGCATCGCCTGCTCGTTTTGACTGCCATATGCTTTAACGATATCATCGGCAAATGCGACGATAAGTTTGTGGATGAAGAATCTGAGTCACGAGACCGGCGTCAGTTGGATGAAAGTAATTGAGAAGAGTTCAGGAGGACGAAAAAGACTGACCGAGGATATCCAGTGGTCATCTTCCCCACTACCCTTGGGTCACCCTCTTCATATCCAACATTGTCTTTCCATGTTGGCAATGAAACACTCGTGGCCTGGGAAAGTATTAGAGAGATATATATGGTACCTGAGTGACAACAAAAGGGTTTTTCTCTATTTCTTAGCTATAGTATAAAAAAAAAGGAAGTATTTACATGTGGTGTCAAGGTAGGAACAGAATCTCCAAGTTCGATAACAGACATTTTGAGTTATAATTCAAAGACAAAGTGTTATGGTTGAAATATATTACTGATAAGTGTTAAGAGTTCTTTCGTTCCTTTGCCGGTTTGCCAATTTACTTAAGAATCCCACTTACTACCAGTAATAATTGTGCAATATCTTATCCGCTATCGGAGTACCAGGATTACCAGGATTACCAACAACACTCTAACAATTAAGCTTAAATATAGCGTATTGGGGCTAAGACATTTCGCAACTTTTTTCGAAAAATATAATTTTGGGAGAAGGCTGACAATATCCGCCCTTCAACAAGATATCTACATTATGGCACCTCTTACGACAAAACGACGCAAGTTGGAACACACAAGTGATGACGAGGCTCCACAACTTCAAGATTCAAAGGTCGACATCGGCGACATTGGAGCTGGTTCCGTCGGAAAAGAAAGTTCATCACAGGATGTGGATGCAGTTCGATCGACGCTCAAACATCCGCCCGCAAAGCGACAACACAATGATCAAGATGCTGCACTGTATGCGGGTGGTCTCTATAAGTCGAGCATGTTCAAACTCCAGGTAGACGAGCTGTTGAACGAAGTGCGACCAAATTATGAGAAGCGTGCTGCCGGAATCAAATCCTCATTGCACCAACTCAAAAATGCTATTGAGGGCATTGAAGACCGAGGACCCCTCTCCGTGAGCTCTGTCTTGAATTTTAAGTCTATGCCAGTCACTGACATACGTTATATAGATCCCTGATGCCATCAAATTGTTTTCCAAAACTCACAAAATCGCCATCCCCTTTCCCGATCCTAAACCCGACAATAATGCAGCCTACAAACTTACATATTCGAAACCATCCGCAATTAATGTTGTTGGAAGTTATGCTTTAGGGACTATGGTCAAGTCTGAAAGGTCTTTGTGTGTCGATATGATCGTGAACATGCCGAAATCAATTTTTCAAGAGAAAGACTACCTTAATTATAGATATTTCTATAAGAGGGCGTACTATTTGGCAACAATAGCAGCTGGACTACATACTTCAATGCCAGATTTGACTTTAGAGTATGAATTTTTGAATGAAAACAGCCTACATCCGGTCTTAGTAGCTCGATGGAATTCTAGTACAAAAACCGATCAAAATTCGCGATTTGAAGTTCATATCATACCTGCTGCTCCTCGAAACTTCTTTCCAGAGGCCAAGCTACGCCCTGCAAAGAACTCGATTCGCCCTAAAGATGAAGCAGGTAGCGACACCACTGCAGCGGAACCTTCGCCATTTTACAATTCGTCGTTGAGCGCGGATTGTAACTTTGAATCATATCTCCAGCTCCTTCATAATGCATCCAAGGCATCAGAAGGATTTAAAGATGCATGTCTGCTTGGCAGAATATGGCTTCGGCAGAGAGGTTTTGGCAGTGCTATATCTGAGGGAGGGATCGGGCACTTCGAGTGGGCCGCCTTGACAGCTCTACTGTTGAAAGGAGGTGGTCCCAAAGGACATAGCCTTCTGTCCCCGGGATATAGCAGCTACCAAATGTTCAAAGCTGTCGTACAGTATCTGTCGACTAACCATTTGACGAAAAAGCCAATGCTTTACGAGGCACCAGATCTCCAAGCAGCGAAATCTGAGGTCCCAATGTTCTACGATGGACCCAGAGGGGTCAACATTCTATACAAAATGACGTCGTTTTCTTACGAATTATTACGCGATGAAGCAAAAACTTCGTTGACGATGCTTAATGACTCTACCTTTGACCAATTTGAGGCAACATTCATCACAAAGGCCGACCAAATTCTGCAGAAGTACGATTGCATCGTTAATATTCCTATACCTGTTCAAAAAGATGGTGTATTCAATTGTGATCATAAAACCCACACTACGACCTTTGCTAATCGTGTGTTTGCCACGTTGAAGGAAGGCTTGTCCGATAGGATCCAGCTCTTGGATCCCAAGGGGATTGAAACAAAAGCTTGGTCAATCAAAAACTCGGGACCGTCAATAAATGACGGCCAGACCTTGAATCTCGCCGTCCTCTTTGACCCAGCGAATATCAGTCGTCTAGTTGATCATGGCCCGCCAGCAGAAGACAAGAAGAAAGCAGCCAAATATCAAAAGTTCTGGGGCGAAAAGGCAGAGTTAAGACGGTTCAAAGATGGAAGTATTCTTGAGAGTTTAGTCTGGTCATCTGGCTCGACGTATTCTATATTCGAGGATATCGTCACATATCTTGTGAAGAGACACTTAGGAGCCGAGGTGAGTAAAGGGTTGAGCTTCATTGGTGAAGGTTTCGAGAAATTACTACCCTCGTACGGAAGTGGCTCTAAAGATTTCGAGGTCCTCAGGCAGGCGTTCAATTCTTTCGAAAAAGACATTAGGGATATGGAAAGCCTACCATTGCAACTGAAACAGCTCTCTGCGGTGGATCCTCAATTACGGTCTTCGTCGATTGAAGTTCCGTTATTTGCACCAAGACAGCCTCTGGCTACCCCAGCTGATGTCCTGATTCAGTTTGAAGGGTCTGGTAGATGGCCAGATGATGTTCTTGCCATCCAACGAACTAAGATTGCTTTTCTTCTTAAGATCGGCGAGCTCTTGGTTGAATCTAATGACAGCATAAGTACAAGACTCGGCATAGAAAATGAAGATCAACCACTTCAGAATTGTGCTTTCTTGGATGTGTTCTATCCATCGGGTGCCACGTTCCGTCTTCGGATCCAAAATGAACGAGAACAAACACTTCTCGAACGTCAAGTCAAGGACAAGACCATTGATAATCGATCACGAGAAGATGCAGTCTCGGCACTTTCTCTTTATAAACGGTTTAACACCCAGCTCCCATTACATACGCAATCGGTATCGACCCATTGTACTCGATTCCCTCTTCTTTCGCCAACCATTCGTCTTGTTAAAAAATGGTTCGACCGCCACATGCTTTCCGGACATGTCAGCGGTGAGCTTATCGAACTTCTGGCAGCTCGAGCCTTTTTGCAACCTTATCCCTGGAAGGCGCCATCGAGCGCTATGTCTGGATTTTTACGAACCTTGCTTTTCTTGTCGAAGTGGGATTGGCGATCAAGCCCGCTAATCGTAGACTTCACCGGTACGATGACAGACAAGGATGTTTCTACCATAAACACCAGGTTGGAGGCATGGCGGAAAATAGACCCGGGCATGAATCGCACGGTTCTATTTGCAGCTTCGAATCATGACACAACGGGCATCGCTTTTACTAATGATGGACCATCGAAAATGGTAGCTGCACGAATGACTGCTCTTGCGCGATCAGCTTGTAAAGCCGTCAAAGACCAAAGCCTAGCTTTGGATCAAAGATCACTATTTGCAACTTCCACAAATGACTATAATTTCGTCATTCATTTGAATCCTAAGGCTGCTAGCACCTCGAAGGCAAAGGATTCGCATCGCTTCAAGAACCTTGAAGTGCAGTCAGAACTGAGCCTCGACAAAGTCGACTATCGACCCATCGAAATGTTCAGCGAAGAATTAGAGAGTCTATACAATGGTAGTATCGTCTTCTTTCGTAGTGCGACAGATATTTCACGAATTGGAGGGTTATGGAATCCGCAAACAGCAATCTCGAGAGCGTTCAAGGTGAACTTGGCATATGCGGCAAAGCCAGTGGGAGAGAAAGATGGGGAAGAAAAGGAAGAAGAGGCGACACACATTGAAATCAATAAATCGGCGATATTGGCGGAGATTGCTCGCTTGGGAGGTGATATGGTGTCGAGGATAGAAATTCATTGAAACAAGACGCTTCCATTATTATTAGCCTATTAGGAGATGCAATGTACAAAGATACGAGATCATAAATGATACCCATGTATTGAATAAAAGTCCAATTTGTAAGAGATTTAGAGTCTCTTTCTTTTTAACTGAATATTTGACCCACCAAACTTTAGTGCTCACATTACGATAATCATCTAGACTTACTTTACTACTAAATTTCCCTAATCACTCAATGGCTTCTTTATTCAAGCATTTGCAAACTTTTGAGAACTCCTTGCAATATTCCAATGGGAATGGATGGTGGAATCATAGCTCACGCAAGCTTCAATGGCGGTATCATTTCAGGAATTTCAAATGTTCAAGTTATACTCGAGTGTTTTGATAGTATGAGCTCAACAAGACTTTTGCACAGCTAAGCCAATGTTCTAATCATGGCAAAGCTTCTCGATGGGAGTAGAGCTCACTGAGAAAACTCTCGGGAAAGAGGAAAGAAGCTCACGGAGGTATACTCGAGTATAATATGTGAGAATAAGAGCTTATCGGGAGCTCACCGGGAGAAATCTATTTCAAGGGAAAAGCTCACCGGGAGTGGGACGTATTGGCTCGAGCATTTTCTGTTTCAATGACCCACACCTTCATTCAGCCTTATACTCGCTTAGTTTAGTGGGGGTAAAAAAGTTATCGCGGGGCAATATGTTGATGGAAGTTTTAAATCATACTGAACCTAAGCCATTTATACTCAATTTCTCTTTTATTAGTTGTACCTATTTCGTGCTACAATGGCTCCATATGATAGTGATTCATCCGGTGGTGAAGAAGGGGATTACTTGGAAACCAATGTTGTTCTTGGTTATGCTGGGAAAGAATCTCAGGATGATATAATCAGTTACCTAGGTGGTGAGCCCGTAGGTTTTCTCTTCCCTTTTATTCCATTCCAATTCTCTATCTCGAATACAATCTAACACCCAAACTCAGACCTGGATCGACCCTACCCTCCCTCCATCCGCCGCCCTTGCAAGATGCAAAGTCTGCAATGACCTCATGGTCCTGATCCTCCAACTCAACGCCGATCTCCCTTCTGACTTCCCCGATCACGAACGCCGTCTCTATATCCTGACATGTCGCCGTAAAACATGTCGGAGAAAGGAAGGAAGTGTTCGCGCATTGCGCGGTACACGAATTCTTGCATCTGCGAGTAAGCCAAAATCAAGAGAACCCGAGAAAGAGAAGCCAAAACCAGAGCCTACAAAGCCAACAGTTAATCTGGGAGAAACTCTATTCGGAGGAGCTAAGGGAAACCCATTCGCGGCGGGCTCGAATCCTTTCTCCACGGCATCGGGAGGAACAACATATTCGAATCCTTTTGCAGCAGCCGGTCTACCCACCTCCGAACTCGCTGCCAAACCCCCTCAGAACCCTTCTCTATCCCCCGAACCCACCTCTTCGGAAACCCAAAAAGACACTCTCCCCAAAACTTTTGCATCCGCCCTCTCCCTCAATAACATCCAACCCAAACCTTCACCTCAAACCCCTCCACCCAACGAACCCTGGCCTACAACCGATCTCCCGACCCCATATCCTCTCTTCTACCTCGTAGATGCCGACTACGAGACCCTCGACAAAGAGCCCCTAGCTCCACCCCCACAAGCCACAATCGTTGACGACACTCCCGACTCTTCGTCTGGAGGAAAAGAAGACAAGGAGATCTTTGAATCCGCCCACGATACCACTTTCCAAAAATTCGCCGATCGTCTGTCCCAAAATCCCGAACAAGTGATTCGCTACGAATTCCGCGGTTCTCCTTTACTCTACTCCAAAACCGATTCTGTAGGAAAGATATTTGCGGATGCTGGGAAGGGAAATGAGAAGGTGAAAGTGGGTAGTGGAAGCGGGAATTGGAAACTACCGCGCTGTGCGAACTGTGGAGCGGGGAGGGTATTCGAGGTGCAGGTTACGCCGCATGCGATTATGGAGTTAGAGAAAGAGGAAAGTGGTCTTGATGGGATGGACTGGGGAACTGTGGTCTTGGGCGTTTGTGAGAAGAATTGTGTGCCTAACTGGGTAGAGAGTGGGAAGACGGGATATGTGGAGGAATGGGCGGGAGTGCAGTGGGAAGATTTGGGTGGTAAAAAATAGGAGACAAGTCAAGTTGATTTGAGTGGCTAGGGTTATAGATAGACAGTTGTCATTGCGAATACCATGTGAAGAATGAAGCATTATTTGGGGCTTTGACTTTTTAAATTTCATTAGGCTACTTGCAACAGATTTCGCATGCATCATACAGGTGAAGATTTTCACAATGCTGCTACTATCTATGCGACGTCTAGAAGCCAGCCACACATCTCGAGATTCCTCGTCATTGAGCGAGATGCAAAATAAATGAGGATTATGCATCTTTTCCCGTTCCTCAAGGACACCCTGATATAACGCCAACCTCCAAACCATTATCCCTTGCATACAAGCATTTCTCATAATACCGAACCACCTCCGCCTAACAAGGTTGTTCATAAGCTCTCTTAATTACCCTCGAGAATTGTTCCATCTTAACATTCTCCCGAACCACGGTTCCCTTGGCCTCATTCTCTTTGTTTAATGGAACGATGACGACAGCATTCTCGATGGTCCATCCACACACCTCCTTGATGAATTTCTCAAACGCCTCTCCGTTCATACCCAGCCAATTCCCCAACTCGGAACTGGGGATTTCGCGGACAGATTGGGAAATCGTGGAGGCGATGCGGATGCGGATGAGTTCCTCAAAGCTGTTGACGTCGGCAATGAGATCGGCGTATAAATCGTCAGAGTCGAGCGTCGACCAGAATTGGCTGTAATTGGCGGCGGAAAGCAGGTTGTTGAGGATGGCGAGTTTCTGTACGGCTTCCGAGAGGGGTGCGTCGCCTGCAGCGGGGAGGGCAGAGGAGGATGAGATGGGGGTAAGGATGTGGGGAGGGAGGAGGTGCAGTGCGAGGCTGAAGTCCGGGGAGGGGAAGACGGTGAGGGATTTGACGAGGATGTTGGTTATGGTTTCGTCCTTGGTGAGGTGGGGGTTGAATTGATAGCTGTGTTTTGGGGGTTGATACATTAGTTCATCTTTCAATTGAGATTTTGGCCATGGTATTGAGAAATTGATGTGTATCGTGTCTTTCAGATAGAGCTAATAATAAACTTCATGAAAGGGAGGGATTCATTCTCCAAGTTTCAGTCAAAATAGAACGTCTAACCGTTCTTTCATCATGTAGACACGATTTCCTCTTTCTCAATATTGTGGGTGTCTTGAGGTGAGCAGTTGAGATTGTTGTGAGCGAAAAGCTTCGAGCCTAGAACTCTTCCTCTCTCTCCCACTCTCCACTCAAGCAAAAGAGCAAAAAAACAAGAACAAAAACAAAAACAAAACTCCAAACTTACAGTTTCAGAAGCGCCAAATTAGCATAACAATCATAAGTTTTCTCCTCACACTGCTGCGTCACATATTCCTGGAAGATATTGGTAGTTTCGGGATTGTAACGATCGAGTCCGTTGAGGATAGCATCGATATGTTCAGGCCTCTCGGGCGCGAAATCAAAAGGGACACCCATATTTTTGTTTTATCGTATACTATTTATGGTATCGTGGGTAATGGTGTGAAAGAGAGGTGTGAGGTTAGGGTGGTGGGTGAGAGACGATGCGGTGGGAGAAAAATTGGCTGGTCGTCCAAAGAGAGAAGAAGTGATGTTTTGAAAGAAATTTGAGGTTTTGCACTTGCTGATGCTTTGTTAGGGCTGCTGTGTGAAATTATTTTGCCGATGGCTAAGTGGGGGGTTGTTCGTGCCTTAATGTGAAGGCATGAATTTCAGAAAACCTACCTCATACACTTCCCAATGAAGTCCTCCTGTCTTATCTCTTATCGGTCTTCAATCATTTGTTGTTTCTAATGTGCAAATACAGTCTCAAATAATGGAAGGATCAATCTGTCTTGGAAAACAGCTAAATATATGTTCGTTCACACACCCCTTCAGGCAAAAGTGTACTTCACTGAGTGAAGATGGATGGATCCATCTACATAAAAACGAAATTCCAAAGAATATACCCAAAGTCTTCTTGAGAACTATTCAACTACAAATAACTGGTACCTTAATGTGATGCCATTTCCTCCATGCCCTACATAAATGCGTGGTGGCATTTCCTCTCATTTCCCTCTCCTGGGACTGAAGACCCCGTTCTCTTCTCCTGTTGTAATCTTACAAGCACTCAAGCCTTTCCCGGTCTGTTCATCCTACATTCTCTGAATGTAAAACATAAACGATATTTCCGCTTTAATTATGAACGCCAGTTCCAGTCCATACTAAACGAATGGTACGTGGACCCCCAATGGTATATTTTGCTTACACTCCCAAGGTCCATCCTACAAAAGAAAGTCATATTTATCCTCATCGCTATCGTCACCTCGCTTTCCCAACCCCTCCCTTACTACTCACAGCACTCATCGGACTAACATTATCCACGTTTCTCCTCGAATCCCACTGTTGATTCACGTTTTCATTCATGCCATAGAACCCTTCACCAGCCACACTGCTATGTCCACTCCCTATATCTGGTCCTGGATCACCCCAGTCACCCAATGATTTCCCACTGCTGTATTTACTCTCATAAGTCCCTTGACTCGCAGTTCTTGTTTCATTGGTCATGAATTTTTGAAGTGGTATTACTGGTGCTTGACCTGATTTAGGATTGGGCATCATTAATGGATCGGGATACAGATCAGGGCCACGTTCAAGCAACGCAGGGCTGCTTGATTTTGAAACGCTCTTTGCCAATATAGGTAACCATAGCTCTGGGCGCTCAAGGTCGAAAGGATCGGATCGGCCAGCCACTCTGCGCGTATTATTTATATTGTCGGCTGTTGAGTATACTGTATCGCGAAAGCTCTCCGTGCTGGGTGCTATACTTGATGGGTACCGTGACACATTACTAATGCTTGGGGTGCGATATGCAGCCGGCCCATACACACTACTTGGTGCATTCTTATGACCTCGAGTAGTACTATCCAATGACTCACCGCGAGAACGACGGACGTCACTGATATATGTATTGGTTCTCGGGATGGCAGGATCAGGCCGAGAAATAAAATCCCATTTGTTGGTGTCCACAAATGGATTAGCATTCGAGTTTGAGTTTGCCGTTCTTATAACAGGGTCCGCAAATGGATCTTGTGGAATACCGAAATCTAATCCTAGGCTACCAAGCATTTGTCCGGAACCTGAGTTGGCGGAAAGGGAGAGACGACGCCGCTCAGCTTTCAGTAATAAATTGCGATCATCCATGTCCAGTAGATTCCCGAAATTCTGGGGAGTGTTGAGATTGGTCTGCTTTTCCGACCTTCCACGTGCCATCGCAAAAGGATCATTTTCGACTTTCGGGGTTTTTCGAAATACCCCTCTAACTTTGCTCGTAAAATCATCCGCTCGGTCCTTTGCGGCGACGTGTAATGAGTGCGCAGATGCCGAAGAGTTATTCCTGCTATGATATGGTATAGGGGTCTCGAAAAATTGCGAATTCCCTCTATCCAGATCCACGGTTGGCTTGTTCCCTGGCTGGACGTGAGACTTAAGAGTAGAGCGTATGCCAGCCAAACCCGCACCAAAAGTTGTCGCGGCACCACCTATTTGGGCCTTGAAGTTTGTACCCTGACCTGCTGATCCTACGGAATCATCATAAATATCGTAATATTGGCCCTGTGCCTTCTTGTCAATATCATAGAATTGATCCCGAGTGCCAGTGGTTAGAGGTGTGAGGAGAGAATTTCTCTTTGACTTTCGTCTTTTGTTGCAGAAAAATATGAGCAATGCTGTTAATGCAAGAAATCCGATTCCGCCTAGAATTCCTCCAATTATTGGCGCAGTCATTATGCGACCAAACGAAGAAATTCCACCTGCAGCCGATGATTCCACTGATTGTGTTGAGGATGCTGTGACGCTTCCTACTGAAGTTGCATGACCGACAATGGGATCATGTGTTGCGGGATCATGAGTGATCGAGGCTGTAGTGCTTAGTTCACTTTGAGCAATTGCTATTGAGGTACTTGAGGACTCAGTCGGGGTTGTACCTTTGGATGCCGGGCTAGCAGATGTCGTTGTACTGAGTTCTGTCGAGGATGTCTGAGCTTGAGATATACTTGAAGTGGCAGCTATCGGGGGTGGTGGAGGAGGTGGTAAAGGTGGAGGGGGAGGAGGTAAAGGCGGAGGTGGTGTGCTTGATGTGGATTCAGTCACGCTTGTAATCGTACTTGATGATGACTGTACCACTGGTCCTCCCACAGCAACAGCTGCCGGTGTATTTCCCGCCGCTGCTGGGACTACACTAACCGGTGTTGAAGCGGCTTGCGGAGTTTGAGTAGTACTTTGCGATGTCGAGGTCGAGGTCGAAAACGAAGTCGAAGAGGAAGATGTTGATGTTGATGTTGAAGTGGATGTGGATGTGGATGTGGATGAAGAAGAGATAGATGTAGAAATGGATGTAGCTGCAACTGCAGTTGGTGATACTGTAGTGGCTGACCTTGGGACAGCAGTACATCGTACGCCATTGATAGAAGTGATTGAAAATCCTGCCGGCAGGTTCGCGCTCGTCGACATGTTGTAGAATAGAAAAAGCGACACCAGTCGCTACAAACGAATGTATTGAATCAGCCTTCAAGGATATTTTTTTTTAAATATTGGCTCCTCGGCCCTTCAAGCTGTTTTCATAATGGTATGTTGTCGAGGACTAACGAACGGCAACCAATATGTATATAAGTCTTACAATGAGATGTCAAGCCAAGAAAAAATGAGATTAGATTGAAGAATCACAAAAGCTTCAGGCACAATGGTATAATGAGTACTGTATCAATTGCTTGTTCAACGAGAAAATGGTTGAAAGACTTATGATCTTTCTTTTGTTACACTGGGGAGGGGCATGATGTTGCAAACCTGATACACGATTTGTTTTACGCTCTGGCCTTCTTTAGTTCTCGCTTCCCAATCAATCGGATATTTTGATATTTCACACTTACACACTTACTCGAAAAGCGGTAAGACGTTGAACTATTCCGTGAGCACAAGAGGTGAGAACCACCTTAAGCTTGCCGCTGCCAATTGGGACAAGAGGATGATTTAATATAATGTAGGGCAAGGGGCTTTATAGAATTGGAAATGAATGTAATATTCGTGCCCCCGTCCCGTGTGGGTGAGAGTACTATATAGGGTTGTAGCAAAGGCTAAAGTATTAGTGATAGGGATAGGATAGGCTGGAAAAATTCATATTCTTCAAGGGCAAGGGCCGAGAGTGAGGTTGTATTCAACGCAGTCAGGACTCAAGTAGTCTTTGTTTCCGGACAAATTAGATTGAATAACAGGGGGAAGGGTTGCTTGTTGTAAGCGATCCGGTTACTCCAGACTTATTATACAGTAGAACCCTTCTAATAAGTATCATTGATGCATTGGTTGAATAATGATGTTGCACACAATGAAATGCATATATGATATGTTATCACCTATTTGGTTCTGCCAAGTCCAAAGGGTTCGTTCTTTTTACAGTGACCTGCATATAGTCACTCACTCTCACAAGCATTTTAAGGAGCTTTCGCCCAACACTATTCAGAAGGGTATGACAAGGCACTCTTGAGCCAGAAACATAGAACTCCTTCGCCTCACCATTCTGAAGGATATAGGATACATACTATAAAACACAAAAAACCTTTCGCTTCACTTCATCCCAAGAATTGGAACAAGTTATAAAGGCTAAATGAATCCGGATGTTCACATAACCAGCTTCTACGTTTGGCCATCACATTTTCTTGTTTGAGCCTCAATGATTCTTCTTGGCAAGATGTTTCTTCGGAGTTCTAACCCTAATTAATACTTGTACCTGTCTTTTAATAAGTTGTAAGTTGTAACTACTTGTAACCGATGTCCACTCTTCCGATCTAACCTATGGAACCGTTCTCCAACTTGTTTCTGTCCCAAGAATCATCCTTATTCGGTGGAATCGATTTGCTATGACCATATAGTAGATCTATTATAGTATTATTCGAGAGACTGGTATGCGGGAGACGGTATCAAATTGATTGAAGAACAATATAAGAAGTCCGTGGTGTTTTGATTAAGAAAAGATTTTACTTGACTATCTTGTCACGGTTCTTGAAAAAAAAAAGCATGATTTAGAATAATATGATAGATATATACTACTTGTACTTGTACTCGTAGTAGAAAGAAGGGTTCCATTATCGGTGCCAGTTTTGTCAATACGCATCTACCTAATACTCAATACTCGATACTAATAATAACAATCATTACCGGTAGTCCTTCCATTTTTAGTGAATTCTATTCATCGCTGACTCGCTGACTCGCTGTATATATTCTGGTACTTCAAAATCATTGGTTTATACTTACTTACTATCATATACACAGCCCACTAAAATTCAAGGGATTGATTGGAAAAGAAGTACAATTTGAACGACAACATATGCATTATATTATTCACGTGACATAAAGTATATCTAAGACACAACCACCCATCTATTATGCCCCAGTCACTTTTGATATAATGGTAATGGTACTTCCTCCTTAATACAATCAAACCCGTAACATCACCGCGAAGAGTCTTCACATCGGAGAGGAGGTACCTTTTTATTCACAAGAATCGGCTCAAGATTAAGGGAATAATAATATCTTCGGAATACTCGAGTAAACAAAAGAAGGTCTATCCATCAAATCATCATCATGTTTGGTAATTTCACAGGTTTTGGTAAGCAATGAAAGTTCTTCCTGCTCCTCTTTCTACTTCACGATCTACCCATCCATTTCATATTTGGCTCAAGGTACCACTTGAGGCTCATTTCCTCTCAATTATATTTTATCTTCCTGTTTATTTTACTCCCAGTCCCTCCAGCCGTCTGGGTATTTTACTCGTTCATTCCGTCGTCCAGACTTGCAGAACACGGGATGGAAAATAATCTATATTCAAGACAGCTCAAAATTCTTACTCTTTTATAGCACCGCTATCTACCACATCAGATGGTAAGCCGCGGACCATCCCACCAACAACACCTCTCACGTTTCCTTCAAGCACACCCCAGTCTCCTGAGTATATTTCTCCAGGAGATATACCCCTAGTCACGTTTCTTCAGACCATTCATCGACCAGCGGATATAAAACCATCACATTTCGAGGCATTGGGAATTCACATCATCCCAAACGTATCTCCTCAAGATTTCCTGCCAGATCCTTCATTCCTTCCTTCTGATGAGGAATGGACAAATATCTCCGAGGAAGATTTAGAAGATGCGACCACAGCCAGTAGACGACCTTTAAGCAATGGTAATAAAGGTCCTGGAATAAAGACTTATCTTGAACGTCGAAGAGAACTTTCCATTGACAACACGGTTGCTTTCCGTACGGTCCGGAGAATTCCCCAACCAATAGGAATAGCAGCAGCTCGTTTAGGCAATTCATATGAATTCTACAGAAATCTGGAAGTATTCTCAACTTACTGGGTTGATACCTCTCTTCCTAAAGAAACCGCCTCTTCTTCTGGGGCCACCAAAAATGTTTCCGAAAATAAATCCGAAGGAGAACTCAAGGAAAAAGCCGACGATACAGTTCCACTTCACCAACAAACTCACATCCGCACCGGCACCGGTTCTCAGCTCCCCCACGAATATCGCCAAGGCCTCGCAACCGCCTTTATAAAACTCATCGCCTACGACTTCGGCTGCAACGTTTCCTTCCCACGTGTCGAACCCCGTCTCCATATTTACCCACACGCACCACAATCCTCATCTGCTCCTTCTCAATTCTCCGCCATGGGCACCGCAATGCTGTATCGTACCCCCACCGACCGCAATTCCGCCCGCGTCGGTTTCCAGGAAGGTCCCCTGGCAGCTCTCTCATGCCGATCCACCACATCCTTTTCCACACCCCTCGACTCTAACCTCGATCTCGCTCGTGAGATCATTACCATCCTGCTCACAGCCCAACAACGCAATCGTGAAGGCAAAGAAGAAAAACCCTTTGGGGAGGGGAAATGGTGGACTACTGTTCCTCGTTGGGGCGGCGGGAAAGGTGGTTCGATTGGTAAAGAAATTGAAGTCACTACTTCGAATTCTTCCTCCACTGGTCTATTCTCAACAGAAACGGAAAAGAAGCCCCTTTTAACCGATATCAAATCCAAAATGGGTGGCATCGACCCTCTCTTTTTCTCTTCTCAACCCTCCATCACCTACGAAAGACGTCCCCCACAAAAGAAACCCCGTACGGCGCGTCTAGGAGGTCAATCACAGCTTTACGAAAACTACCGCAAGATGATGCCGCCGGCTAGTACGTGGGATAGGAAGGCGAGGTATATGGCGATAGGTAAACCCGAGGGGGTGCAAGGAGAATGGGATGAGATATTTTTGGTAAGCTGTTTGAATCATCATGTGAGTTTTCTGCGAGGGAGAATCGGAAAGGGGATTTTAGGGGTGTTGGGTGGAGAAACGGATGGGAAAGAGGAGTTGAAGAGGACGGTCATTTGGAGAACTAAATGGTATGATCTTTTTCAGACGGGGGATAGGGTGGAGGCGATGGGGGTTGTTTGGGGGATGGTGGCTTGGGTTATGAGGGAGGTGGATGAGGGAGGTGGATGAGGGAGAAGGAGAGGGGGGTATGCATGGGGATAGGTAATTGGGTAGGCATTAGGCTTTGGGCTTGGAATGAAAGGGGTGAAGGGTCGTGGTTACGTGATTTTTAGAAAGATCGATTTGGATTGGGAGTGTGATTGGAATTGGGATTCGGAGTCGGAGTCGGAGTCGGAGTCGGAGAGTTTCTTGCATATGCTGGAACGAGGATCCATGTGGCTATATGGAATGGATGAATGGATAGTACATACATGCATGCATGCGTACATATGATAGATAGATGAATATCCAATGAATTTGAGAAATTAAAAACGAGAAATGAAAGTTTGAACAATGTAAAAAGTTCAAAATTTGACAGTATCTTACAATTCTTTTTTGGGATATATATCTATTGTATCAATCAATATCGTGTATACAAATTACGATGACGATTCGTTTGATGATGTAAGGTAAGATAACTGCTGGATTCGAGATGTTTGCTTTTACTTTGATGTTGATGTGAATGTGGATGTGGATGTCGATTTTTGATGTGATGAGAAATTAAGGGATACACTCGAGTAGGACTTTAGAAAGGTTAATGTGGGTTCATATCTTACATGGGAGATTGGAGATTGGAGAAGTTGAGGATGATTGAGATGTTGAGAATGATTAGGGAGAGGAGAGAGAGGGGAAGGGAGGAAGAAGGGAAGGGAGGAAGGGAGGCAGGGAAGAAGAAGGGAAGGGAAGAAGGGAAGAAGGAAAGAATGGTAGAGTATGGATTAAACGGAAAGAGCGGAGAGCGAGGAGGTGGATTTGAGATGGAAATGAAAATGGAAAATGGAAATTGAAATAACAGACAAGGAGTAGCGAAGGGAGTGGGGTTGGGGAGTAGGGTTGGGGAGTAGGGTTGCCAAAGAAGTGGGCGCGGGGAAAAGAGGCAGAGTTTGCGGGTTGTGGCATCTACGGGGGTAAAGCAGGAAAGAAGGTTGAAGAAAATAGAGGTGGGAGTAGGGCTAGGGATGAGAGTGAAAGTGGGAGGATCAGGGGAAGTATAAAGAGTATGAGGGATGATAGGGTGAGATATGAACTACGTGATGTATCATGATATATATGAAGAGAGAGAGGGAACACAGAGAAAGATAGCGCGAGTAAGAATTCTGGTATAGAGCATATGATGCATGTAGGTTTTCAATCAAGTTTGCGCTTGCGAGGGGATAGATAGAATGAGGGATAATCAAATTTGAGTTCGAGTTTGGTTAGTGCAGTGATGAACGAGTTATAAATTAGAGTGCATACTACTGCTACTGCTGTTGATATCAGTATAGTCGAGTTATATATTTAAATACATAAAGTTTCTTGAAAATTGTTAAGAATTCTTCATCTCCATCTCCATCTTTTTTGGCATCTCTCGAGCATTTGTGTATCACTCCTCATTCCTCATTCCTCGATACATAATACTCTCAAAAAACATCTACTAATAACCATATCCACACCTCCGCAACCGATTCCAGCAGTCCCCAAGCACTTGATACAGTCCCCCAGCGCAAGCTCAAGCTCAAGCTCAATCCAAACCCCAACCCCAGCAAAACCAAGCGCACCGACATTGAACACACTTCCAAACAAAACCCCCGATACAATACCGACACTTATCTTACTCGCAGTTCTTCAATGACTCTACGTATCATATTGAGCTATCAAACAAATTGCAAAGAAAACCAACATAGAAAAGTAATAGTTCGAGCGCATTTCATTTTATTTCAGTTAGTCAAAAGAACTCACGAACGAACTAGTTGAGCATTAGTATTAGCATTAGCACGTCACCGAAAGATTCCCGGCCGGCGGTAAAGCAGATCAAGGAGAGCAGAGCAGAGCGTCAAAAGATTATTCAATAACACAAGACCAGCGTTTCTCCATACGGAATATCTCCTCAGGCTCGCCTCCTCATATTCGTCGTTAACTTGAGGAGCTCGATGTCTTCACCGAGGAATTGTATTACTCTGAAAGAGCTAATGACTGAGATTCCCGAGGAAAGGAAATACCAGGCCTAGAAGCCCGGGCACAGGATTAACCTTTAATAGCTCGTACATATCCATTGCGCAGCAAGCTTATTTCTGGCTATTTTCGATTCTATGTCGAATATGACATATGTGTACTGCCATTTCATCATTCATCATTCGTCACTTCCCCATCACAGAACAAAACAGAACATTCTCGGTTCCGGCCTGAAAATCGCTGCCCATCTTCTCGTATTATTGAAAATTTCTCCGGTAGATGCTGTTGGTTTGATTTGGTTTGGGTAGCTGGTTGATGCAGTATTTGCTCTGGATTTGGAGGGGTTTTCGATATTGTTTGTTTGAGATCCCCCCTTTTTATGCGTTGACTTGAGAGATCACCTTGTAATTATATAGCTTATATCCTTTTACGTTGCGTTGCGGTGTTTGAGCTTCAATTGCTGAATGCATTGGCAATCATAGCGTTGGTTTGACATCGAATATATGCGTATTGATATATTATCAAAGATAATCCTTTGAGATGTACCTCGAATGCGCGAAAGCGAATCTAATAAATAGCATAGAACTAGCGAGGGAACAGCATTACATATATCTGGTAGGTAGACAATCCACCTACTTCAGATGGTATATGTTAGATAGATGATGTGCTCTTCGATATCAGAAAATATTTATTATCTGAAGTTTTTGAGACGGACTGGTCGGCATAGGTTTCGTTTGAAACTGGAATATTAAACGTTGTAATCTGGAGTTTGAAGATGAGCATATGATGTCTAGATGATGTGGAAATATCAAAGTTGCATGTTCCATGAAAATCATCTGCAGTTTTTCTATCCAACAATAAGGTATTCGGCTTTGGCTATGCCATACTTGGCGTGGTATTGCCAAGCAAGTAAAAAAGAGTGAGTAGAGTAGACTATTCCATAAATGGTAGAAATGTCGAGCCCACCTAATTATTGGTACCGAGTTAGTTAGTATAAGCCACTGTAGGGGCCTGTCTAAATCCCCAAGCTTGGTATTGTTTGTGTAGAGACTAGATAACGCCTAGGCCAACTCGAACCGCCTACTAATTGCTATCTAGTCTAAGCTTGTAATTTCTTCTGCTGTGAAGTCGGTAATTGATTTGCATGTTACTGACAAACCTGCTGTCTAATATCAATCTAATCGCACTTTCGAACACATTAGCATGCGATCAAAGTTGTCCAGAGCACACACTGTTTTGCACCTCCACCAATCTTGAGTTTCGTTGCATTGGAATTTTAGAGCCTTGTTGTACTTCGAGCCGGTTTGTTAACATTCGCTGCAGTTAGATTGTGATGTCTTTCGGCCAGTTTGTACTGCATGGGAGAACACACTGGGGACCAGTAAAGCTCAGTTGAAGTCCAATCAGCGAGCAGACTGAATGAGTGAGATGTGGTACTCGTTGGGTGGAGACAAAAGCAAAGTTTCATTGGAGGCAATTGAAGATAATTGGCCGGGGGGATCCTCCCGCGGTTCATAATCTCGGGGTTAAGCTCCATGATTAACGTAGGTGCTACTACGTTTAGTCTGCGAAGAACGATGGGACTCACACTTCCTCGTACTTCTCTGTGCCCCCTGCAGTCGAGCATCCGATTGTATCTCGGATGCATCGGTCGTGTTGTGGTGTTGTGGTGTCTTAGATTGTCCATGAGAGGTTTGTATTGTATTGGTTGGGGTCTTCATTGATGTGATGGCTAACAATCCTTGATGCGCTGACGAATTGAGCTACACTAGTGAATTTGTTTGAAGCCCTTCATACACTCTGTTAGCAATCAAGTTGAAGGACATCGTTGAAATGCTTTACACTTTGATGCTTGTGTAAAAATCTGGAATACAGTGAAACGCTTTCAGTTAAGATGAACTTGTTCGTGATACTACTTAGCATCGAGTACGAGACGATGTCAACAAATCATCAGAGAAACTGGAGCCACGTTTGCATGATCAGCTTAGAGACTGAAATCTGAAGTAGAAATTGCACTGAGCCGGGCAGCATCTTCTCACCCAATGTGTATGCTGACACCTGTGGACGTGAACGAGAGGCTCTCGCATTGCCAATACCTCAAAGACCAACCCCCTATTTGTTACCTGTCGTACAGATCCACACAAGAATGTGATAAATTTATTGATAATTTGTGATTGGGATGAAGGGTACGAGGCACAACTGCAGGGTGGCAAATCATTTAACCTGTAGATTCCCAGTACGTCCTTCAGACCCCACAGTGTGAAACTTCACAGCACTATAGGGGAGTAGAATATTATCATCTGGGGTACTGTGCAGACGATATTCGGCGACCTGAGCTTCGCAAAACAGTCTGGGGACCGACCCGCTGTCGAGATTAGCGCTGTGACGGTGAAATTCGACCTCCCCCAACAAGATCGAAATATGATAGCATTTGGAAGCATGGGGTCTGAATCGCTGTTTTGTAATAAAAATTGCTTTTTTGAAAACAAATTCGAAGTAATATTGTAAGTATTCAGCACGAAGATGATTGGTGACTGTGAACTTGAGCATGACGTCAAAGTCCTGAAATGCAGGATCACATCACATCGTCAATGCAAGGGGAGAGATCTCTGGCCATACTGATCCAACAGAGGTATGTCTATGCTTAAGTACAAATCCCTTGTTCTGCGCATCATCTTTTTCTGCACACTTCATTGGTGGGAGCCCAAAACTCATTTGGCTGATAGAGCTGACTCATAGGGCTGGAGTTGCTGAGCTATATTACATGAGAATCCATGCCATCGAAGCACAGATGTCACGTAGCAATGGAACTGATAAAAGTGAGATGGCGCCAAGAATATAGCTGACGTGATAAACGGGCTCTAAGAGCACTCAAAGCTCCCCAAGCAAGTTCAAGCGCCGGTACATAGCCATATGTAAGATCTTAGCATGTAGCATGTTGCATGTTGCATAAATCGGCAACAGATCTGAAGGTGGGAAACAGGATCATGATAGCAGATGATCTAGGCAAAGGTTATTGATCCTTCGTTTTGAGTTTCTACGGAGACATGCATAGCAGGGAATTGGGTTTTACTACGGGCCAATTCTGCTGATTGCTCTGAGTTCCAAAGTTGTCTAAGCTTCGACATCTCAGTGTCCGGCTCATGACTATAAAGTAATGCATGTTTGATGAAAGTCCGAAGCATTAGAAGCATGAAAGAAGTAAACGTAGGTGACCAGGGATAACATGACGAAGTTCAAGCAATTTTGCCGGTTGTCTTATAAGATAATTGGACAATTGAGATGAGAAACTCCTTAAACTGAATGCGATGAGGACCTGGCTTGATGAAATAAAAGTTTACCGGTACCTGCAATGCGTATTCCATTATTCTATTAGAAGTTTAGACATCCTTCAAGGGGTGGGGAACACCGCAGCGCTGCTTTTTGTGAAACTATATGAATTACCTTGAACCTCGGCGCACCTCGGCGCAAATTAATTGAGATGAAATTTTGTATTTCATAAAGCAGCACGTCAAGTCGACCAGCGTGTGGCTTGACATTATCCGAGATATTTTGGCCAATAATATGAATACATGCACGACTACGCCAGCCATGAAAGTGGTATTGTCGGACACTCCGTCCGAAATTATCCACCTTAGCCACATCATTCGTTGAAAGGTATGAGAATTATGGACTTCCATCTTCCTCATCCGTCATGGTACCGATATTGGAACTGTCTGAAGAGAATTTCTTCTTCCGAGTCTTCAATGATTGATGGAAAAGCTACGGACCGATATGCAAGATCTAGCTTAGATCTACTCGAGTAACTCAGATCTGATAAATTTGCAGTTGTGCACATCCAAGGACCCAAGCCCTAGATGAGCTGCAGCTGCTTTGATATTCTTTTCAGCGGGACATGATATATTATCTTCATCTAGCTCCGAACTATTGATGAATTGGGTATGTGACGCCAGGTTCATATACCCAAACCGTCACTCATTTCAGATTTCGACATGCACGGGATTTCTACTCTCGTGCCGATTTTCACCGGTTTTTCCAACCTTTGATTGCGTGCTGTAGAAGGATACCTTAGAAACACGGTCTCTCCGAGTAGCTGCAGTGAGCTTCAAGAATATACAGCGCCTCCAAAGAATGTGGGGTTATACTGGATAGGATATCCTAATGTGGATAAGTGAGAAGAAGCTTTGATGGAAGCAACGTCGAACAATGTTGTAGTATCTCCGTGGATGAAGAAAGTAGAATTGGTGGGAAGTGAGAATAAGGTGATACGAAGTGGTGCTTTCTGACTAATAAACAATAAATAGTCGAGGTAATACATACAAGGTTCAAGTCGGAAAAGATATTGAAAATGATGGCAGTATCACTGTTGACATCAGCAAGCAGCAAAAGCAATGGGAAGAGGCATGAAAGCATGGGCATATAGATCGAAATGGCTTTTGAAAATTTGCCTTAAACATAGGATGTATGATGTACTGACTGTAACCTGCAAATGCAACTGCAGATGCACGAATGCGATGTATTGATGGAATGTATGATGGGATGTATGATGGGATGTACTCGTATGGTTGAATGTGTCATTTAATGTTGCATTATGAATGGATTGGAGGGAAGGGAATGAACGGGTTGTGGTTAGAAATGTAATATCAGTTGGTGACTTGTGAGCGAGCCCCTTGCTTACTCACCATTCATCGCCATTAGGTTTCTCTAACTACCGGTGTCTACAAACTAGCTGCCAGTATCAAATAGATAGATAGGAGGTAACTATGATCATCAAAAATCAATACAAATTAAAGAGAACCAAGAAGCACTGTATCCGAAGAATTGTACTGTACTCGAGTAGCATAACAAACCCTGGGAATTTCATTTATCCCGGCATAATCCGATGAAAAACTCAACACAACATACACATTAGATACATATACATACCTATCTATACATACTCGTGTATATATATATCTATTTACAGTTTTTTCATTATCTAATTTGCATTGGAAAAATAAGAAAAATTAACAGCCCTGCTTCTTTACTGTAACCTTATCATACATACGGTCTACGCTGACAGAATACCGAACACCGCCTCACCTCTCACACTAACTAACTCAATAACCCACCACCCAACCCAGCACAACCCAGCACACCCAGCACACCCACTACCCACTACCCATCACCCATCACCCATCACACATCAACAACCCAACCTCACATTAGTGTATCCGCCCCATCACGACCCTGTGCATCGCATCTTCCGAGTTCCCCCCCCCCTCTGTTCCTAACCTACCTAGCTACCTACCTACATTCATCTGCCCCATGTTGAATATTGACGTCTTCGATCAATACCTACATACTTTGACTTGGCTAAGAATACCGTCCACGCATATAAAGACATCTGCCGGATCCATCTTCAAGGTTAAATCAATCACTTTCAAGTCTTGATCTCGTCTCACGCCGATCTGGTTCATTGTTGTTACGAATTCGCAAGCTTTACACCTCACAAGCGTCCGCGGCTTTGTACCGACAAGAAGCTATCAACAATCTTCAATCGCCTCAAAACGTCTCATTACTTTGACGTCTATAATCAATATGTCTGGGTATTCGGGATACAATAATGGAGGTTATGGAGCACCAAACCAGCAGTACCCGCCCCAACCCTACTACCCGTAGGATTAATTTCTTCCTCCCTATGCAGTTCGCAGGACTCCCACTCACTCTTGTACAGACCACAGCCATCATATGGAGCTCCTCCTCCACAAGGATCTCCCCAGGGAGGAGGCTACGGATATCAGCAGCCCCCACCCCCACAACAGCCTTATGGATATTCTCAAGTAAGAGCCTCGACTATGCAGATGTTTGTCCCTATCACTAATAATTTCGCACCAACAGCCACCCCCTCAACAATACGGCGGATATAATGGTGTGCCTCCTAATGCACCACAACAATATGGTAGACCAGGTTCGCAGAAATAGTATCACAGTTTTGATTGAAATACTGATTATTTTCAACAGGAATGCCCTCGGTCAACTCAAATGCTTATGCCAATGGCAACCAGGGCGCTCCACCCCCGCCGCCGCAGGGAATGCACTCGTTTGGACAAGGTGCTCCTCAAGGTTATGCCTTTCAATATTCCAACTGCACAGGGAAACGGAAAGCACTTTTAATAGGTATCAATTATTTCGGTCAGCGTGGTCAATTGCGTGGATGCATCAACGATGTCAAGAACATGTCATCATATTTGCACGAGAACTTTGGATATCAGCGGGATGACATGGTTCTTCTCACGGACGATCAACAAAACCCGATGAGTCAGCCTACTAAGCAAAATATATTACGAGCCATGCATTGGTTGGTGAAGGATGCTCGACCCAACGATTCATTGTTCTTCCATTATTCCGGTAAGTGGCCCAAGCATCATAATCATGCGTGTACTTATATATCTATAGGACATGGTGGTCAAACAAAGGATTTAGACGGTGATGAAGAGGATGGTTACGATGAAGTTATCTACCCAGTCGATTTCAGACAAGTCGGGCACATTGTCGATGACGAGATGCACAGAATCATGGTCCAGCCTTTGCAACCTGGTGTTCGGTTGACAGCAATTTTCGACTCATGCCATTCTGGAACTGCCCTCGACTTACCATATGTTTACTCCACTCAAGGTGTTCTCAAAGAACCAAATCTTGCCAAAGAAGCAGGTCAGGGTCTTCTCAGTGTTATTTCGTCTTACAGTCAAGGCGACATGAGCGGTGTCGCAAGTAATTTGATGGGATTCTTCAAGAAAGCAACAACCGGAGATGATGCCCACAACAAGACCGTGGCTACCAAAACATCACCCGCTGATGTGGTTATGTGGTCTGGAAGCAAGGATGATCAAACATCGTCAGTATATTTCTTACCTTGTCATTATTATACGTGAGATATTTTGGAAAGCTTGGAGAAGCCCTGGTCACAATGTGTTACAAGGGCGTTTTGTGGCATTTTTAGCGTCGGAGTTTATTTTCTCTTTCGGGATATGGGACTATCTCCCGGTCATACATGTACATACAGATAGTTACGTTTAATTTATAAAGCCCCAGGTCTATATCAACAGCCAAATAAGGCTGAAATATAGACCAGGGGCTGCGAGTCACGTTGGGTCAAGTGACCTATAGGGCTTTCGTCTAACGGCCTACTCCATTCGTCTGGTCATGAACAAGAACTAACCATCTCAATGCAGCGCCGATGCTACTATCGCCGCACAAGCAACTGGTGCCATGTCATGGGCCTTTATCACCGCCATGAAGAAGAACCCGCAACAGAGTTACGTCCAACTCTTGAACAGTATTAGAGATGAACTCGCCACCAAGTACTCCCAGAAGCCGCAACTTAGTTGCAGTCATCCGTTGAGTATGTTTTAACCTTTGCCTTTACAGTCCCTCTAGTGATGCTAATTACAGCAGACACCAATCTTCTTTTTGTCATGTAAGTAGCCATACGTGCGATGTATCAAAGGGTTCATGATGCAAGGAACAATATTTTACGGCATGCATATGGATAGGAATTGAAAAAGGGATGTAGTTACGAGGTCTATGAAGAATGGCATGGTTGGGAGGAATATGGATGGATTGCGGGCTTGTAATTTTTTTTTTGGATTTGATGGATGGATGATTTTACGGCCGATCTTGGCATATCTCTCTTTCCTTGACAAAATGAATAATAGTAAAGGCTGAGATGGATGGACAATGGATATGGATACCTTTCCGCTGAGATGTTCTTCTAGAGACCTTTTGTCCGAGGTTCTTCCCTGATCAACACTAATGGCTTATTATATTGTGTGTGGTAATAATCTCATTTCTGCACGCCATAAACTTAACAAAACTACTTATAAGCTATTGCCATCCCTATCCATCCCTATCCATACCACACCACACCATACCATAACATAAAAACACAAGTCTTCCCCATTACCCTAGCCCCCAACTCCAAAGCAAACGCCACAAGGAATTTCCTAGTCTGCTGTCCACATCCAATCCAATCCAATTCCAATGCATAATAATCATTTCTGCATTGATACGCCCGCTATCCTTGACATTGTATTGTGTCCAATTTTCAATACTCGCTGAGCCCCAAAAAGTGAGGAAAGGAAAGGAAAGGAAAATACAAAAATGCCCAAAATTAGGATTCGGAAGAGAATAGAATACCCAAACACCCAAACACACAACTACACAAACAACTACAACCCATTGACTCGATTTGTAATGCCCTCATTCTGCTCCTTTAATATGTCCCTAACGGTGCTTTTGAGACTGCTCTTCCTAATGCCCGTGAAAGCTGGGTTGACGATTGGCTGTGCTTGATTTGCTTTGATAGGCGATACATTCCTCGATGGGTTTCTCGATCCCGCACGAGATGTAGGGCGCGACCCAGAGCTTTCCTTCCTCGCCAAGATTGGAAGTGAAATTTCTTCTCTTGATGCCATTTCCTGGCAGGAAATTCTCTTGGCCCGATTCGCCCTCATAACCTCCAATTTGCCGAGAATCTTCTCATGCATTTTCTTGTTTATGTCCCAGGCTTCGGCGCCTTTGCGCATGCGCACACTGGCTATGATTAGGAGAGCTACGGTGCGGATGGTGGCTTTGGGTTTAGGAGCGGGAGCAGGTTCGGGATTTAGGCTTGTTTGGCGGAGGAGACGGAGATCGGCTCTGTTGCTAGTGGGGTGTTAGTGAATCTAATGTTAAGAGGGATAGGAAAAGGGAAACTTACCATGCATCGTACATAGAAATTCTCGCGGTTAAATATTTCTTCGCGTATGCCAAATCGGCTCTCTTGCTTTCCTCTCGAGAACATCGAGCTTTCATCCATTCAATTTGCATGCACAAGCCCTTCAACTCCTTCCCATGTTTATCGTCTCTATTTTCTATCTCTTTAGAGAATCGCTTCTCCCCTTCTTCTTTTTCTTTCTTCAGTGCCTGGACATCGTCTTGGGTATATGAGATGGACATGTTTGGGAATCTAACACCACGACTAAGAGTGCGTTTCTCGGCCTCCCATTCGCTGTTCGCCCGGATGTAGTCTTCTTTAGACTTGACATATTCCTCCTCGAGAAGCTCCAATTGTTCTTTGGCGCTGAGTGCTCTGGCACGTTCTCGGTTACGCTCGTCGCGGACACGACGGAGACTGCTGCGAAGCTCAGCTTCCTTGGCGCTTACAGTTTGTATTGCAAGTTCGCGTTCCTTGATGAGGAGTTCGAGACTTTCACGCTGGATTTGAGTTTCCTGGAGCATTTGGTGGAGGTCTCGACGTTCGAGAGCTATGGTGTGACCTTCACCGCTATTTGCTCGCTCGGACATGAGCGCTTTCTGGAGACGATCAATCTTATCGCTGAGTCTGTTGATAGCTGCTTCAAAAGAGGCATTTCGAGTTGAAAGCTCATCTTTTGTAAAGCGTAGTTCATCCAATTGACGCTCCAGCTGATCTTTCTCTGCTTCCCAAGTTTGTTCTTGATGTTGAAAATTGATGTTCATGGCACTGAGTTTCCGTGCTGATTCTTTGTCGGATTCCTTCATTCGGGAACGGAGATCTTTGAGAGACTGATGTGCTTCCGAGAGCTGATGACGAAGATGGGCGACTTCTTTGTGAGCGGAGCCACCAACGGAAGCTGGTGAAGAGGCGACGGTAAAACGTGCCATATCCGCCTCGTGCACTTTACGTTCAAGCTCAGTAATTTGTCGTTTGAGACTCTTGACTTTGTCTTTGTGGGCGGTCTCACGTTGAATGTAATCATTCTCCTTTTGACGCAGTGCTGTGAGATCGTGCTTAATTTCAGAAAGCTCATGAGCAGACTCGGTCTGCTGATCACCCGATCCCGGCTGACTTGCCAATTCCAGGATGCGTTCTTCCAGTCTGCTAATGGTTTTCTTGGCTGTGGCTTCTGCTGTAGCAAGATCTTGCTTCAGGTTCTGTAGCTGTCTTCGTAGGCTTTCTGATTCGTGTTTGGCAGCATTAGTATCTTGGTTGTCCCGATCGCATTCCTCGTCAAGGCTGGTTTGCAGAATCTCGATTTCATCTTCTAGACCCTCGATCTTCTCAGCCAGTGATTTTTGCCCACGTTGGCTGAGTCTGAGTTCTTCACGAACGCTAGCTAGCTCGGATCTTGACTCTTCCAAAGCGTCGCGTCGAGCCTGGACATCCTCGTTCAACTTGTTGATTTGGTGTGTCAGAAGTGCCTCCTGACGTTCGTGTCTCTCTTTCTCACTGCGAACAGCTTCTCGAAGTTTCGATTCTCTTCCAGATAAAGATCCTTCTGTCTGTTGAAGTCGATCGATGGTCTTCTGGAGGCTGGCCGCCTGTTCTTCGGCACGGGCTCTTTGTGTTTCCAGATTGCGTTTTTCGGCCTCCCAGTTCTCAATATCGTCATCGTACAAGCGCTCTTTCTCTCGGATTTCTGCTTTGAGGTCTTCAACTTCGTTATTAAGGCGAGCTAGCTTTTCTGTGTATTGATTTCGCACGTCTCGTTCACTAGAGAGTGCCAGGGTTTTCTCGTGTTGCAATTTGTCTTCGAGATCTTCAATAGAAGCCTTAGCTGTAGCCAAATCTGCCTGTAGACCAGCAGATTCAGCTGTAAGTGCTTCATGTCGGCTCTGGAGGAGATTCTTCTCATCATTTCTCTGTTGAAAATCTCTCTGTAAGCCCTGGAGACTTTCGAGTCTCGTGGCTAGAGCTTTCCGCTCACGAATAGTTTGGTCCAAATCATTTTCAACATGCTCAAGTTTATCGTGAAGTTCCTGCTCCTTCACTTCACTATCATGTTTCGAGTCCTCCAGTTTCTTTTGCATTTTCTTTACCTCACGTGTTTTATCGGCATATTGTTGTTTCAGATTTTGGTGTCGTTCTCGAAGATCCTCCAGGTCGTCTTGTAATCGGTTGGCCTTTTCCTCAATTTGTCGACTCAAGCCTTTAGTTGTAATAGACTTGTTGGCTAGCTCATCTTGAAGTTCTTCTAGATTGGCTTCGGCATGCTTTTTGTCTCGAATGGCTTCTTGATGATCTTCCTTGGCCTCTCCCACTTCAATCTTTAGACGTTCTATACCACGCTCTAATTCCTTGATCAATGATTCGGCCTCCCTGAGCTCGTCACTGGACTGGCCCTGTGCCTTCTCTTCCAACTCCACTACTCGGTGTTGTGATTTCTTTAGAACTGTCTCCAAATCAGAAACAGTCCTGATATGTTTTTCAACAACATCCTTCATATTGTCAATATCGTCATCTCGATCATTGATGAGTCGATCCTTTTCGCGCAAGTCTGCTTCCAGGTCGTCGACTTTATTCTCCAGATCAGCGTACTTGTCTTCCTGACTTCGCACTCGATTGAGTTCATCCTCTTTCTCGTCCAAAACTTGACGCAAACTATCCAGCTCTTCCTGTTGTCCAGCACTAGCATGCTTCCGCTTGAATCTTTCCTGCATATCTATGATTTGTTGTCGGTATTGTTCGACATCCTTTTCGGCTGCAGTCAATGTCTTCCGGAATTTCTGCAATTCCCTTTGCATGGTAACTTTGTCGACCTTGAGTTCAGTGTTCTCTTTCAAAGCAGCTTCACTAAATTCCGGCCCTGCCTTTCTCAGTGCCTCTTCCAAGAAATGGACCTTAAGCTTCAGCCCGAAATTCTCATTCTCAATCCTGTTGACAAAAGTTTCCTGTTCACGTAATGATAACTGATTTCCGTCCTGTAGAACCCCAGGTCCCTCGTTTCGCCGGGGTATTAAAGCTGCAGGCGTCGAAGCTGTGCTACTATCGATGTTCGGCATCGGCGTACCAGCCATGTAAGAACCGGTTCTTGTCGAATCATCGCCGTATGCTGATCCGGCAGGTAATGGGCTAAAACCTTCCTGAATCTTGTCCAACCCGCCTGCGCGAAGAAATGCTGGTGTTGCCTGAACATTCTCTTTGTTATTCCGTCGAGCGCTATTCATCGTCGCATTCTTCAGCAGAGGCGTAAACTCTCCTCCTCCGAGCCCCGCTGGCAAATTTCGTCTGTCCCCTAAAGTGGCGCGACTTCTGGGAGTACGGATGTTAACACCACGGCGGCCATTTTGCATCTGCGAAACTAGATTATTGTCCTTCGAGGGAGACTGGAAAGACTGTTCTTGTGAAATATCGAAGTCAAGGGCATGACTGCCTAGATAAGTAGCATCCCCAAGGGCCGTTCGTGGTGTATCAAGCCCTGATATCCCGGCTTGTACCATTATGAAAATTGATGTGAGCTTTCAAGCCCGAATTAATGTAAGGAGAAAACTTATAATAATTCACTGCAAATAAAATGCTAGAATAGTGACCATAACGATGGAATCCGAAGCAAAGGTAGTATCTTTAGTTGGAGTGCAAATTGTACAAAAATAAAGTTGGTAGTGTAGTCTTTGAAAAGTGTGGGAGTGGGAGGAAATGAAGTTTTTGGAATGATATCAGTAGGTAGATAATAGGAAGATACGCGATTGTGTCTTTTGTTTACTTTCTTTCCAATATAGGTTAGTGTCGGTTGCTAGCAAAATAAAATCCTTGTGCGGTTTTTTGATAGTGTGCCCCATTACGTAATCTCAATCATCAGCCTCATCAAACTTCTAAAGTCTTCCACCAACAAACAAACCATCGGCCTCTAAAATATCGAAACATCAATATTGACGATTTATATGAAATATGGAGGGGCTCGACGATGGCTTCAAGGGATTCGGCGAAGGATTTGATGGATTTCCCAAGCGACTTCCCGAAGATTGTGTGGAATACTCACTTTATATTATCGACTCCAAGTTAAAATCACAAAAGGATTTACTTAGCAGATTAGAGGATGTGCGGAAAGAGTCCTTGAAACTATTGAAGGACTTAACTAAAGATTATATATGGCAACGGGATGGCTTTAAGGTGGACATAAAATCTGAGGAGGGTACGATATCTACGACATAACATTCTCGATCCGTGTTAACGATATAGCAGGTTCAATGTACCTCAACGGGATTACAAATTATGGAGATTCAGTCGAAGACGAATGGCTTATTGTGTATATACTTAAAGAATTGAGCAGTCGATTTCCCACATTATGGATCAAAGTTATGGACTCTGATGGCGAGTTTCTATTAATTGAAGCTGCAAATGCTCTTCCGAGATGGTTGAATCCTGAAATCGCAGACAACAGGGTGGGTATCCCCGTTCACATGCCCAAGGGATTCAGTTCTGACTCCTAGCAGGTATGGATTCATAACAATGCTCTTCAAATTATACCATTGCGTGCAGTCACTGATTTCTCAAACAAAATCCCTACTGCCCCATTATCTCGATCACTTACCTTAGAAGAAGCCCACAAAACCATATCTTCAATTCCAGAAATACTCATACATTCACCCCTCATCGAAGCCGAAGCATTTTACCGTTTACGAAACTATCCGGCCCAAATTGCGGCTTCCCTGCATCACGCTCGCATCACAATCCCGCGAAAACTTGCTTACATCCTTCATTCGCATCCGACTTCTATAGCCCCGGCAGTCGAAGCATTCTATCTGCGAGATCCAATTGCGCTCAAACCTCTCCAAACCGCTTCATCCGATCTTGTATTTTCGCCAAAGGATTTAGTTACCATCTCAACCCAATTTACCAAAGTTCTCTATGCTCAACTGAAGTCGCAGCAATTTTCTGCGCCTTTTGCATGGAAGGATATTCTTGTGGCACCCGATAATAGCGCACCTCTGGACGATTTTACGAAATTAGAAATGGGAATGAAGGTTACCTCCGGATTCGAAATGCTTGTAACTGATCCAAAAAATGGCGATCATCGATCCGTAAGGGAGATCAACATACTTCTAGGGGATCTCGATGAAGATAATTCAAATCTTCCCAACGACGATGAAATATCGACGTGGAAGGATAACATGAAGGAGGATGATGAAAAATGGCTCGACATTAACTTTGAGGATTTCGAGAGAGAATTAGATGGAAAGAATAAGGAAAAGAAATCGGCTGGAATTCCTGGAGCCTTTGGACCGGAGCCCCCATCCGGATTTGGTGATGCGAAAACTGAGGCCGATTTGAAGAAAATGGTGGAGCGATTTGAGGCTTTTCTCAACGATGATGATGCTGGTCCCGATGGTGCTGAGATGGATGATATGGATGTTGATGACGACGATGACGACGACGACGAGGATGACGACGATGACGAAGAGGACAAAGATGTTAGCTTCGACGAAGTGGAATTCGCAAAGATGATGAGAGAGATGATGGGTATGCCAACGGATGATATGGACGAATCCGCATCTCGAGCCAAGTCAGGCAAATCCCACAGGATCGAGGAGGTCGATAGTGATGATGAGGACGAGGGAGAAGATGAAGCGGCGGAACTTCAAAAGGTGATGAGGAGGATGGAAGCAGAATTAACAGAAGCTGGAGCTCTCAATCTGGAATTAACCCCGGATAAAATTGCTGCTTTTTCGGATATAAAGACGGGTACTGGAAAGGATAGGCAGCGAGTCCAAGATGATGAGGATGAGGATGAGGAAGAGGAAGAAAGTGATGAGGAATTGGATATCGACTTCAATCTGGCGAAGAACCTATTAGAAAGTTTCAAGAGTCAAGGAGGTATGGCTGGACCTGGATCCAACCTTCTAGGTATGATGGGAATGAAGCTACCTCGCGACGAAGATGACGAAGGAAGGAGTCGTGGGAAAAGACCCGAATAGATGTTGAAAAGAATTATAAGACAAGGTAAGATGACTGTTGCTTGGGTATCACTTGTTACATCAAACACGCTAAAAGCTTCAATTTGCCTCTACCAAGTCCTCGATTCCAATTTTCTGCCTCTTGGAACTCTTGGTCTCCGGAGCCATAGACGAGCTTAGGCTTCGCGCTCTCTTGAGCATATCATTGACTCCAACATCTACCTTTTCTAATTCTGATAATGCTGCTGTTAAATTTCTCCGGTTTTCCAATTCTCGTCTGCTGCTGTCGCTTTGTGGCCGGTAGTATTCTGTCACTACTCCTACTACGGCTCTGTAGCATCGATAGATCAGTAATCGAACTTCCGCATTTCCTATATCTTCGATGAGATCATCTTCATCGCCTCTTGCCTTCCAACCCTCTAAAAACCCTTCACTGGGATTCTCGAAAACGCTTGAGAGCAGTGGATCTCCAAAGATGCCTTGACTCCAGTTCCGCAGCCCGGTCAATTTAAGACTTTCAGTGGAAATTTGCGAAGTGCCTTCTTTTATTACATTCTTGATCATTACATTCCTTTAGCCTAAATCGAATAGTACCAGCCTAGGAAGTTTGATGGCGTCCATGCGCCAGGACAAGCGTTGATAATGTGATCGCACTACATCGTATGGTAGCAAGATGGCCATATCTTCTCCATCGCGCAAAATGGATTCAAGTAAGGTATTGAAAGCTTCTTTCCAGGTTGTGGAGCCTTCGCCTAAAGGGGGTGATTGCTTGAATGAATTTGGGAGGACTCGAGCTGCTGTACCGAATGTGCCGTTGGGCGATGTGAGAGAAGCTAAGCTTCGTGTTAAGGATCCGACTTGTTTGTCGATGAGATGACGGTTTGGTGAACTGAGATATACCGAAAGAGCTAAAAGTGTTCTTCCGAGGGTGGGTTCGAATATTGTGTATGGATATGCCATTTCGCGATTATTGGATGAATGCTTTAACATTTTGGGTACCACATCTCCTAATTTGATGGATACTTTTTCAGATTCTACATCATTCATACCACCGGCATTTACGCCGTTAGCTTCCTGATTTGACGCCTTGAGGAAATGCACGAGTATTGCTTCGGAGTATTGAAGCGTAGTCTCGTGCCTCAAGAGCCTGACTGCTAGACCGGGTGCGAAGGATAGGAGAAGTTTGTTATCATCCGACATGTTGAGAGTATATAGTCTGGGTAGTTGGGAAGAGGGTATTTCTTCGACACTTCCTAATGTCATATCCGGTACCACGTGGCTAAGTATCTCTTTGAGACGTCGTACTGGAACCGAGTACATAAGTGACGTCTTGAAGGACTTGCAGGGGACAGCCGTCTTGTACGAGGCCATGATGGAGTAGTGAGGTGGTATTTGGACGAGAGATGTGGATATAAATGGGGTTGAATGGATAAATTGGAGGAACAGTGGGATCGATTGACCCAAAGCTGAGGATGAACAATGTGATAGGGATATTTATGCCGTGTTTCTGCGATCTGGCAGTGATTGCTCCCGGTTCCTGACCAACTTGGATCGCAGCCCTGCCAGGCTTATACTAAAACGCGATGTGATGTAGGGTTGGCTTGGACAATTGGATATGGAATACGTTTTGGCGCCCCTCTAGTCTCGTCAATTCGCTTATAGTGTGTTCTGATTGGCTCAGTCACAATAATGGTGGCGTTGTCCACAATACTGGAGATTAGGTCTTTGGGGGATCGGCGGTGGATGGAACGCACAACACCCAAAGTACACATAAAATCAGGTAGAAGGGTTGTATTGCATCTGGGTTTTGACTTGTGGCTGGAAAGCGTTCCTCTATCTGGATATTGGATGCCTTGAGGTGGTATTCAACCAAGATGGATGCCTGCGAGGTATGCAAGGCAGGCAACTCCTCCACAAATCTGGGTTTATCACTCATCATATATAGTTTTTTAGAATGGGGTTTGTATGGAACGCCGAATTCTTGAGATTGATCGGCGAGGATGGAGAATTGTGGGTGGTCGATGGATACTTTTGAGCTGTACCGGGTATTTATTTGGTAGTTAGTTGTATAGCTAGTACACAGTAGCTCCATCGATGGAAATGTAGATATAAAATATTTTCCGAAGCGAAAGGTGGATGTATGGATGTACTTGTTCCCGAAGGAAGAATAACGAGAAACGGTGATTTTGGACGAAAAGAGTTTAGACAACCGATTGTGAGGTGAGATTGAGGTGTGGTTAGAACGCTTCTGGAATATTGATGTAATATGAATGAGTAGTTGATTATTGTAGCTGTAATAATCTCTGATGACTTAAAATGACATATGGGATTGATTAGATTTCGTGGGGGTACTTATTCTTCCCTTTTGCCTTGGCTTATTAGACAGGGGGAAATGATGGAAACCTTACAATTGGCGGGGGATAAGCGAGTTTGCATTTGGAAGGGGACCTATGTAGTTCTCAATAAAGGGTAGATAGAAATAGGAGATAGATCGGCAAACGAATCTATAAAGAAACTTAGATATAAAATCATAGAAATGGAGCTAAAGACTAAAGTGGATAGGGTATAACCATAGTATTCAACACTACGAGTAGAAACTGATCTGCAGTACCTACTTATCTAGGTATCCTCTTCTGATGCTCCGCCTTCTACTATCCATGGCCAGTGTCATCATCTTCTTGGTCCCCGAGAAGGTATGTATGTAGTACTGTGCATGGAGCTGATGTTAAACACGTGGCAGTGTAGTACTAGTGATTGTAAAAAGAAAATATGTTGATTTGGGATATAATGTAATCATGAAGAATCCGAGGAGGTACAGATAGTACTTTATGGAATACTGTAAAGTTTGCATGATGTTATAAAATATATACAGTCACGATCTTTTACCTCAGAGCACTTTTCGTTTGATATTCTGTATTGTCTCGTCTTGTTCACCTAACCACTTACTAACAACCCATATCCCAATCCTCACATCCCACATCCAATCCACCATCCATCCATCCATCCTTCATCCACCCCCTCCAAAACCCTCACATCCAAAATTCATTTCCAATTCTATTTCATTTCCATCTCCAATCCCAATTCATTCCACCCTCGTTAAACATCATCCGATCAGGTCAGCCGCGCTCATGCAAAAGCAAATACTGGCCCACGTGTGGTATAACCAACCGTATGAGTGAAGATGCACCATGTAACATATACAGCAACAAACATGTACAGCAACCCCAATTGGGCGCCTTGTAGCGAACTTGCATATTGCATACATTTATATAGAGAATTGGTGTATTTGCTAATTTATATATATATATATGTGTGCTGTGCTGTATTATATCATTGAAGTGAAAGATAATGAATTCAGAGTACGGTTTCAAGAGCTGTGTATATCAATCATATTATAACATCACACAGAGAATTTTAAGTTAAGATATGTTACTCGATTATACCCAAGTGCATTTAAATGAATATACCGTTGTATCTTATCTTTATGCGGGCGGGTTTGCAAACTCGAGTACATGCCTAGGTAGTGGGCTGGATATTGGGGTTGTTAGATAATGCAATATTGTCGAAGAATCTTCCTTCCAGATATTAAATTAATATCAGCAAGCAGTCCAAATCGGTTTTTCAGTTTTTCGGGAAAGAATTCCCCACAAACTTCTTACTTCTTACTCTTCTAGACTATCCAGGGTAATTTAATGTTAATGTATATATGCACATGGGTCAATTTCTTTTTATTTTAAAGAGGGGGGAGGGGAAACTATGAATGTAGCGGTCAAGCTTGTAGCTCTGGAACCCGGATAAGTACCCCCCTCCTTATCTTGCAATGGAATGGAAATGGAAGGGTGGGATCTATCTTTCGGCACGGGTTTATTGAGACTTGGGTATGGTATGGGTATGAGTGAGGAAATATTGAAGGAGTGATATTGATATCGGTATTGATATAATGTGATATTATATGAGTAAGGTAAGCTGATATGATCTAAGCGCGTGTGTTGATCGATTGCTATAAAATATCACCTATGCGCAGGTATCCGAATGTTCAATTTTGATATCTCGCATACTTTGTGTCACAAGGGACATTTGTATGTTTCTCTGGCAAAGGGTTACCGGGATACCTAGGTAGGTTATACAAGGTGAAGCTAGTCATCTAAAACGGTTAACTGCCGTTTGGTTTGTCGAGTAGTACCCGAGTCTCGTCTGTAGTTACGCCTTCGGGCGTAACTTTCATTTTGGCATCTGCTAACCCTTCGGATTTTGTGTTTGTTGAAGGAGACTGAAGCTCGTAAATATTGTAGCGCTTAAGTTTTTCCCAGTCATCTCCAACGACGCTCATTCCACAGATAGTCTAGGCAGTACAAGTTAGTATCTTAATAATTGCCAGTATTTGTTGTGGGGTTGTGTTACCTGGTAGATTTCGATTATGATTACTTTGTCTGGCTTAGTGAGGTTTACTTTATGATCGTCATCCACGAGAGATGCGACCTGTTTGATCACGGTATCCCGCTTCAATGCGCTGTGATTGCGAATCGTTGGTCGAATGGCATACTACAACGCAGTTAATGAATATTGACCCAAACAACCCAATCAATCTGTAAGGCTAGAACTTTAATGTCGTGGCAGCACTATACGCAAAAGAGGAATACGTACCGAATATGCAGCAGCCTCTTCCGATTTTGCGGCTTCTCCAGCGAGTCGGAAATGAGCACCTAGTACGGTCTGTCCGACTTCTTCAATGCCTTTTTCTGTTGCTTTCCCGATCATTGACATTGGTGTTAGACGATTCACAAACCTTAGTTTCCTTATCCCGCCCGCTACTGCATCTTCACACATCCTGTGGACGAGATCAGTCGGATCTATTGGTGATCGAGTTTTGAAAAATAACACGCATTGAATGTCTAGGTAAACAGCTGAGAATAGCTTCTCCGTGGGATCTTTATGCGCTGCAACTTCTTTTCGAATGGATGCTTCGATATCATCAACTGATTCGGTAGCATCTTCATCTTCTCCGTTATCGTTCTTGTCACTCGACTTTACGGAGATACCGTAGTACTTTTCAGCAGACTAACATTGTCATTGGGAATTTAGCATAAATCGGCAGAAATCCGGGGCTGGAAGGTGATACTAACATCCTCGAGTAGACTTCTCAATTCTTCTGTTGCTTTCCCTTCTTTGCCCTTCACGCAAGTTGCCCAGATTCCTTGGTCCCCAGGTTCTATTTTCCCACCGCCTTTAGAAGCCATTTTGGTTTGCTGATGTGGAGTTTGCCATTTTCCATTTGAGCCACCCTACATGAAAAATCAGAAAACTTTCGAGGAGATCGACAAAAATGCTCAAGTATAGAGCGTTGAGCCTGCAAGTCGTTTGAGAAAGTGCAGCAACACGAAAACAGCGGCATCAAACTAAGGTCCATCCCATTGAATCGCACCGTCTTATTGATGATCTTCTAGAAAATACGCTGTTGCCCGCATGAATCGGAGAATTGAAGCCTTGCGACAACGATGATCCGACCAAGAAATACGCTCTTGTCCGTATGCATTTGAGCCTCCAAAGTTCACGAGTTTTCAGACCCGCTGAGTTCATTTGATTGCATCAAATCTTTAGCGTGCGAGAGGATCAAACCTCTCAACCCAAGGACCGACTGTCGAATCAAATCAAGTCTCATTCCCTCATTTGGCCATCACCAAAACCCATCTCCAAACAAAATCTGAAAACCCCAAAGAAAAACATAAACACACACACCTTAGCTCTCTTCCCTCCTCTATTATCCCCGTTCCCATCCCTCGCATCCCTCGCATCCCTTGCATCCCCCTGTTTCCCACCCCCACCCCCACCGCCCCCAGACCTCTCCTTCCTCTTATTACTTGAATCCGCCATATTTTCTTTTATCCTTCCGATCCACTTTCTCCCTTTCACTCTTCTGTCTCACACTCTTCTCTCTCACTCTACCACAAATCTCTCAAATTCTTTCCTCAACAAAAGTTTCAATTTCAACTGAATCCTTCTTCTCCAATGTATCAAAATAAGATCTGAATTCCTCGTCGTTTGTTTCCGTGCTGTGGAATTGAAGATCACGATTCCCCAAGCAAAATAGAAAAGTATCGCTTAGTCAGATAGATGATCTAGGATACCCCACTTCGCCCGATTGGGGTAAGAAAATGGATTGATAAATTCGATTGACCGAGGTGAAGTATCGCTTTTTCATAATCTACCTTCAGAAAATGTGTACTGCTGAACGACACAGATTTAACGATGTTGAGGTTTACTTGATTGTGGTTACGATATGCTCTCTAATGTACGATACTTCTACGTCGCTGATAGCAATGCAATTGGAAGATCTACGACAATCAACATGAGTAAGTAACATCATGATATGGCCACAATGACGAGAGAAGAATTTCATTATTTAGATATTTCCATTATCTTAACCGAGTAACACCTGATCCATACCCCCCTAATGTTCCTATTATTCAAGTGCAAAATACGGAATTTACTCTTTTGCATTGTTTTTCGCACTCGCCTCGGCCGTCAGTACCAATGCTCTTGGGGCATCCTCCTTCGGAATATATAATTCCACAAACTGCAGGCAGTCTGCAGCATTGAACTTCTTGTTGGTGAAAAGCTCGTTGACTTGGTCTTTTGTCTTGATCTGGTGAAGTTGGTAGTTACCTTCTTTGCCACCAAATGCTGGAACCAAATCTTTGTTGTTCCATGTTGCGATGTCATTGTATTCTGCTTCCATACCGTGGATAAATCGTTCGATGGTATAGCCATCATTACAGATCACGAAACTGCATTTATCATTAGTTATGTCGGTTATGATTGGGGGAAAGTAGGTGACTTACATGATGGGTTTCAATCCAAGGCGAATCATCGTGCTTACTTCTTGGGCCGTAAGCTGGAAGCTTCCGTCACCAACAAACAAGATGGTTCTTCTGTCAGAACCAGCATCTCTGGCAGCTAATGCAGCACCTTGACAGGCACCTACGGAGTATCCAATACTACCCCACAATACCTGGCTGAGAGCTGTAACTCCCTTTGGGAATTTTGTTTCCCAAATACCAAAATTGGCAGTTCCAGTCTCAGTAATTACAATATCGTTCTCCTTCAAAAACTCCCCTGCTCTGGGCCAGAACCACTTTTGTGTGATAGTGTCTGAGCTATCCTCGTTTGCAGTGACTTTGTTTTCCATCTTCGGTCCAGGAACAGCAGAGAGCTTTTGAAGGTCGATTTTTTTGACAACCTTCTGTAGAACTCCTCGCATATGAACACCTGGATATTCAGAATAGCGAACGACAATGGTTGTGCTGTGGAAGTCGATTGTGTTGAGTTGAGAGGTTTTATAGGTGAACCCGGCGGTGTTAAAGTCGCTCTTGATTGCTCCAATTGTCAAGATGAGGTCCGAGGACTCAACTCGCTTTTGAACCTCCGGCTGACTACCACTTCCAGCGTAAACACCCCCGTAGTTTTCATAAGACTCGTCGACAGCCCCTTTGCCCATTGGAGTTACAAAAACAGGTATACCAGTCTTCTCTATCAATGCGTGCACTTCTGGGATGACTCTGTGTCTGATAGCGCATGCATCAACTAGGATGATAGGGCTCTTGGCAGCCTCGAGATACTTGAGAACTACATCAACAACGTAGTCCTCCTTATCTGGGTCATTTAGGGGTAGAGACAAGTCGATAGGTGTCTTCAATCGCTCTCCTTCAACCTTCTTTTGAACCATATCTGTTGGAAGTGTGATATAGACGGGCTGACTATGGAGCCAACATTGCTGGAGTGTGTGATCGATCAAGGCAGCCGCCTCGTTTGGATCATTAATCTTGGCCATTGCGCAAGAGATCTCTCTGAACATATCCGCGAAAACATTGAAATTTCCATTTCCAAGTGTGTGATGTAGAAGCATACCATCCTTTTGCGAGATTGTTGAAGGGGTTCCAACGATATGGACAATTGGGACTCGTTCGGAGTAGGCACCAGCAATGGCATTAATTGCTGAAAGCTCTCCCACACCGAATGTAGTCATGATTGCCGAAATTCCTTTCACTCGAGCGTAACCATCGGCGGCATACCCTTCAAAATATAATCGTTAGCTAAACCAAGCACGCTGGTTGATGGACACAAACTGACCTGCGTTCAACTCATTGCAGTTACCAACCCATTTCAATCCAAGTTTAGGAATGTAGTCAAGGGCAACTAAATTGTAATCTCCTGGTAAGCCATGGATAGATTGGATTCCAATTTGTTGTAGTCGTATGAAAAGATACTCAGCAATATCCACTGGGGATTTGAGAGATTCAGTCCTGAGATCTACCATGTTGATAATGGCGGGGTGCAGGAAGGAAGTGTTAGTATAGTAAAGTATGCAGAGCTTTAAATGTTTAAATTATTTTAATAAATTCCAGTTGTACATGTATGGAAGAGAAACAATAAGAGGTAATTAAGTTCAGAATGAAATATGAAAACGGAAGAAAGCTTCTCAGTCTTTATAACTTTCCTTAGAAAGCCGTTCCTACCGTCGATACCAATATCACCCTTTAAATCACCCCACCAAAAATGACGTTTTGATGGATTTCTCAAGCCGACAAGGCGAAAAGAGCTCTATCATGGCTTAGTAAGTGAAGCCACATTCATTTAGCCATAGATGCGGATGTTATTAAGATTGTAGTAAGTGGTCTGATGAGGGAGGATATTCCAAGGTATTGTATTGAGGGGTACTCGAGTGTGCAGGTAGGTATGTACTGAACTAAAGTCGTCTGAAGAAAGGTAAAGCCCTGATCAATGATAGATTATTTAGGTACAGTAGTATAATGATGATCCGGTGGTTATCATCTACTGCATGTGTGCCCTTTTGAACCTTGCTCTTCCAGAAACATACCAAAGGTGGCTTGGACTGTGGCTGATGCACCAAAATGGCCAAGTTCTCCTTGCAGGCTTGCACGGAATAATAACGGGTGCTTTAAACCTTTCTCCTAGACTACTAGAAGCCCGACGCTCTAGCGTTGTTTAGAAGTTCCCCCAATTCCCAATTCCCCATGTACAATTCTTGGTCCCCAATTCAAAGCCCATGAAAATCCCGTATTAATTTCCTAGATAGGTACATCTGCCATTTATACTCGTATATACCTAGTAATATTTACATTAAACTTCCCTTGCTAAAATCACAGTAGAGGTAATCTAGGCCTCGAATTTGCGACAACCTCTCGGCGCCTATACACCCCATTTGGTTATTGGTTGGTTATCTTTGCGAGATTGACACATTCCGAACAAAGACCAGTTGCGACAAAATCTCTTTGGGCTCGCTCGAACCGATGTAAATATGCTCGGGCGGCCATGAACAAGCGCCCTCGAAGCTCTTCTACAAGATCAAATATAAGTCCTTTGGCATCAAGTCGCGCTGTGCACGTCTCGCCTCGAAACAAACCCTCGAATACCGAGCTTACAGTTCCTGAAAGTCTCTTGCTTCTCAATAACGTTCCAACATACGCAGTGAGTAGTTCTGCAAGTCTACTGATACCTACGGCCTACGGAACAGGCTCACCTTATCCTACAATTGTTGCATCGAGCTCCCCCTCGCGACCCAGAGCTCACTCTGCGGCGACTAATCCACCACTGCCTTCTTTGTATACGCCTACCACTTATTCTCAACACTCTACGCGATCCGGCCCAGATCTTTCAATGTATCAACCAGGAAGACACCCGTCGGGCGGCGACCAAAGGCAATATGTCGTTCCCCCTCCGCCAGGTCCACCTCCCATGTCCCCTCCATCTCAATCGCATATGAACCAGTTGAACCTGAGCAACCTACCTCCACCTCCGCCTCGGAATCTTCCCAATCAATCTTTCCAACATGTACTACTACCTCCTCCCCCTCCTCTGCCCCCTACTAGCTGGCAGCAACCACAGCAGACCTGGCTAGTCAATAATAATAGATCATTTCCTGGGCCGCCGGCAAATCCTCCAAGCACAAACCAATATCATGCTTACAATCCTGGTCAGCACCACCAACCTGCGCCATCATCGATAGGTCAGTCTCAATCAAATAGTGAGCAAATGTCAGCAACATATATACCGCGCGGGGAATCATTTGGACCTGGTGTTGGAATACCTGGTCTAGGATGGAGCAGTCAAGAGAGCTTTAGAGACAGTGCAGACTTTTCTGCTGTTTCAGATAGCTCTAGAGGGACGCCATTGGATGATAGCAGTTATTATAAGGATCGATCATACCCGTCGCAAACACCTCAACGGTTCAATAATATCCAGCTCCCTGAATATGATTCCCCAGGCCCCCCTACCGCAACAATAATGAATCCACAATTGTCTTCGGCCACCAATAGAGGCCTGACAGCAACTTCGAACAATTCACACCAACATGCGTCGGGCAATAATTTGAATACACCAAACTCACCAAACGACGCGAGTTCCCAGTGGTCTATGAATCGCGTTTCGTTGTGGCTGGCCAACAACCACTTTTCGAATGATTGGCAGGAAACATTTAAAGCGTTGAATATATATGGCTCAGTATTTCTAGAATTAGGCAGTGTTCATGGTGGTAGAGGTAATTTCGGGATGATGCACCAGCAAGTATATCCACGGCTAGCAAAGGAGTGCTCGAGTAGTGGAACTGGCTGGGATCAAGCCAGAGAGCGAGAAGAAGGGAAAAGAATGCGACGTTTAATCAAAGCTATTGTGACTGGGAAAAGTCTGGATGGAATCAAGTCGTCGCAAATTCGACGGCAATCGTCCGCAGCGAATATCGCAAGTGCTATTAATGAGGGCACTGTGGATAATCCTCCTCATCTTAGCCGTGGGACTGGAGTATCCATATCCACACCGAATACAGCCAATGGGGGTGACAATAGTCCAGGGAAACAAATGTTTACAAGTTCTATGCAGGTTTTAGGGACGAGAAGGCTTTCGGGGAGAAGTACTACCATGCCTACTTTGAGCAGCATTAACACTGCAGAAGAAAGCGATTTTAATAATAGCAGAAGTACTCATCGAAATGTTTTAAAAAACATTGATAATGATGGCACTCGGCGGCATAGTCCGAGCGCTAGTAGCGAAATCAACGAAAGCACTTTCAAGCCGCAGCCCCTTCGCTTAGACGGAAGTCCGAAGAGTGGTAGTCCTGCTGGGACATTTGCAACGCTTCACACGCCTATTGGGCAACATTCATCAGCCTCGCCTCGCAGCGCTGTATTTGGCCATCGATCAAGCAATAGTACCGATTCAATCTCATCTAGTCAGGCGATTTACGGATCTGGAGTACCTCCAGGTGCCAACCAGGCACTCAGAGGTGGTATGGGCGGCGCTGTAGGCGAACTTAATCTTGTAAGAAACCAGGAGACTCGAAGACATGGTGTTGATGTGTCGCGCCCTTCTCCTTTGGATGGTGAGCGTTCCGCAAGCTCTGAACAACCCACTTCCGCAAAAGAGTCGAAAGGCTTTCTTAAGCACTTCAGAAAGCGACGGGGAAAAGAAGACGGTTTGGCCCCGTCACCAGAAGATCAGAATCTCGATTCTCCTACTAGCCCATCTCTTGGCTTTAAAACTGCACCTTTCTTAGGCAATGGTAGGATTAGCAACTCTAGCGAAACTTCCTTAGACCCCCCTTTGTCTACATTCTCCGCCTCAGATTATGATAAATTTGCGCATACAGCGGGATATCGTGGCGTGCGGCCCCCAGAACGAAGCTTTATCCTGGCTACTACAGACGGCTGGAACTATCGTATGTGCGATCTCACGGAAATCGACAATGCTCAAGATCTTAGGGCATCTATCTGTTCGAATTTAGGCATTCATGACTCGGACTATACACAAATTTATCTCACTGAGCTAGGAAAGGTGGAGCATGATGAAGCATTAGATGATCACAAACTTCTGCTTTGCAAAAAGACTAAAGCTGATCAGTCTGGTAACCTCAAACTTTTTGTTAGAGGCCCAACAAATTCTGCAATATCACTTCCTGCCTCGCAGTCCGCGGGTTTTGGCATGAACTTTCCTACCAAAGTTGGACTTTCTCCCAATTTACCAAGTGTACCTCTTGATGAAGAAGCTTATGCGCGACTCAATGGAAATAGAAGACGGTCTAGCTCGTCTCCACCTACTTCACGCCAAAACACCATCAGAGGGGGGACTGCACAGCACAAAGATCAGTCTGTACCTACGACTGAAGCACCAGACGCCCTTCGCGAACGCCTAATGACGTATAGAGCGTCACACCTGGGGGAGAGGGAGATACCAGAAGCCGACAGACAAGCGTTCATAGCAATGGCATCAGCAGAGCATAAAGCCGACATGGATCGAAGACAGAAAGAATATTTGGCCAAAAAGAATGCAAATAGAGGAACGCCAACCTCTGCCGATGGCTCTCTGGGCATTGTTGGTCGCAATGTTGATTTTGATCAACCGCGACTCTCACCTTTTGAAGATAAGAAGCCGGATAATCTTTTCCCTCAAAGAAAGGCCCCACCAGTTCCCGGAGAGTCAGCTACCTTGATCAAAGCCAATTCTTTGAGCAAAAAGTCTGGCCAGCAAGCTCGTCTGTCATACAATAGTGCTGATAGCGAAGGTAAACGCTTTTCTGGGGGTGACTCGGGTGAAGGTCCTAGCACTAAACGAAAACCAGTTCCAGCCTCACCTATAAACCCAGGCGGCATTGGCGCTGCTCTTTTCGTTATGGGCAAAGGCTTTTCATCAATAGGGCATCCGACAAGCGCTATAACCCCAGTCAAAAAGTCACCTCCAATCAACGGCTCAGACAATTTTGGTAAAAGTGCCATGTCAATGGTCGATCATGGGAACACTGGATCTGGTAGAAGCAGTCCTAAATCGAGTGGCACTCCGGGAACTATTACCTGGGGCAAAGGTGATACATCATTCATCATCCCTGACTACGCTGGCGAAGAAGAAAGTTTATCGGCGAGCATCGCCACGTCTTTGAGAGATTCCAACAATGCTGCGATAACCAGGATGAAGAAGGAAGAGATTCAAAGAGGCCCTTCTCCTCATGATCTCAGTCCGAACAGTGATCATGTTTCAGAACTTAACGCACCAGGAAACCGGAAATCTTACGGGCCCGACCTTGATTTTACCGAGGCAAGCGTGGTCTTTGACAAACCTCCCCAGATAGTAGAGCAAGAAGATTCGGATTCCGATTCTGACTCCGGTCTATTTGTTATACCGATCAAAAAATCGCAGAAAGCTGAGGTGAGCGGCGGCGGAGATGATTCTTCTGGTATCTCTAAGCGACCAAGTTTGACAGTCAAAACCTCACGATCCAAAAAGGGCCTTTCCGTATCATGGGGCTCACCCCAACAGGATAATAGCTCATCCTCATCCAGTCTGCCAAGACTTCCTGATTTTGACCACCAGCGAAGAGATGAAAGTGAGCGGACTGTTGAAGAAACTGAGGAAGAAAAACAGGCAAAAGTGCTCCGAAGACGATCTTTTGCCCGAACCGACACCTGGGCACCGAGACCTCCTGAAGAAAATATCCTCGATAATCTCGAGGACTTCTTCCCTAACCTTAATGTCGATCAACCTTTAGTGGACGAGGGTGTTAGTGGTTCTCCGCCAGTTTCCCCCATTGCAGAACAAGATACAGTGGAGTCAACTACAACGCCTTCCATGTCTTCGTTGTCAGTTACTGGATCTTCCATGCTTTCTACTCCTAGAACAAGCATTTACAACGATGGAGACACTCTCGGCTCAGATGAATCGACTCTAAAGGCACTCGAAAGACCTGGCTCCATACAGAATGTTGCACAACGCAATGTTCGCCGCTCTGGTGGTTTAGGCCGAATGAAATCTATTCGTGAAGTGGCAAGAGGAGCGCACGAAGCAAACAAACGCTACACTTCAGCTACCGTGGTCCCACAGAAAGGCGATAAGACTTCAAGCATGATACTGCGTCGAAAAAGTACAAAGATGTTCGGTGCTAACATTGTGCAAATCAAAGCACAACGTGGTAGCCTACTTATCCCTCATATCCCACAAGACACAATACCTAAACGACAAGCAACCTTCAGGTGGTTCAAGGGTCAGCTAATTGGGAAGGGTACGTATGGGCGTGTTTATCTGGGTATGAATGCTACGACTGGAGAGTTTTTGGCTGTTAAACAAGTTGAAGTTAATCCTAAAGCAGCTGGAAACGACAAGGACAAGATTCGAGAGCTGGTAGCAGCACTAGATCAAGAAATTGATACTATGCAGCATCTTGATCATGCGAACATTGTGCAATATCTTGGTTGCGAGAGAGGCGAGATGTCCATCAGTATCTTTTTGGAATATATTTCTGGTGGTAGTGTAGGAGGTTGTCTTCGAAAACATGGCAAATTCGAAGAGATCGTGGTCAGCTCATTGACTCGTCAAACTCTAGATGGATTAGCATATCTTCATCGCGAAGGTATCCTTCATCGTGATCTAAAAGCCGATAATATCTTACTCGATGTTGATGGCACGTGCAAAATATCCGACTTCGGTATCTCAAAGAAGTCGGACAACATCTATGGCAATGATGCATCCAACAACATGCAGGGATCCGTATTCTGGATGGCTCCTGAAGTCGTCCGATCACAGGGTGAGGGATATTCAGCGAAAGTTGACATTTGGTCTCTTGGTTGCGTTGTCCTAGAAATGTTGGGTGGGAAACGACCTTGGTCCAAGGAAGAAACTGTGGGAGCTATCTACAAATTGGGAAGTCTAAATGAGACGCCGCCTATTCCGGATGATGTTGCTCAGGCCATCAGCCCTGGAGCTTTGGGCTTCATGATGGATTGCTGGACTATGTATGTTTCTACTCCTGCCAGCATTATTGGTTTTTACTAACGTTCTGTGCAGTATCCCAAGCGAACGACCAACAGCCGAGACCCTCCTTACTCAGCATCCCTTCTGTGAACTTGACACTCACTACAACTTTCTGGACACCGAACTTTACGCCAAGATTCGCGGCACATACTAAGTAGACACACGGCATTTCTATAATCACCTACTATTCACAAGCTACCTCTCAAAACATTATTATCTTCCATTTCCAAAGTTTTAATCCATAATATTCGGATGGAAGCCTAGAGCTCATGTTCATGCATACATCCTTAGCTTTGATTATTTTGCATGCATGCATATCAACTTCCTTCTTTCTTACAAAACAAGCGTTGCGATTTTGCGGGTGATAACTTAACACGGAGTGTTGACGAAAAGTACAGGCTGTATTTGATACCATCTCCTTTTTGTTTATTTGGTTTATGTTCGGGATCTAGATCTACACGGGATCTACACGGATTTCTTAAATGGAAGAACGGAACCGGTTCTATTTTACGCTTTATATGATTGGTCAGCATTTGAGCGATATGAACGGGAAGCAAGCGTGGTCTTCACGTTTCTGTATGTATAGTACGATTCTGGCGATATGATGAAAGGTTTACATGGATATTTGGGGGCTATGGTATTTTGGAGATAAATGACATATCTGGGTAGATCGGTTGTCATGGCAATGAGAAATATAATGAGGTCCATTACTTACATTACAGCTGATTACTTGTAATTGACCTCTCTTCGAGCTTCCGTTGATGCAGGATCTTTGCACCATGGTATTATTGCATCCCCCTCAACCCAGCTAGAGTTCGACTATACCATTCATAACAGGGCCTTTGCAGTGTATGGAACTATCAACCTAGATCTCTGAAATAAAATTGTATATATCCCTAATCGTAAATACTACCATCTTATCTCCCTCTCTTCTTCGGACTCTCTCTCTCCACCAGCCCCTCAAATAGCCCATCTCTTTCCCTCGTAAGATCCCTTAACTCCATTCTCAAACTCTCCAGTTCCAGTCTCGCCAAATCAGTATCTTGTGGTAATCCATGGAATGCCTTGACTTGTGTCTCCAAATCCTTCACTGTCTCTAACCATTCCTTAAATTTCTCTTCTTCCGCTTTGATCGTCTCAACTGTTATTTTAGGTGTAGATGTATTGGGCGCAGAAGATAGAGCGGCTATACGCTCACGAATTTCTGGGAGTTTGCTGGTGAGTATTTTAATTTTGCGCTGGAGGTCGACAGTTTGTTTGGGGAGGTCGGTGGGGGCTTGGTAGGAGGAGCTTTGGAGGGAAGCGATTAGAGTGCTTAATTGGGTGAGCTCAACGATGAGAGAGCGTTGGAGGGTAGCTACACGGGAGCTGGCTTGTGAGAGGTTGTAGGATGTTGTTTGTAGCGAGAGGAGTTTGCGGCCAATGTGTTCGGGGGAGGGGGTAGGTAGGTTGAGGGTCGTAGATAAGGATGCCAGACTTTCGAGAGACATTTGACCTTCGGAGGTGAGGGAGTCTTCGAGAGTATGTAGGAGTTCGGTATTAGAGTCGTTTTCGAGAGAGGTTTGGATGGCGGCGAGAGCGTTTTCTCGGGATCGAGCTAACAGTTCCTGTTCTTCATCTGTGGTCTCATTAAGGGCAGCGAGAGCGAGGAGGGCTTTGAGTGTAGATGAATTTCGTTCGAAGGATGGGATGGGCTGGTTGGAGAATTTGATCGAGAGCCAATTGTCGATGTAAGACCAATCCTTTGCAGCTGCGAGTTGCTGGCGGGCAACTGTGGGAGAGAAAATCGTTGCAGGTGAGAGATGCGACATGCTGATAGCAGAAACCGACTGGCAGATCCAAAGATGAAATATAAAATCACTAGAAGGGAGGTATACAACCTTTTCAAAAGTTTTGTTGCACGTCTGTAGGGAAAATCAGATTTGGGACTTTTGGAGAAAGTATAATTTTTATTGCAGATTTGAAAAGAGAGAGATTCTGCGATCTCGAAAAAAACTATCCCGGGGGTTATGAGAGAGAAGTTGTTTGGACAGAGTTCGGGGCGTTTTGGTTGATTTGGGTGTGAGATGACGATATATTTTTGTAGAAAGTAAACAAAGCTTGTAAACAATTCGGTGATAAGGCTGATGAAACGCTAAGCTTAGATTTTCGGATATATATTACCTAATATGGACAAGGCGCCTAATTAACAAAATGTAAGATCTGGTGAGTTTAATGCGAACGCCACATCGTCTCCACTTTATACAGATACCTAGTAACAACACGAAAAGGCCACATAATTCTGCCGACTTGTATTCTTCCATATGTACCCAGGTAATTAGTTGTTTATAGTATTATTGATCTGTATTGAATGAAGACTATTTATCATTCGGTTTACTCTTCTGGTTTTTCTTGACCTCTTTATTCCATGCTTTTGAACACCCTTTTCTTTGATTTACCTCGACGTCAACACATTTAATAGTCAAATATGATTGTGAAAGTGAACTTATCGGTCCTTGCGTTTGCCGCAACTCTCTTATCTTCACACCATTTGGTCTCTGCGCTTTCTGCGAACGAGATCCCCTCGGATACACCCATCTCTTCTATACTGGCATCTGCCAATGCTCATTTGGCAAAAGGCGAAACGAACGATGCTTTATCTTACTACGATATTGCGATCGCCCGCGATCCATCGAACTATCTAAGCCAGTTCCGTCGAGGAGCTGCCTACCTGTCCCTTGGTCGATTGGCCCAGGCTGCCCAAGATTTTGATAATGTATTGATGATTAAACCGGGACACGAACCGGCATTATCACAACGGGCGAAGATTAGAGCAAAGAATGGCGATTGGGACGGAGCAAAGCAAGATTATCTTGCCTTGGGCTCTTCTCATGGAGCCGAGGAGGAACTCATAAATCTAGCGGAGGCCCAAGGTGCTGCTAGTCTGGCAATGGATGCAGAGAAGAGCCATAATTGGGAAGAGTGTTTGACACAAGCTGGAGCTGCAATCATGGTTGCCTCCAAGGTGGTATCACTTCGTAAAACTAGAGCACATTGTCGATTCGAGCGCGGGGAAGTTGAAGAGGGAATGAGTGATCTCAAGCATGTTCTCCAAATGCAGCCAGGACTTACGGATCCCCATCTCCTGATTTCTACGATTAATTTCTACAACTTGGGAGAACTAGAACAGGGTATGGACCAGTTGAGGAAATGTTTGCGTTCGGATCCAGATTCAAAGAGCTGTAAGAAGTTGTATAGGAGAGAGAAGAGCATCGACAAAACTTTGGCCCAGGTTCAAAAGTGCTTTGAGAGGCATCAGTACTCGAGTGGTGTGAAACTTCTCGTCCCATCTGGGGAGGAGGCTGGTTTGGTTCAAGAGATCAAGGATGATATCAAGGAGTCTCGAGAGGCTGGCACAATACCGGAACATGCGCCGAATATTCTTGTCACTCGAATTGTGGAAATGGTTTGCCAGGCTTATCACGAGGTATGTTTAATGCTTTAGAGACTCTTCCTCTATCTACTAACACAGTACAGACCAAAAATGTCAAGAAAGCTGCTACATACTGTGATGAAGCTCTGTCGCTCAACGAAAACTCTCTTTATGGACTTCTCCACAAAGCCCAACGCCATATGGAAGCGGAAAACTTCGAAGCTGCGATATCTGCCCTCAACACTGCAAAAGAACATCACCCCGATGCTAAGCAGATAGGAGAGCTCTTACAGAATGCTCAAGTGGAGTTGAAGCGAAGCAAAACCAAAGATTATTACAAGATGATAGGGGTTTCTAGAGATGCGGATGAGCTTCAGATCAAGGCAGCATACAGGAGATCTGTAAAGATAAATCATCCCGACAAGGCCCACAAGCAAGGAATTAGCAAGGAAGAGGCTGAAAAGAAGATGGCGGCCATCAATGAAGCATATGAAGTACTGAGTGATCCTGAACTGAGGGCTCGCTTCGATCGAGGAGATGATCCGAATGATCACGAGCAGCAAAGAGGCCATCCGTTCCAAGGAGGTAGCCCATTCGGTGGTGGTGGTCACCCTTTCCAACATAGCGGTGGACATCAAGGTGGTGGCGGTCAGCAATTCAACTTCAAGTTTGGTCAAGGGGGATTTAATTTCGGTTAAGAAGCTGTTCCAATTTCAGGAGTTGGCGTTGGTTAGGTCTTCAAGTTGACGGCGATTCAATAATTCGGTACATTTACCAGATACACAAATCTTGGATCAAAAGATATATATGTAATAGCTTTTGAGAGAGTAAACAAACTTCAAAATCCTATCTTAAGATGTAGTCTATACCTTTTGTAGTATTGTTATTTGTAATTGTGATTGTAATTGTGATGGTAACGAAATGATAAACGACTTGCAAGGACTCGGCTTTAATGTCAGCCTTGCTAAATCAGCCTTGCAGAACTCTAATAAAATTCCGAGGGGCACTGACTGACATTGACCTTGAATGGCGAGTCAACCACAAACTTCAAAAGTACCACTTTCTACAAACCAGTACAATACCGGTAGTGTCTCATCAGTGTTCAGTGTCTGTGTTGATCGCGACAAACTGGGACTCGATTTACAACTTGTAATTATTCGTATAATATCTTGCTTATAAGATCTTCGGAATGCTCTTACGATAGCATAAATACCTTCTCTACCATCTCTCTCTCGCTGTCGACCAAACCAATATGGACGAATTCGAGGTCTCATACACTTTAGATAATGAACAACAATTCTGGGATGGTATGTAAATATGGATAGGATCCCTTGATTGCTTTACTTGGAGTACTAATCCCTGTTTTCAGAGATCGATGACATCGTTTCTGCGAAATGTGCCTCTCATCAATTAATTGATAATGCGCTGCGATCCTACCTACAGTTTACAACCAACTTTAAAGAGGAATATCTACAATCAGAATTCGAGGTCGCAAAATGTTTGCACAAATTGATGCAGAGTGAGCTATTTGCGGCGAACAAGGACTATGTGAGGACGCAGATTGTTTACAGTCTTATGCAGGAGGATGTACCAGCTACGCTGCATGTGATAACAAGCTTTTTACTATTCGATGGACGCAACAATGAGACAACCTTCGAGATGATGAATAATGAGGGTTGTTTCCCGAGGTTATTGGAGTTGGTCAAGAAAGGGAATAGAGAAGATCCAACCTTGCATAGACTCTTATTGGAACTTTTGTATGAGATGTCGAGGATGCAGAGACTCAGTTTCGAGGACTTGGGCCAGGTGGATGATGAATTCATTGCATGTCTCTTTCAAATAATTGAAGAGTTGTCGGATGATGTTGATGATCCTTATCATTACCCTGTTATTCGGATTTTAGTGAGTCCCTGCTGGAGGTTTTATGCGCCAATTGCTAACATATTATCTAGCTAGTCTTGAATGAACAGTATATGGTTGCTTCTACATCAGCACTGGATCCTTCACATCACCTAACAAATCGAGTCATCAAGATTCTCAGCCACAAGGGGTCATCATATATGACGTTTGGAGAGAATATCATACTTTTGCTAAACCGCGAGACTGAAACCTCTCTACAACTTCTGATCCTCAAACTTTTATACTTACTATTTACTACCAAAGCTACCTATGAATACTTCTACACCAATGACCTCCGTGTCTTGTTGGACGTCATTATTCGTAACCTCCTCGATATCCCCAATGAGTTTGTATCGCTTCGTCACACATATCTTCGAGTCCTTTACCCACTACTTGCACATACACAATTACAACAACCACCACACTACAAGAAAGATGAGATAGTAAAAGTTCTAAATATCCTCGGAGGGTCAGGAAACACACATTGGGAACCAGCAGACGAAACTACCATACGACTCGTTGAGCGAGTGGCCAAAGTTCCCTGGCTCCGAGACGACGACATCAGCGAAGGAGAAGTAGCGCGGAAACTCCTCGGTATAAGTCTTTCGCCGTCGCAAACCGGCAGCTCGATAAGTGTTTCGGATGTAGCTGCTGTTACGGAAAAACCTGGAGTCCAGACACCAAGTCGCAAAGTGGAAAGTGAAAACACTGTACACGATCATGATGCGCCTGCGATCGCGCCCTCAGATGAACTCCCGAAGAAAAAGCGTGCCCTGCCTCCGCTTCCACCGGTGATTAGAGGAAGTAATACGCAGAAGAAATTACCACCTAAAACGCCACCGAGGAGGAGGACAAGACTTAAGGCTATGGCTACGCAACCACCTGAGGCCACGGAGGTTGAGTAATGGGATGTGGGAACTCTGTGTATTATAGGTGAACTTGGAGTTATCGTGGGGGATTGGGATTAGGATTAGGATTAGGAACGGGAAGGTCTGGTCGACCTTCCTCCATAAATACATATGGTGGCGTCGGAGTGAGGAGTAAAGGGATGGGGTGGGATGGGATGGGATGTATGGTTATTCATCTCTATTCAAACTTTGAAATTGAATAGTAGTAGTTATCAAAAGTTTCGAGTGTTACCAAGTAGGACGGACACTCGACTGATGTTTGAATATTGAGGGATAGTATTGGTATTCGAGTATATATCTTGAAGAAAGACAAATATAGAATTTAAACCAATCGGCTTATGATATGAGCCCATACATACATACTCATTGCTTCATCTTGAGAGCCGTGCCGTGCCGTATCGTATCATTCAACCCTCCCACATACATATGTTAAGTAAGCACCACGCTTTGCTTTCTTCTATGTCGAGATGAATAAGGAAGTATTCTCGTCCGCTTCCTTTTCTCCACCTTTCCGACTTCTGTTTTGCTTCGCTTGCCGCTTGTCTCGCTTATCTCCTACTGTACTGTACTCCTTTTCACACACCGTACCGCACTGTATTGTACTATACCGGTCGGCAGTAGCGTATAATGAGATGAAATTATTTGGTTTGGTTTGGTTTGGTTTGATGGGATTTTTGAGGGGGGGGGGAGGGGGATATCTACGAGTATTAGATTAGATTAGATTAGATTGAATTGGATTGATTTTATCTTGAATTAGGCAGGCTTGGTTTGGTTTGGGTGTACCTAGATTGATTTTCTTTTGGGAATACTGATTGGATATATGCTACTACTCGACTAGTATGTACAGTATTGCTGTTCGATATAAGCACCTTTAAATGGCAATATAGTACGTACTCGTAGCGGAATATATAATATGTAAGCGAGAAGAAAAGGGTATTTCTATGTTCATACTTGTATCTACTAATACTGTACTCCTTTTCACTCCAAACAATAAGTGCATCCGTTATAGTTCTAATGTGATTAAGATATTTGAAATTAAATAATATTTTTTGCAAAGTTGTAATTTAAATACAGTATCTCACATCCAATTACTCGTTCCGCTGCTCTGGGGGACTTCCAAAATATGATGCTAAACACTATTTGTTCTCGCTTAAATCTTTATATTTGGTAGTACAGTACTCATTTGTATATTCAACTCGTATTGATCAAGACTTTTCCTACCGGACAGATTATAGAATAATCTAGATGCACATAGGTAGCTAATAATATAGTCAGACTGATTTTATATATATTGAAGAGTGAAGAATAGAGCAAGGGGTGTTTATTTGTGTGGAATGTTTAGATGGGGGCAAAGATAATTTCCGAGGTGAAAGGATTTGGATTCGTGTATTCGTCTGAGATATACATAATAAATGGTCAGAACACTCCTGGATAAGTACAAACAAAGCCCTCTAATGCAAGAAAACCGATTGAATTGATCAAAAGGGCCATGTGTTTTTGTCTGCCACTGTAATCTCTGGACACTGGTATCATAGATAGTACGTACCAACAAGATCATGAGAAACAAAAATGATGTACCTAAAAATCATCAGCCAATATGCACTCGCAGGCCCGAGAAGTTCAAATAGCAAGGAGAACCGAAGTGCCATTATGCGCCAATCATCAGTACCACGCCACAGATCATAAACCTTTAACGCAAAGGTAACAGCTGCAATATATTATATACAAGCTTGCATCATCATACCATGCCATGGGAGAATGGCCACTTACAAGTTGACGATTTGGCGGGAAAAATGTGATGATGGGGATCAGGATGAGGGGATAGATTTGATTATCGTTTTTTGTATTGAGTAAGGTCTAAGCTTTAGGCAGGCTTCAAGCAAAATGATGGAGCTGTTGGTATCGGAGTTCTTTGAGAAGTTCAAGTGTTCAATCTAGATGGAACGCCTGGTAGAGGGATGAGAGGAGCGCTGAAGATTCATGATTTGGAGCTGCGGGACTTCTACGTATGTATGTACTTGAGTAGTCGCTAAGCTTCTATGTATTGTATCGAGAGGTTATGAGTGGAAATCGACTTGATTATTCCAGAGTCCGTTGGTGTGTGTGTACTTAGCAAAAATCAAACACTGGGCTATGGAACGCAGCGGCTGGGTACAACCTTGCATAGATGAGCGAGGGTATATCGTGCGTATATTTCATCATTCATATATCAATGTCTCCAACATGGAACATCTCAAACAACTTTGTATGGAAGAACGGAGATATTTTGTGTGCGTATTTCATCATTCATGTATTAATATATCCTCTACAAACGAGAACCCACTGGACCCTCTTCCTTAATCTCGACCAATAATTTCCCTTAGATATTGTCAGTATTCATGCGCACTAGTACTACATAGAACGAAAACTTACCAGTATTAACACCTTGATATAAATCCACCAAAGCCTGTTCGGCAACACCAAGTCCACCCTTGATAATGGTCTCCTTTCGTTGGAGCTTACCTTCTGCCAACCATTGAGACATCTCTTTACGGGCTTCGGCATATTTAGATGCGTAGTCGAAAACGATGAATCCTTGGAGACGGATACGCATTGCGATGATCATCGAAAAGTTCTGCATACGGTTAGTAAGTGCAATGTGGAGAATTTGGTGAAGGAAACATACCTTTGGTCCTACGGGAGCATTAGAGTTATATTGACTAATGGCACCGCACATGACGAAAGTTGAGAAAGGCTTGGCCCTGCTCAGCGCAAGCTCCAAAATCTCCCCTCCTACGTTGTCAAAGAAGACATCGATAAAGTCTGGCGTAGCAGCCTTGAACTTGGATGCAAATTCTTTGTCCTTGTAGTTCAAAGCTTCATCACAACCCAACTCTTTCAACCACTGTACTTTATCGTCACTTCCTGCCAGACCCAAAACCTTAGCTCCCTTGATCTTGGCAATTTGACAAACAACACTTCCAGTAGCGCCAGCGGCACCGGACACCACAACGAAATCTCCGGCCTTGATCTTCCCAACTTCGAGGATTCCAAAGTATGCGGTGAGACCAGTCATTCCAAGAACACCAAGCGCATCGGTGAGCTTGCCGTTGGATGGAAGATCAATACGTGTGAGTTCTTTTGAAGCCATGATGGCTACTTCTTTCCATCCGGTAACACCAGATACATAATCACCGACGTTGTGTTTCGATGACTTGGTGGCGATGACCTTTGCAATTGAAACACCACGCATAACCTCACCAATCTTTACAGGTGGGATATATGATCTTCTATCTGTTCCATCATTTTCAATATCAGTAATGATCACGTGCGAAAACGGGGTTATATTAAGAATATCCCCCTTTCATATCAACCATCACTGGGTTTATGAGAGAGGAAGCACCACGGTTGGTACGTACCGTTTAACCAGCCCCGCATGGCCGGGTCCAATGAAAGATACAGCACTTCAACCAACACTTGATCATCTTTAAGATCTGCCTCTGTCACCATTGGATTCTCCTTCTTCTCAAAAGTCTCTCCTGGAACAATCTGTTCCGTAGGACGTTTGGCCAAGACCACCGATTGATATGTAGATTGAGCCATAATGTTCTTTGAACGTTTTATCTTTTGACCTTCCATCTTGATAATCCGTCCGCGGCCCTTCCCTTATATATATCTATATCGATTCGTTTCGTCCGAAAAAGTCTTCCGAACAAATCTGTGTCTCTTTCCGCTTCAGGTCAAACACTTGACGCTTACTGCAATACGGACCGACCAAATACAATAAAAAATTGCAATAAACGATACACCGCACACACCCAAGATCATCCAAGGACTGTACCGTGTCGTTATCCGATGCTTCTCGTTTCGTATCAATGAATTACCAGGCCCCTCCGAAGCAATCGCAATGCAATACTGGTATTCAATCCAATCCACAAAAAACTCCAAGGCGCTTTTTCCAAACTTACGTATGTCGTCCGACGTCCGTTCTGGTCCAACTTTCAAAACGTTGCTGCGTTTGATGATTGATGAGCAAATGGTTAAAATACTCAAGGTTCTTCCCATAGCCGTGAGCCGAGGTAGGCTCACGAAGGGATCTGGATGCCTCACCGAAATGGCCCAATTGCCTATTTGGGACATCATGCCCGATACCACTGACATGCCGTTCTAGGATTTTCCCGACAACAAAAGAAGAAGAAGAAGAAGCATTCATTTTTTTTTTAGATTGTTTGGCATGGGGGAACAGCATGAAGTATGTCATCGGAGACGACCCGAAAGAAGATGCAGATGCGCGCGATTCCAATTATGTTGGACTCGGAGACGGAGAACCTTATTAATATATATCAAAACAAAGCCTCTTGATAGGATAAATGAGCTCGGAGACGGCAACGTCGAGACCTCCGAGTGGAATTTTCAGCAAAGGCTGTTCGGTGCGAGTACCCGCATGCGGCCGCAATCGCGTTGCAAACTTGTTGAGGAAGCCTTCTCCAAGGTTTCCAAAAAATCAAAGCGAGCAAACAAAGCAAGTCCTTAGGTTTTGCAAGGCTTCTTGGAGCCTGGGGGGAGGCGGGCTGGTACTATTTTGAATTTTGTTGATCTCGGGGCTTTTTCATCGCACAGCAAAAGTGGCTCTCACCGTTTGCGAGCGGGCATACTACTCTTTAAGGTGCATCATGCCCGAGAGTTTCTTCAACGGATCGATCGAAAAGTCTTCGTTTTTTGTTTGTTTCGAGACACACGAGTCGTGCATTGATGACCGGTCGACCCGACGTATGTTTCGGACGCAAGTCACCGATCGTTTACGGAAGGGGGTAGTCATGGCCGTGCCGGCACCTTGTTACGATTCTCCTGCGCTTTGCATATATAAAAACGTGTTTTTCTCTTTCTGCACAATGTACCTTGTTTGGGATATCATGAAAAGCAAGTAAAGATCATGCGGAAAATGGGAATCGGCGCGGGTATCTTTCCCCATGGAATCGTTGTGGAGATACGGTACTGGTGTATGAAATCTTTGTGGAGATGCTGGTGTCCGAACCCCTCTCCACTGTCCGGAACGGAAAGGCCCCTCATTTAGGGCCGTAGGATTCAGTATATTTCACCGCTTGATCCAGCTTAATTTGTCCCACTCTTTCAGGGTTTCTGAGCCTTATCGTATTTGTGTCAAACGGTCGTCTTCGATTGTACTTCTTTGATTAATATTCCGAATTTCATCCTGTGACTTCTGTGACTCTGAGAGTCTGTAACTGATAAAGGCGGGATTCTAACGTATGGCATTCATGATCGGAGACTGAATTGAGTGGAGACGGCAGGTATCTTCTGATCTTTTTGAGTGGATCTATAAGTGCCGTCGTTATGTTGATCTCTCGTCATATATGAATATAGATTGTACAGGACCTACATACAGTGCGTATGATAGAAAACGGGCAGAGTTTGACATACATCGAACTCGGAGGATCGACCGACACCCATTGACGATTATAATCCTTTGTTTCATATGATGACATGAGCCTTAAAGTGATCAGTTTCCATAATATGAATAGATTTAGTGTACATTTCGGTGGCTATGAAACTAAGACTTCTGCGCATCTTGCATGCACAAGGCAACAAGCCCGATGCGCAACACGTATGCTTTCTCCGGCCTCGGAAATCCTTCATCCTCCCCCTTTCTGATGCATGCTTACGCAGGACACCCAGTTGATGGATAGTTACAAGAACTTGTTAATGCGCCCCCTGTGATTTTTACCCCCGAGAAACTGATATTACTACAACTTCCGCTACCACATAGTACATAGTAATTTTTGGCGCTCGCCGCGGCTGTTCCCACCACATTTTGGAATAAGATATTCTGAATGATGACACCGTTAGATGGATTTCCAGTTGGGCCTCCATTGAGGTAATCTTGTTGTACATCGATTCCGTAGGTATCGATGTTGGTAAGTTTGATGTTACTATATGTAATATTGGAGATGAAACCGGTGGTGTTGTAATTGGACTTGATGCGGGCCCCATTGCTAGAATTTACAAGTTGACTGTTTTTGAACTAGGAAATGATGAGTGACTTGTGTAAAACGAGGTAGATGGAATTTACCGTGATGTTAGTCACATTGTTATTACTCTTTCCACCTACGGATCCAATACTTAAACCATGACCTCCATAACAATACACTCCGTCAATGGTGATGTTGTTACCGCTCGTCACGGCTACACAGTCGTCCTGGTTGTAAACGGATGTATTCTTGATGATCGTATCGGTTGATGAGCTGAGATCAAATCCATCTGAATTGTGGGCTGCAGCCAATTTGCCACTGGCAGCATTGGGCGCGTCTCCTGCTGTGTTATTGAGAACCAGGTTTTGTATGGTCAACCCAGCAGCACCGCTGATACTGAAAAGATGAACGGGCCAATTCTGGATATAAAGATTCTCAATGACGGAACCACCAATCAATTTCGAGACGGCAATGAAGTGATTTGGCCTGAGAACATTGTTAGCTCCATGGTCACTCGAATTATGTGGAAACATACTTTGGCACCCCTCCATTTGAGCCAAGTCCATCCCAATAAGCTTGACCATTGCCATCGATAACCGCACCGGACTTTGCAGTAATGGTGATTCCAGAACCACCTAATTTGATGGGATCGAAGCTACTGTCATTGGTGAATCCAAATGTTGTTTTGCCAACAAAGGTGATTGTAGTACCGGCCTTGACTTTAGTCAAGTCAATACTGCTGCTTGGCGGTGCATATATATTGCTCAAAGTGATTGCCGTGGATGATGCAACGCAATGCGCGATTTGGGAATACACTGAAGCAGTGCATGCTGTTTGGGCTGAGCAAACGCAGGCCAAGGCGAGGGCTAAAAGCCCAGAGATCTGAGAGTTCTTTTGCATGATGGAAGATGATCAAGCAAGATGGATGGAAGTGATTACTTGGCAGGAGGAGGTCTTGAGGACACTCGACCTTATGAAGACCTGGAAGGCTAAGCATGGCAATCTCCCGAGATTATCTTCTATGCCTGCGAACAATACCGAATGATCAATGAAATGAAGCTTCCTAGGCCGGAAGAACTATTTGCTTTCGTTCTCCGCAAATCAATGAGGTCAGAAGTGCAGTTTCAAGAGATCACCAACAATTCACCAGAAAACGGTAGCTCATAGGTAATTAGAAGTCCAATACGCTGGTACCAGATACTACCTCCTTATCCTCTAGATGGAAATCAATCTGCAATGGTAGAGATTCTCCAATGTTTCATCCCATAATCCCAGACTTCGGCTTGTCTCCAGGCATTTGCGAGCATAATATTTTCCACGAATTATAAAAACTGCCAAATAAACTTTATTTGAACCACCAATTTGAAGAAGGTTTGGTACAGTCCTTAAATCTTACATTTAGCATAAATCTATATTCATTCAAATTTTGTGAGCCACCTGCCAAGGCGGAGGAATAAACTTGTGTGCATCCTCTCGGTTTATTGACTGGGAGATTGGACGGCTGCGACACGATATCACGATACAGAAGAGGAGCCTACATGCGTGCAGCCTCATTGACTTAACGATGGAAAGCAATATCCCATCTCCGCTACATTCACTGGATAGAAAGCAGCAAACCTTTTTCGAAGACCCGGCTCGGCTTCCCGTTCATCAGAATCAATTCAGACTGATTAGACAAAAGATTTATAATCGTCCAAAGTTATCCGAATCATCTTAGTGGCGGCGAGAGTTTTCATCATCTTGACAGCTAAGAGGAATCAGAGGATCCGAATCAACTTGGCAACGACGAGAAAAGAGCTTGAAGTTATCTTGGCGACGTCGAAGATGAGATTTAGAAGCGAGTTTGCAAGGTGGAATGATCACGTGTATACTCGTAGCTTCCGAATTTCTACCGCAATGCGCCAGCCACCAAACTTCAATGAAGGAAACTTGGAAATTAGGAATGATTGGTAGACCTTGAACTTCTATCTGCAATGGCCGAACGCGTCCTACCATGTGCCGTTTGATCACAAATGTATGGTGCGTGCTACAAGGTTGCAACACATCCGTATTCACAAAAACTCCATATGTGCTCAAGGTTTCATAAGGCTTCAATACTATAAGGACGAATCGATCAAATTTCCATGGCACACTCGGGATGACACACGCTCGATGAGAGGGCTGACATTGGGCACTGAGCACTGAGCAGGGCTGTTGCACCAAAAAAGCAATTTCTATCGTATGCAGGCTGGCAGCGATGCATCAAAAGGACGTTCGGGTTGCAACACAAATCAGCCAGAATCCAGTTCTATACGGGACCTTCCTTCTGCTAAATGATGTCTTACCTCCACAATTTTCGGAACATTTCAAAAGTGGTCATACGATCTCTCTTATCACTTCTGAGATCGAATCAAATTTGATTTTATGTTGCAAGGGTTTCTCTTCCATGCGAAGTCGCGTTGAATCCTTGCATGAAGGCTATGTGCATCCTACCCACTGTTGGAAAGCAATCACAACAAGGTTTGAGATGGGCAATTGATATAAGTCCCCGCCCTCCTCTCAGCTCTTCTTCCCTTTCTTAGGACCGACCGCTCATTTTGAAAGTAAAGTCAAAGTTTTTCTTTCTTACCTGATGGTTGTTCGGCTTAATGATGACCGTTTTGAGGCAATGAGTTGTTCATGCAGCTACGACCAATCACACGCAATAACGAATTGCGATGAAGGATTTCGGCCGAACCATGAGGTCTGATTGGCTTCAATCCGCTTTACGATGCTCTTATGAAATCGAAGACGAACCCATCTAGGCGTGCCAAGCGGATCAGTACACAGAGATAGTACAATGTCATCGGGATCGCTCTATTTCATGTCACTACTCGTGACTTGAGACTACTAAGGAGGAGTAGAATACGTTCATTGCAACTGTATCTTTGGCAAGCAATGGAAGTTACCGGTGATTGATTGGTGTACTGTATTAATGAATGGTGAGGTGGATAACTAAATTTCTGGTAGGATAGGTATGTTGATTGGAAGCCCTTAGTCTTCCTCCGTGATCCGATCATTACCACCCCTCTCGATTCAACTTTCATTTGATTTACCACCAGCAACCTCTACCATTCATTCATAAGCTTCTTGCGGATATTTATTGTTGTCACGAATCGACTCATTGTTCAAACGATCGCTCTAGATTTACTTGCTTTTATTTTCAACCTCGGAGATGTATGTTCAACACCTCCTTCATTCATCTGCCAATGAGTCTCGGAGACTAACTCGGTTGCCTAGTTGAATCAATCAGAATGACAAATTCTTTCCAACCCTCGACAGCTGATCTTGCGGGCATTATTGCGACGTTGAACAATTCGAGCAAGTGGGAGTTTCAAGGCACAACTTGTTCTACAAAAGAGTACTTCGACGAATTTGATGCAGATCTTACTGCACTTTCGGCGGAGGAACGCTCCCGCAACTTTGACTCTGCGACCGTAGAAGGCAGCCAGTACGACAAATTGACAAATGTACCTGCGCGGCCATGTTCATTTGGCCATTGCCTATCTGGCGGCACTTGTGTCGCAAGCTCGTATGCAGATACGGAGGCTTCCATGAAGCCAAACTATACCGCTTCCTCTTGCGAGTCGCTGTCACAATACTCGACTCTTAACCCAACTCCAACCAACTCCGTTGACCAACACGTGGATGACAAAGCTCTCTCAAGCCAAAATGACTCGGTCGAGCACCAACAACAATTTGCATTGTCAGACTTTCCACTCCACCCTCGCGGGTCGACGCCGCTCGAATCTTGGTTGGATACACCTCAGCGACACGAGCAAATTGCGTACAATTTGTCAGACCCCGCGGCCGATCCTATTGTACACCAGAAGATAAACAAACGGGCCGGCAGAACGATTTCAAAAAGCAAGTGACGAATCATCTATACAAGACAATAAAGACACAGAAAAGACACAAAAAATTGGCGTTTGCGTAGCGGATTGATTTGGCACAAATGTTATTTATGATTTGATCACTGGATGTTTATTCGGGGGAACTGCCGGCATCATGATGTTGATACGAATTTGAATGAATGCTATGTTGATGAGATAAGCACCCAAGACTGCGGGCAGTTGTTAACATCGGAAGCAAGATTGCTTGTTTTGTCACATACGGCATTCTTTATTTTCTTCAATTCAAAGGACGCACTTGGGAATGCCTTTTTCGATTAGAAGTTCTTTTGGCTACCATTTTGGTTATGTATTGAAGACATTTACCTTACCAATCATATTCGATGTATGTCGTCTGAGGACGTTGGGGATTATGTTTGCCACTACAACATAATTATAGAGATGGAGCTCCACCCACCTGTTCGCGCCCCCCTTCCCTTCCCCACCACTACTCTATTTGTTCGTCTGAACTTTAATATAACTACACATCTACTTTAGTATACATAATGAATGGTATTGTGATGGAACATCAGATGGAAGGATCGATCCCAACATTCTTGCAGTTTTACCTCCGAGTACATGATTAGTATTAATACTCAAGTAGTTTAGTTTTCCAAACCAATAATTTCCTCGTTTGTTTTTCCAGTTTGTTTCTTCTCCTTCATCGTTATAGTAGTTTCTTTTTCCTAGACTTGGTATATCCGCACCCGCTTCATTTACTAGTACCTGCCTACTCACATTACCTACTTATATATATTTTGTTTTGTGATTCGGCTTATTACCATTACTTATACGACTTCAAGAGTGAGGTCTTTTGGCCAGCCTAAACAAGTGTGTTTTGATGAAGCCACCCCAGTGTTGGGGTTTCGGCATTGATTAATGACTATATAAGCGTAAAGAAAGCGTTTGAGTCAGCCAAAGGTAGTCGTCGCAACCCATATGTCAAGAGAGATAATTTTGATCAAGACCATATTGTTACAAAAGTTGATGATTAGACGCGAATTAATATAGATTTCAGGAAGATATTTGTTGAAGGCGCTCTCAAATACGGGGTAGAGATAACTTTGACTTTATTACAACTAATAAAAAAGCATAAGGTATGTGTAAGTTGTGGGTAAGAGGGATGGGTGGGTATAGATCTGCCACTTGACCAAATTGATCTCAAAACGAAACTTACAGAATTCTCCTCTCTTTCTCAAATACCGACACCGCGTACTGAAAATTCTTATTCGGATATGTCCTCCTCATCGCTCTCAATGCTCCCAAAAGCGCCAACCCTTCCCTCCCTTGCGCCACAGCAAAAAACTACAACTTCGGCCCGGTAATTAATGACCAAGATATATCCCTAACGTCCTCATCAGCTACAGTTCAAAAAATGCAACATCGGCAACCATTACCAAGTCCTCGACACTTTAGTCTTTATCACCAATATCAAGTGATTCTGATGAAAGCTTCAGACCCTCCATCCCAGCCAAACGCACACATACCTTCTTGACTGACGAGCGGAGGAAGCATTATGCCATCTATTAGATTCACAGGTTAGCATCACGTTCATCACAACCAACCCAAAGATTTTCTACTCTCAATAGCCCTCAAATAATCCTTCATCTCTTGGCACTTGCGTTTTCACTCCCTCAACTCCAAACCAATCAGCCATCACCGATTTTTCCCCGGAATCCAAAAGCCTCGCTACATCCCATCCCCAAAGAACTTCTTCTTCTCGGGAAGATGACTCATCGCATCTGAAATCCACACACGATCAAATTTCTCCGTCCTCCCAATCTCGTCCGCATTGGATGTAAAAACCTCCCCAAAAATCTCCGTATCCAGAACCATAAACTTTACCTTTCTCTCCCGGAGTCTCATAAACCCATCCCCATCCTCACTCTCACCATCCGCCTCTCTCAAGCTCACCCTTCTCGCGATCTCAATCTCTACCTCGCTCAACGCAATTCCCACCACCGTACACCCCAACTCTCGAGCTAAATAACGAGACGTCCCACCTAATCCACAGCCTACATCTAGCACTTTATTTCCTGAAGCGAGTATTGATTTTTTGTAAGAGGAGTTCTATTTGTTGTATCTGAGCGATTTCTTTCATATCGGTGGGAGTGAGATAATAGCTATGGTGGAGATGTTCGCCCCTGGGTTCGTGAGTTTGAGGGGGATGTGGAGGTCGAGGTGCATGGGAGGGGGACTAACCGGAAAGAGTAATAGTAGTCGGCGCAAACGTCGTAGTGATATTTGATACTCTCTTTTAACTTTTGAGGTGCTTGTTTGGGGTATATTCCTTATATTCCTCACATCTATTTCGACCTATTTCATCTATTTCATATATTTCACTATCCATTTCAACCTTTTTCATCTTGTTTCTTGCCATATGAATCGTATGTGAACCTGACGACCCGTTGCAAATTTTACTACTTTTAGCTGAATCCAAGTCACACATGCAATGGATGAAAGAGGCTCTATTCACATTGTTTAGACAGTGCCAGTCGCTATCATAGGATCAATTCCGCTTGGCCTCGTGGACGACCATTGCGGTGGGAATATACAGTACAGTCTACCCATACTCGGATGTAAGCGCTTGGAGATGCACTAATTCTAGTCCAAAGTATAGTGTTGGGCGCCTAAAATGAATAACTGTTTTATAGACATTATTCGGTCTGGTGTTATTTAGCTATGATCTACATAAACGTGGATTTATAATACTGTTGGGGATTTGGAAGTATTTGATCATGCTTTCCTCACATTCATTTACAGGAGGGGTGAGTGGATTGCCATCGTTCTCGGCCCCTCCCTGCATCATTCACAACTATATTGTATAGATATAGGAGATATTCCGGAATAAGTAACTCTTTGATCCGGGGACTCGTCTAATGGTCCATAAACTAATTTCCTATCGTATTTACACACGTACGTATGGCTTCGAGTCTGAGTAATGGATCATATAAGTATTGTGGTTGAGAACACCATCTCTGCATGCCGATAATAGTCCAAGATTTTCCCAAGTCAAACTTCTCCGAGACACTGCGGTTTCCTTAAAAGAAAGTCGATAGGCTTGTCGAAAGGTTATGAACAAAGTCAGTTATTTATGGACTGGTTGGTATTGAATGTTGCCTAGAGTTTTCGTATTCATATTAATTCCCATGTCCGATTGATTCAAAAATTATAGACTGATACTCAGATATGTATGGTGCTCATGAGGATAATGTATTATGCTCATGCGGAATGGTCATTCATGAGAGTTGGATGAGACGAGCAAGTACAGTACCGGAATCTGCGCTATTAACATGTATGATGAAGGGGATATAATCTCGATACCGTGTAGATATATAGCTTGGACGAGGATGTTTGTCTTTTGTGCATCATTTGCATGTATCATTTGCGAGTATCATTTGCAAGTATTATCCATCGATTACCTTTGGATATAGGTTATTTGGGCGATAAGCTTAAAATGAGCCATTGTCTTCTTAGCCATATAACCCGTTAAAGCTCTTCATCGGGTACATCATTTGAGCAAATCGAAAAGTGGCATACGCATATATAGATATGGATGTATGGATACAGTCGAGTCGCGCCAAAATATTGGTAGATTATGATGTTGGTCATTACCTCACACCGAAAAACAACACACAAAGTGCCAGTCTCCTAAATTGAATCACACATATTTATTTGCCCAACAAATCCCCAATCTTTTCCATTGAATAATACGCATAGCCCAGCCCAGCCCAGCCCAGCCTATCCTATATACTACTAGACATCCATACACCGACCCACCGTCTTTTGTCCTAGAATCAAAGGAGTAAAGGAGTCGACCCAAAAGGATGCGAACCGCCGGCCACATAGGCAACCATCTTGCGCGGCTAAAACCCCAACATATGGTCCCTGCTAAATATCTTCTCATGATAATCATACAGGACTGTCATACCCCGCATTACCGCTCACGCCAAATATCGTAGTAGATAGTATGGTGATCGGTAAGTAGGCGGGCAAGGCTCAGCAACCTTTCCTATTATCAAACAGGCCAATACTCAAGTTATATGACGTGTTGATCTGGCCTCGAGTTGCGTATCGTATGCACAAGTTTGCATTCCTGCCAAAATGTTGTTGTGGATAAAAAGTCATGACATGCCGAGTTCTGAGCACCGAATCGTGTTCTTCAATTTCTCATTGTGATATATCTTTCTTATAATCTTTCACATTTGCTTCTTATTCTCCATCTCCTTCTTCTGTTCTTTCTTTGACTTCAAAGTCGAACGTCTAAGTAGTCATGGCCTCTTATGTAAATTGTCTCAAAGTCTCCGATGAATGTCCAATCTCTGCGACAGCATATGGGTATACGCCATCCCTGGCAGCTAACGCTACATTGCTAGCAATCTTCAGTATCATTACGCTGGCGCAAATGATACAGGGTGTGAAGTATCGGACTTGGGGATTTATGGCTACATTTGTACTAGGAAGTTTGTGTGAAGTAGTTGGGTATGCTGGGAGAGTAATGATGGCATCTAATCCATGGAGTCATGTTGGGTAAGAAACATATCCTCTTGATACATGCAGAAGAAGCTAACAAACCCCTAGCCTCACTCTCCAAAGCCTCTGCCTTACAATCGGACCCCTTTTCTTCCTCAACGGAGTGTTCCTCTGCTACACAAATATAATCGAAACATATAGCCCAACCCTCTCGCGCATAAACCTCATCACCTACCCCTTAATAGCCACCTCTACAACACTCCTTCCCTTCATCCTCCTGACCTCCGGGTCTCTTCTCCAAAGCACCTCTGCGATTGGCTTCACTCCATCTTCATACCTGCCTATCGGCTCTCATCTCGTCATCGCCGGCTTAAGTTTCCAACTTCTTGCGATGATCTGTTTCGGTCTGCTCCATGCCGATTTCAAAGTCCAAGTTCGTGCCTATCCCGAGCAACTCAATGCTTATACAGAAAATACACGTTCCTCCCGCCGCTTCAGATTCTTTTATGCTGCGCTTCCGCTAGCTTTCTTGGGGGTCGGAGTTAGTGTGGTTTATAGAATGGCTGTGTTGGGACAAGGATGGGGTATGGGAATGATGAAGAATGAGGTTGCGTTTGTTTGTCTGGAGGGGATGTAAGTTTATTCTGCGAGGTTTATGGTATGACCAATGATGCTGATTTATTCATAGAATTGTGGCAATTGCGGGATCTGGACTGTCGCTTCTGCACCCGGGATATGTGTTTAGGCCAACGGAGTACATTAATCAGTGGAGCGCAAAGATAATCGCGGAGGAGAAGTTGGAAGACGCTTGGAATTGAGTGGGAGGAAACGAGAAATCTACAGGTTTTAAAAGAAACGTTGATGTTGGTGATCGTGCGATGAGATTGGAGACTTGATTTGGTACGAGAGCGGGGTAGAGATACATGATTTGCAAGAAGGTAGAATGGCGTTGTGGACCTGTTGGTATGAATAATAGAACGATGTACTCCCAAAGAATAAAGACAGTTAGGAAGTCGGTATCGATCCTAAATTTCCATGAAATTTGTGGAGTTTCGAGCATGTGTTGTTCCCGAACATTAGATGTAATCCTAAGATCTGATGCAACGGTTTTGAGGGACTCCTTTTGATGATCCTGATTAAATTTGAATATACTGGTCAAAAGACACGAGACAAGCAGATTTGGTAATTTATCTTCTTCCATCATCTCCCTTGAATCTTGTCTCGCCAGATGAAGAGGTTCGAGCATCCTCCTAAAGCAAATAAACACTCAATCGGAGCTATGCTATGAGCATCGATGGACAACGGGACATCGAAATCTACTTCAATGTCTTTTTCGAGAGCACCCAGAGCTACAAAAGCATGTTTAACGAATTTCTCTTGGTGGCATATTGAAGTACAAGGCTCCCCCAAAAGTCTAGCGATGCATTATCACTCTTAGTTCTTGAAGAATTCAAAACACTAGCTGAGCGGCATATACCATGGATATCTGCATTAAGATGATCTTGGAAGATAAATCTGATGACCAAGCGAGCTATAATCTATTCTGCTTGTGAAGCCGACAGTGGCTAATATAGAAGCGGGCGATATTACAGCGAGTAAAAAAACCAAGTATAGATATACTGTCTCTATAGCAAGGATATATGTGAGTAAAACAGCTGAAATGTTGAACTCCATCCACCCAGCAGCTTGTAGCCTACCTTTACAGAAACCACTTGGTTTGCATTTGTCATTTTGAACGGAACTTGAGGAATATATGATGTTATCCACATACGAATATATACCACAAGGACGCGAAATATCAATAGACCTGTTGGGTTTTCTCCATGATCCTACTCAAGTAACTATGACCCAAGTAAAAATATCTGTGAAATCGTCAATGAATGGTGCATGACTTGAAATACATTCCAAAATCGGAATGGTTGAAATGAGTGTGGCTTGGTAGTTTTGCTTGACTTCCTTCTCATATTTCTCAACATTAGAGGTTCCAAATCCAAACCAAAAAAAAAGGAAATGCCGGGAAATCAATCTGTCAACGTTGGCAGGAATGCCTTGATGTCAAATTAATTTTGCCAAGAAAAACAATGCGGAATCCTCGGAACCATATATTTCCGCATTAAGGCAAGCTTCGAGTCTTTCGCTACAAGCTAAACCAAATACATATTCGCTTCGCCTTGCTTTGCTTCGCACATGTATATCAGTGGATCTTGCTAATTATCTGATGCTAGGTATCCCATTTCGCGTCTTCGCGCTCTGTTGATTTATAACTCCGTCGATTGATCCTTCAAGGCATATCGATGTAAATTTGTTGCAGATAATGCTTGTTACCCATAAACTAGTAGATATGTTCTGAATTCGCTGGGTGGGAACTTTAAAAGCACTTCGATCCCTCGATTACGGCCAGGATCTAGAAACGGTTTCCATCTTCATATCTCCTCCATTCAAAAGCCATTACTTAACCTAAGTCGCTACAATAAAATGTCAGCCCCCCAGAGCTTCGTCGCCGTTGCAGGTGCTGCAGGTAATCTAGGCTCTCTAATTGCCCTCAGCCTACGCGAGAGAAATGTTGCAGTCAAAGCCCTTGTGCGTCCCGGCACCGCAGCATCCCGCACCCAAAAGTTACGAGACGCCGGTGTCACGATAGTAGAAGTCGATATGAGTGATGTTCAAGCTCTCACCGAAACCATCACAGGGGCTAAAACCGTCGTCTCGGCACTTCAGGGTCTTCGAGACGTTATGTTAGGTGCTCAAGGAAACATTCTAGAAGCTTCTGTTGCCGCAAAAGTACAGCGTTTTGTCCCGTCCGACTACTCGTTGGATTTCACCAAGTGCGAGCCAGGTTCCAACAGGAATCTTGATCTGCGCCGTGAATTTCACGCCAAGCTTAATGCATCGGGTATTGAATGGACGAGTGTATTTAATGGTGCCTTCATGGAACTTATGACAAGCGGCCAGATGCCGATTATCAATGACAAATGGCATCGCATCTTGTATTTCGGTAACCCAGATCAGAAACTCGATTACACAACTATCCCGGACGCAGCTGCTTATACTGCTGCTGTAGCTGCGGATCCAAGCTCAACACCAAAATTTCTACGTATCGCAGGTAGCTCGATCAACGCGAAAGAATTGGCCGCTGTCGTGACTAAGATACGTGGTGAGCAGTATGCACCGATGTGGACAGGAAGTGTCGGCTTCCTTCGCGTGATTATTCCGATCTTGAAGTTCTTTATTGGGGGAGTGGAAGATAAAGTATTCCCAGCTTGGCAGGGAATGCAATATATGGAAAATATGGTCTCCGGAAAAGGTAAGCTGGAGCCTATTGATAACGACAGATATCCTGACTTGGAGTGGACTACCGTGGAGAAAGCTATAATAGAGGCGGATGCAGAGAAGAAAAAGAAGATGGTTTGAATAAAGGTGGAATAACACGGAAAATGGTGTTTTGTTTAATGTAAGTAATAAGTGTATATTATAGTATCAGGTTTCATTTGCGGCTTGCAGCACCAACCTGGTGGTTCTTTGTAGCGATACATCACGAATTCGTAATTATACTTTCTTCTTTATAATTGCATGCAACATCTAGAGACCAGTCATCTTTGGTTCCCGATTATGGACAAAATACTCTCTAGACCTCCAAGGAAATCCAATACTATCAGTGTGGATACTTTCCTTTCCAGTACGTACCGGTACTGATATTCAAAGACAACTTTTGGAAGCCGTAAGGTTTGAAAATCTTTTGAATAATTAAATCTTCTCGGATGATCTGATCTTCCTAAGCAACATGTGCCTTATTTTCGTATGAAATCGATATACGGAGGGAGTTAGGAGGCACCATGCGCCTTCAATATGACTGTTCGCAGACACGGTGCTTGAGAGGATTGAACTATCCAGCATCTGCCCGTTGATTCTCTGTCTTGCCGTTCAGCAAAAGATTCGCAGGCACAGAATGTACGGAAAGGCTTAAAGAACGGAGTTGGCATTCGATGAAAGTATGGCCTATCCAGGGAAAACTCTAGATTCATCGATGGACCAAGAGCATGTTGTATATAAGGTAGGCTGTTGCAGACCTGCGGAAAGCTTTTTAATTGAATGAGCGGCTCTTCTTTCCTGTGCTTTTACCAAAACAGATCTTCAATCTTAGATACCAATCTATTGCCATCTATCGAAATCGATATTACCTACGACATGAAGCTCCAGACTCTCATGAAGATATTTTCAACAAGCCTTTTCATGACTTCCCCTCCCATCGCCGATGATAAATATCAGCGCCCGCTGGCATCTCCAAAAATTGAAGTCAGATGCAACTATGGCCAATACATCATCCCAATGATACGACAGCGGCTATCGACGGTATTACGCGCCTTTCCCTCATAACTTCCACATCCGAAGCACCCATAAATAAGTTTCCTGGTGGCAACAAGGTCGAAAAATGTGGTTTACACTCATAATACGGCACAAGCCTATGTCTGTGGTTGGAAATCGGGGAAGCACCAGAACATAAGAGCAGTAAATTTCAACTATTAGGAGTAGAAGAGGAGAGCTCTGATTTTCAACTATTAGGAGCAGGAGAGGAGTAGGAGGGGAGGATTTTATAAAAGATATATATTGTTGACGCTATGGAAGAAAATAATCGCGTATGCTGGGGTGGCTTTGCATCATCTGGTAAAATCTGGTACCCTGAATGGGAAATCTCTATAGGTCGTGGGCGAATCGACGAGGTTATCTGCGAGTCGTCTGAAAAATCATGGTTGAAATTTCGATCTGATTGATATCATATCTTGGAGACAATTGTTGAGACTTTGGTTGAAGGGGTGGTTAAACCTATGGTTCACATTTTTGTGGAAGCGGCCTTCGACTTCTTGGAGGAATGATCCACATTTCATGTAGAAGAAATTACATTTCCCGAGTCTAGGCCATTTTGCATGCTCTCTTCATGTGCTAATATTATACTCGTGCTTTGATCTGAGCGATGCTGAAACAGGGCAAAGTTGGCTTGGCTCTCATGCCGTTTGGAACCTATCCAAGTCGTTTCCCCCCGATTCCTTGCGGCCGCGTGCAGTTGACACGGGCGAAATAAATGTCGATCAGCTCTTACTATAATGGGCTTCCGTTTCTTCATACGTACTTCCAATGTCCTCCCTCAACTCTCAAACCAAAATTCTTCAGTCTATACGGAGCCTATTTAAGATCTTCCAATTCAAAGTAAATCAGCCACTGGTTCCAGCCCATCAACCCCCGAATAATATTTCGTAAAGATCATGATATCAGATTCCTTGGTGAACATTTCTTCGATCATCTTTAACATTCGACACTACCTTAACCTCCTCTCATTCTCCCCCTTGGACGTCAGCGAACGACACCAATTAACAACCCCCGTGTAAGCAATCTCAACGAGACGCATCATCCACCCCAATAGTATTCTCCCCCAATCCTCACATAAGCCCCAAATCCGCACGCACACACGACTCCACTTCCCCTAGTAATCTTCGTCTATCCCTATCATCTACAGGGATTTCTCTCCTCTTCCCATCTTCTCCATACAAAATCATTCCATGCGCCCACAACATTCTTTTTATAGCATCCAAATCAATATTATCCCATGTGGATCGACCGAGAAGTAATGAAGTATATCCGGTTTCTAATATGTTCATGGGGGGAGTGGTGTAACTGGTTTGTATGGTGGTGCTTATTGGTTCCATATCATAGATTGGCTCTGCGAGAAGACTTTCGTCAGGGACCAGTGCAGTGAGAGTTGCGGATATGGTATAGCGGATACTATGTAAGATATCATTCAAGCCCTGTTCAAGAACCGGCTTCGTAGACTTAGATTGACCAGAATACACCATCAGGTGTCTCGATCGCTCGATTTTCAACTCCAGATTGTCGACTTTGGGAGTGAGGGATAGCTTGAAACGTTCTTGAATTTCAGAGAATGGAAATTTACGGCAATATGTAGGTAGATAGTTGGTGTGATTGAGGGGCTGTAAGTAGTCGAACTTGTGAGGGGTGTAGTCTGAGGAGTCGTGTAGAATTAGCTCGTGATGAATGAGTAAACTACGGAGGCGGTTTAGGTAGTGCGTTACGTCGGTTGGTCCACGATCTGACATATCTGCTTATGGTCGAGGCTGATATTCCACTTTGAGATGCCGAGAGGAATGTTACCTAGGAGCTGTGATTTATCAACTTATAACAGGCGACAGTTTACTATTTGTTAGATATAGATTTGGAACAACAGGGAATGAGTTGAAGGAGGCATCGCATCCCCTTGAACGCTCTTCTGCATGGTATATAAGGCTTCATTCATCCTTTGGTAACATCTTTGATCACTTGATATGCAGCTTCATCATATCGTGAAAAGCACCCATGCTTGCTGGTGCCAATGTTCAAAGACGAAGTGAAGATCAACGTGAATATAGTATTAGTTTGCCTGCAGTATCGCGGTCTGACAGATCCTAGCTGTAGCTTCCCGAAACCCACATCTATACCTTTATTCATTTCACTATTAAAGCAATCAAAAAGAAATGTTTAAGCAGATCGTGCTCGTTCTATCCCTTCGTAAAGAGATAGAAGAAGCATGGGGTGGATAAATAGATTCACCAGAGCTGGCTTGCTTTCCAATCTTGCCATACCTGGCCCCATCCCCTAAAAGTATGGTCATGTCATCTCTGAGAAAATTGGCATTCTGACAGCGCAGTGGCTGGCCTTCGGCAGAGGAGGCGTGGTTTTTTTCTTTCTGTGTGAGTTGCGAAGGAAAGAAAGCAGAAGTGGAATGGGTACGCTGCTCCCTTTATCTCGCTTATGGATATCCTGATTCTAAGTTCCGAAAGGTTTCTAAAGGAAACTAGAGAAATTTTCTAGTATAGCTGCTAAGTAATGACATGGTCGATATCACTTCCTTCAAGGAGTTTAAAATACAGTTGTTACTTGAAGTGTGGCTGATAAGCATGTGTGGCGCCGCGCTAATTCTGAAATGGATTAATTCAAAACGTGAACTCCGGACATGAACGGGATCTCCAACGTTCTTCAATCATTCTTCATCTAGTGACATCTTGCTGAACTCTTTTGACAGTGTATTCTTGTGTACTCTATTGCTTCATCTATTAAGTGATTGTCATCCCTAGACGTTCTAGACGTTGGACCAGATCTCGGTAAACACAAACTCAACTACGGCCAAACAGAGTCAAATCCAGCAACCCCTATTATCATTTCAAGCATCAAATCACATACCCAATATCCACATTCATCACCATGGCCGATCTCCCAACTGTACCCACCCACGACCGATACACCCCCTCCATCTCTTCCACCGATTACAAAATCACCACACCCGCCACCAACGACCGTTCTCTCCATACCGAAAATACCGACGCAAACCCGCTTGTTTATCCGCGAAAGTTCGACCTCGCAACCGATACCGAGCTGTATGTTCATGAAAACCGCAACATCCCTCGATTATTCTTCTACGAGCCCGGGGAAGAATTGCAAATCTCCAGAATGAAATTGATTACCGAGGGTCATTTTATCGGGCATCCGCGGACTTTGGTTTTCAGTGTAGCGGGGGCTGTTAGTCCGTTAAAACGTGATGATTCTCATGTAAATCTCGGTTTTGATTTCCCCTCTTCATCATCCTCAAATCAGAACACAGAGGAGAAATTCCAAGCAGCTTATTCCGTACACTTTGGACCTAAATCCCGGTATAATACCACGGGTAAAGTCAAGGAAACGGGGAGCAAAATAGAGATGCAGAAGATTGTCGAGTTGGCAGCAGCATGTGAGGCATTGGAATTTGTGGAGATGGAATGTAAAATGAGGCATCCGGGGTTTGAAGATGTTAGTGGGGAGATTGCGCCGGGAGGTTTGGTGGTGGGTGTTACGAGTAGTACAAACTTGTGGTATGGGATTACGGAACATATTGTAAGTTTCTTTTTCTTTCAAAACGAAGGACTGGAATGAGGATGTCGAGGATAACTCTGCTGCATCGAGGCCAAGTTGGTCCGATTGGTTAAGATCCCACATTACCTCTCGCTTCAATCCTCATCCATTTTCCCACCTCCTTTCAATTCACTAGACAATTGACTTTAAAACTAACAAAACTCACAGTACAAATGGAAACGCAACGATTTCCGTAATTCCAAAGGGAGCAAAGTGGTAGGCGAAGAATTATGGAAGAGGTTTGATGAATGCATGAATCGATTTGAATACAATCAGACGAGAGTGGCCTGGATATTATGCGAGAAAGAGGAAAATGAGGCGGAAGAAGCGGCTTGGCGGAGGGTCACGGATACTTCATTGTGAGGTGAGGGGGTGGAGGGCGGACTGGCAAGAGGGAAAGGGAAGCGGGGGAAGAATAGATGACTATATAGGATAGGATAGGGTACAGTAAGAGTAAGAGTAAGAGTAAGAGTAAGAGTAAGAGTAAGAGTGCATAATTTATATCCAAAAAGTATATACTCAGATTCGCAACACCCACAAAAACCAATACCAGCCACTTCCAACAACCCTCCCAATCCATCCATCCATATTCGAATACATGTAAGTAATCAATAGAGACAAATACGACAAATATGTATAGATATATAACTAAATATCACCATCACCACCACTTCCACTTCCACTTCCACATTTTACAATTTAACTAAGTTAAATTTGATCTTTTGTAAGATTATTTCAAACTACCGGTATGTATATAAATGTATTTCTATATCTGTCTGTATCTAAAGAGGATCTCTGAAATTTAAATGATATGTCGAATGCGATGAATGCAAGACAAATATAAGATAAAAGCCCATCATCCATATTGCACATCCATGCAACCAGGCCTGCTCGCTATGCAAAATTTCCGTCCTTACCTTAGCAACCATTCATACATGCAATTAAATCCCATGCCAATGCCAATGCCAATGACAATGCCAGCAACCTCCCAAGTCGTAATATAAATCGTTACACTCATTCTACCCCGTCCTCAATCCCATGCCACCATCACACTAAACCCTCCTTTCCAAAAGTAATCTCCCCACCGGCCCCTCCTTCCTCACCACCATTCCATTCATCTCCCCCACCCCCCTTTCATAAACCTTACACCCTCTAACCCACGTCTCCCCCACCCTCCCCTTCATCATCTTCCCCGTATACGGACTAATTTTATTTCTAAAAAGCAGTTCCTCCCTGCCTACAACCCACTCATGCTCATCTTCAAAGATACAAAGATCCGCGTCCATACCCGGTCTTAGTGCTCCCTTGCGATGTTGAAGTCCTACTTGTTGAGCCGTATTCATAGCGCATAGTTTGACGATGTCGAGAATACCAATTGGGTTTGGAGAGGAGGCGCGGGAAGGGGATGTAGCTGCTGTCCAGAGGATAGGGAGACCGAGACCAACTGACGAGATACCGCCCCAGGAGGCGAAGAAATCACCTTTTTCCTTGGCTTCTTCTTCTATCAATAAGTTGCCGTTTACGCCTTTAGCATCGTCGCGCATGGCTCCACAACCGTGGGATAAATGTTCGGGGAGGAGTTTGAGTTCTGGGGTACAGGGGCTGTGATCGCTAACGATGGTTTTGATGACGGATTCTGGGTGAGATAATTCGGCCCAGAGACCTTCGCGGTTGGCGGAGGAGCGGATGGGTGGACAGCATTTGTGGCGGGTGTCGCCTTCGGAAACATCTTCGGATGCGAGTGCGAGGTAGTGGAAACAGGTTTCGGCGGTGATGTTTATGCCGGAGGAGCGGGCCGCGCGGAGAAGGGGGATGGCTTCGATGGCGGAGAGGTGGACGATGTGGAGGTGGAGAGAGGGAGCGAGGGGGGCAAGGGAGAGAATTTGATCAATGGCGTAGGTCTCGAAGGATGGAGGACGGGAAGATAGGAATGTGTCGTATGTTGTTAACGGACCGGATGGTTCGAGTGGTGGAAGGGATACTTGGACTTTATCACCGACGGAGGCTGTTATTGGTGGAATCATTTCCGCGTGAAACATGAGAGTTGTGGAAGTGTCTTTGAGCGTCTTGAGTACGAGGGCTACATCGGATGAAGAAACGGCTGGAAATTCGTCGACCTTTGAAATTTATTAGCTCCTGCTACTATGATGAGTGAGGAATACATACACCACTCTCTATAAGGAAGCCCTTGAACCCCCTGACTCCTGCCTCAACAAGCGGAAGCAATTCATTGGCGTTGCCAGGTATGATTCCGCCATAAAATCCAACATCGACCCAGCATTGTCCTTGAGCAGCCTTGATCTTTTCTTGTAGTCCATTCAATGTTGTAGTTGGTGGAATAGCATTCAAAGGCATATCAATGACTGTTGTGACACCACCTGATGCAGCAGCTTTCGTACCAGTATTGAAACCTTCCCATTCTGTCCGACCCGGCTCGTTCAGATGTACGTGTGCGTCGACTAAGCCCGGAAGAATCAAATGTGGAGTGTGGTCGACATAGATTGTGTTTGGTGGAAAACTTGAGGGTGGGAGAACGGTAGGTAGAATTGATATGATCTTGCCGGTCAAGGGCGAGATTGTGATAGTTGCAGGTGAGATGATGAGATTATCTTTCTCGTCAAAGATAACTGCTCTAGAAGAAACGAGGACTGTGGGTTGGAATGGAGAATCGTGTGGTGGTGTAGCAGCAGGAGTAGGATATGGGAGTATTGTAGTCATTTTGAAGTCCTTTGAGATCTAATATTGGAATAAAGAGTTGAAAGAAGATCTGGAAACCCAATTGAAGATATTCTGAGATGTAATTGAAAGGATGATCCACTGGAATGTTCTTATCGTGGGGGATAAGAAGTGGGAGAGATAAGAGAGGTTTGAGGGATAATAAAATTTCGATGTGCTGATAAGGAAAATGAAGGGGGGCAATTTCTTTGTCTGAGTGAATTGAAGACTTTTTCAAATCTGGGGAATACAGAAGAAGATGGAGATAAAAGGAAATCTGATCAACAATCTGATCAACAACAACAAGAAAAGCTCAACCACAATAGGCTTACTGTATTTATGGAGTGCAATCACCGTAGCATGCCAGTGGTGGCATAATCCGAAAATGTATATATTCCCACCCAAAAGTCGTTATCATGCTCATGAATCCTTATCTTTCTTCTCAACTACCAATCCGAGTCAATACAACCAGTTCTCACCAATCCCGGGCCAATCCGGAGAAGCCACTCCAGCTCCATAATATAAACAAGCGGTTGGGACATCGTTTGAACTCTTAGTATAACCTATAATAGGTTTTCATCGAGTAATGATCCTTCTAGTAACTTCTAGTAAGGAAAGCTAGAATGGGATGAGTATTGTTTGACCTTCTGAGTTGGGGGATATAAAGCGTTTCGGGGCATTTCGGTATGTCAGCTCTTGAGTTCTGACACTAATAAGAAGCTGTGGAGATTCCATACGAACACCGAACACCGCAGTGAGGTATCTCTCTCTCTGTTGAGTCTGCTCATCCAACATTTTGGACGTTCATTATCAATCATGTGCTGTACAACGATGAGGTTGTAAGCCACAATCAATGCCGCTTGTGTTGTTTGCGGTATATTGCTGATTGTAGACATTGTTGTTGAACTCTTAAAGCCTTCTAAGGTTACGTGGTTGTGGTCGTCTGTAACGTGGTTGTCTGTTGTGTCGCAGTTGTAGCACAGCACTACCTACAGTACCGGCTGTGAGGCGAATCCCGATGTCGATGTCGGGTCGGGATTAAAGTTTAGCCTATCACTAGATTAGCTAATATGTACTGTACTTATCCACAGCTCAAACGGGTTCAGCCTCTTACTCGATAATTACGAATATATGCTCGAGTGCATCTATGGACACATGTGGCTTTGAATTCAATATTGTCGTACGAATCATTGATTGTTGAGGACGACCTCAAGATTTGGCTCGCGGCAGTGACGGCAAACGGGTCAGAAATCGGGCATCTTGGTATCTTGGTGTCTTAAACCGAGGTGAATGGAAAGCATCGGGGTGGGTGCAAGCTGCCTTTGAATTAACCATCATGTACTCAAGAGACGAAAGTCTCCGCAGGTATTGTAACGGTTGACTTGAAGGCTTGGAGATTCTGAGAGTACAGCCTTTGTCCGCTCACTTACACTGAACCAAAGGTTATGGGAAAACGTGGTTAATGATATTTTCAAAATGCAAATAAATCAGCAACCCAACTAACAATTGCAAGGTAAGTCAGTGGAAGTTAATCGGCATAAAGAGTCGAGGAAATATGGATTATAAGAAAATTTGATCCTGCTGAGGGAGATGGAGGAGTCGCAATATACCACACTAATCACGTATAATGGCTGGGGCAACTGCAAGCCAAGTGTTCTTGCCGTGTAGAACGGCATTCTGACGACAACTGCAAGTAACGTTGAGAAGCAGGGAATTCATTGCCATATGCAAACTATCGGCATCCGTGATACATCACACTGCGTCCACGAAATCAAGGATTTTCATTATCTTTTCTCAAATTTGGGGATGCTTTCATTATGTGTTATTTCAAACCTATCATAGACCTTTTCCGATCACGTTTGTTTACTCGTTTTTCGTCAACTATGAAGCTTGATCAAATATCAATTGCCGAAATATTGGAAGGGTTGAAGAACGGAGATTTCTCAAGTGAAGATCTCGTCAGAGTTAGTGAATGGGCATAATGACTTCTCTTCCGTATCACTAACGACTATCAAGACCTACATTAAACGTATCGAGCAAGTCAATGCTACTGTCTGTGTCGTCAGTGAGATCAACCAAAATGCTCTCAAAATTGCTAGAGAAAAGGACGAGGAACGATCACGCGGCTTGGCTCGAGGAATTCTTCACGGAGTACCAATTCTAATCAAGAATTTATTCTTCACAACTGATGGCCTTAAAACCACTTGTAAGTTTTAAATTTTTCCGGCTTGGGTATGCTCTTATTTCATAAAGTTGGCTGCACGGGGTTTCTTGAAGCCATTTCAAGCATCGAAGCGACAACAATCATCAAGCTCAGGGAGCAAGGTGCAATCATATTAGGAATAGCAAATGGCTCTCAATGGGCAAACTTCCGATTCACTCCTGGTTGGTCTGCTGTAGGGGGTCAGTGTCTTGGTATATATCATAGAGATCAGCATCCTCAAGGTTCATCATCCGGTAGTGCTGTAGGGACTGCTTTGGGACTCTGCGCTGCTGCGTTAGGATCTGAGGTCTGTGAGTTCTCCATTGCATATGAATCACGTGGACTAATTGCCCGGGGTATAGACCTGTGGTAGTTTGATATTGCCCGCGCAAAAATCCGCAGTAGTGGGACTAAAACCAACGGTTGGTTTGACTTCGAGATATGGATTATATAGCGCAAGCGAGAGTCAAGATACTGTAGGGGTATTGGCGAGGAGTGTAAAGGATGCCGCACTTGTGTTGACTGCGATTGCGGGTGAGTATTCTGAATCCATTCACAATAATTTCACTGAGAAAAGAGAGGCGAAGATAAAAACGACCCTCCCTCGATTGTGGATCCTAGAGATTTGATATGTTCCCGGAAACCAATTGAAGTTCCAGATTTCACAAAGGCATGCATTTCTCGAAGGCTAGATGGCATACGAATGGCAGTAATATCTCCGGCAACGATCTTTCCGACCATCATGATTCTAACAATATTACCAGGTACCCCGCCACCTTTTCAAGAATGTTGATTCTACCACCATGCATATTTTCACAAATGCAATCAATACCATGAAATCTCTAGGCGCAATTATCATGGATCCAGCTTCATACTCCAGATTTGACGCTGATCGATCATCCTGCACTGGCGATGAGTACGACCTCGCTTTACGAATAGATATCTATCATAGTATATCTTCCATTCCTTAGTATCTCCATTTGTTCATATAGCGACTAACTATTCCCCCAGACATCAAGAAAACCCTCCTACACTTCTCCACCAACCCCTACTCCCTTCACACCCTCTCAGACATCATATCCTACACTCTCGCCACTCCCGCAGAAGAGGCCTCTACGCGCGGCTACTCATTCTTTGCATCATGTCTGCATGCCGGCCAGACATATTCACGCAATAGTGAAGAATACCTAAATTCCAAGGCCGAGAGAGAAAATATGGGAAAGCAGATATCAAAGTTGTTGGATAAGTTTGAATGTGACATGATATTGTTACCGACAAATCTGGCCATGGAACCGGCGGATGTGGGTGGAAACCCGGTGGTGAGTGTGCCGATGGGTTATTATCCTGAGGGTACAGAGGTGATTCGAAAGGGTAATGGGTTGGTGGATGTAGGGCCGGGCATTCCGTGAGTCTTACTGTTTTCTTTGGTTTTTATTCTGGGGGTTTGTAGAGGTGTGTGGAATGGTACACATGGTTATTGAGAAGAATGGCAATTGATTGTTAGATAACAGGATTGGAATATGTTTTATAGGAAGAAGATGGGATGACGCAAAGTTGATCGCAGCAGCGTATGCATATGAACAGGCTACGAGGTGGAGAGAGAAGGGAAAGTTGGTCGTGAGGTGTGGGATTGAGTTATCTGTGTTGGGATGCGATGAAAAAGGTGAGAAGAATTAATTTTATGTGTGGATTTTGGTAGATGGTTGTCTGTACTCGAGTAATGAGGATGATTGATATACTAAGCGAAATAAGTCTACTCATTCCAGATCCCTACTCAAAAATTCAATATACATCGAATAAATTTTCTTTTTCATAGTCCTAATTAATTCACTACAATAATTATATAGCTAGATAAACATCGAGATATCCCATCCTTCATCCCTGTTTCCATAACTTACAATAATAATGAGGAGAGGGATGGATGCCAGTTAAATAAAGCTTACAAGAGTGACAATTTGAGTGTGAAATTTAGCCTAGGAGGTTATTGTTATTAGATACTGTAATGGGAACTGAGCGAGCTTGGATGCGAGGTGTTGAAGTTGCGAACGAGCAAAGTGTGTACAGCCCTAGTGCATCTGAGTGTTGTTATATAGGAATAGGTACTGTTTGATAGATGTAGTTAGTGTGTTTATACACATCGAGTTCGATCGTGAAGATAATTTATTGGATGTTATATATGGATTTCTATCAGTGAATTCACCGTGACATACCCCCACACTCACTCCCTTACCTCAACCCTATGGGCCAAATCGCGATTTCACTTATCGCGTTCACTTCGTAAAGCCGTACACCTAAAATTGAAAGATACCGGGATTTTTAATACTTGCCTACCTAACTAATACACTACATTAACTTCATAATCAGAGTTTAGAAGATCATCTGATCTTTCCTTAGAACTTTAGCACTGCGTCACGGTATCTCCGAATCAAAACCTGGCTATACTCAATGAGAAATATATGATAACTTGAAGTTCGTTTGACTGATCTAATTATCAGTGTGCACTTTCGTACATCAAGTTTTCAAGTTATAAGGTTTGAAACTGAAAATATGATGCCATCATTAGGTTTTTAAATTATGTAATGCACTGGTTAAATCACCGATCACTTTACTAGTAGTAGCAGCCTCGACACCTCGAGAAACACCTTTTCTTGGTGTATAGGCAGTATCTATATATCCATTCTGCTTTCCATTTTTATTCTAATCGTCTCTTCAAAAATCTTCATGGCTTAGAGTTTGAATATTGAAGGTGGATATTTCTAGACATTTCGACAGCATTGCCATTAAATTTTCCATTTTCTCACAAAAATTAGATGAGTCAACTAATCTCAAATGTAACACAATGAAGACATTCTTCTCTTTCTCTCTGTATTAGGTAGGGTATTAGAGACCAAAATTCTTCGGGGTGACTTTATCATTCACCTCCTCATCCTAATTCACCTCGTTCCCTCTCAATAAGCGAAAGTAAACAAACCAGATCCACAATCTCGCTTCCTCTCTCTCCACTCCTTAGTCTATTCGCCACCCCCAAGACCAAAAGGGAAGAAGGCACACAATAGAAGAGGGGGAAAAAAATGGCAAAATAAGTAGTAGTAAATCCAAAAAAACAATTCAAAAGACAAAAACCTACCGCCCCCCTGCACGGGGGGCGGTAGGGAAAACCCCAGTCGGAAAAGGATTTTTTAGGACCCGGCGACACACTCCTAACCGCTACGCTAAGGCGCCGGTGTACTCCAGTCGCGTTTGTCGGTAGAGGTACTCGGGATTATAAAGGATTACATTACATCTATTGGCAACTCATGCTTATATAATTGTAAGATGAATATATAAAAGAACGTGTAAATAACAAATTTTGTTTCTTTAGTATATGTAAAGATATGAAGTTGATAGGAATTTTTGGTTGGTTCATGTTTACAAATTTCTTCCCTGCTCTGCTCGATCTTGGTCAAAGTCTTGCAGAATGCTAGAATGCTAGAATGCTAGAACTGTAAGAGCATACAGTACAGTGCGAACTTACAACAAACCACTCTATCATTCTTACCTCAAATTCTATTCAGTTGCAACCTTCTTTCTCATTCTCATAAAGTTACTCTCTGACCGCGATCCAAACAAACTCATACCCGTTGTCCAAATCCTCGCTTCTTCAGGGCCCGAATTTGTGAATTTATCACTTTCCTCAGTAATAAAGAAACAGAAATATGACAACAATGAGACTGATCCCAAGGAAATTGGTCACAGTACAGTCTGTACTTTCGATTTTTAAAACAATCATATGGAGATTAGAAACGAGCAATTTACTACTATGGCAAGTGCGACCTGACTGTGGACAATTCGTCTCGAAAGTCAAGATTCGCATTTTATCTAGGTTATTAGGTACTAGGTAGACAGATGTATTGAGAACAGAATCTACACAAGTTCTAGTGATGATGAGTGATGCGTTGATCAGTAACTTGTTACAGTGCAGCGAGATCATGTTCCCTGGGTTTTGCATCAATTCGTGAAACGTAGTCCTTGGGGTTAAAAGTAATATATGTAGCATATAGCAGGTCCTACCGGAAGAGCTAAGAGGTTTGTTGAATACTCGTGGTTTTCTCAGAGGCAACGAGAAGATTGAGGACTTGACGATGCTCATGGTCTATGAGGGCAAGTGATAAACCCAAGGCTTTTTGCTCCCTTTAAATGCTCTAATAAGATATGGAGTGAAGTTCCCCCCTTCGTAGATCCGTTGTGAACGAAGGGAAAAGAGGCTCGCTTGCCCGCAGTGTAATAGACATATCATCTTTTCGACTGCTCATATGGGAGAAAGATTAGTGGTCTAATGGTAGATATAACTTCTAAAATAGGGGCTGAAAAAGTATAAAGTTATTTTGGGCAGCTTTATGTGTATACGTTATCTTTGCATTGATATTGAAATGATGACCAGGTGAAAGGGGGGAAGAGATTCCTGTTGTAGGAAGATTGTGAGAGCCGGAGAGGTTGCAGTACATCGATTGAGGGGGACGTTTTCTATCCACCCATAGAAATAAGACGAGGTTAGATATAATAATGACGGTGAACTTTCTAAGTGATCGCAGATTTTATTGACTATCGGGGCCAAATTACTACCGACGATTCTGACCGAGATTTTACATTACCGATCAAAGCACAAGGCCTGCTAGACTGCCACCCGATCTTTTGCTTGAACATAGCTATCACTCTGTATTATTGTCGCAAAACATTTAGCTTTGAGTCCTCATGAAGTCGAATTTGTTTATTGTTGATATGATTATAGAAGGGTTTAATAGGGGTTCAAATAGCCATTCAAATTTTAATCCAGTTATCAAACTACAATCAAGAAGGCCTATGAGTTTTATTGAACTATACGGAGAATTGAATTAACTATAGCTGATTAGACCACAATTCAGAAGAAGAAAGAAGTAATATATACCAGAACTTACCGATCCCGGTGGCAATTGGTCCACATGACATCTAATAGTAAAAAGTCTTTGACCCTATACCGGCATGCTTAGTATATAAGGCAACGCTTAAGCTTGATCTATTCTTTAAGTCTTTAAATACGACTGTCCACATCCAGGACATAGGAAGAGGAAGCTACGCTCGATGCCTTGTCTCAAGTTTAAAGTTTCAAGTCAAACTGATGTGGCTTCAAGGGAATTTGCTATTAGTATGGATGACTTTGGAGCAACTGTTCACATATCCGCATGATTTACCATAACAACCAATGCAGTATGGTATGACAGTCAAAATAACAAATCGTTAACATGCAAATATATATTTGTGACTGAAACTGCTGGATAGAAATTCAGCGACGAGAATTGGTTTAGTGACATCCAATGTGTGGAAGTCTGTCACAGAACGAATGAGCCGTGGCAGGAGTCCTGTTGGTTGTCCAGGATCGAAAAGATTATCCCTCTCTAAAAATTGTTGAACATTGACCGAAAACATAAATCCAAAACATATATTTGCCGCATGATGATTGAGGTAGTGAGGCTTTTTATATGCTTGGAAGTACAGCAGGGATATCAATCATATCATTGCTAGTGAATTTAACATCTCCTGCAGTTTCAACAGTGATTTATTGTTCAAGATTGAGATGAATCGAATAGTGATCTTTGCGGCTCCGAGCGTGGATTTACCCCCCAACCATATATAAAAGGACTTGCCAGCCCTGAAAACAACTTCTGCAACCAAGAATTAAACCTGTTCATCCTGGCAAGCCTAAGCAGAAAATTTCCTACTAAAAAACAGCAGCAAGGCTCCTTTCCAAATATCACTGCTAGCTACACAGCAAAGTTCTACATGAAATTCCAATACCATTATTTCGGGCCATTCATTTGGAGACAGTTCTGCAATAGTGACGGTGAGAATGAGGTTGGATATTCAATTTAGCATGTAGTTCAACGATAACAAAGGCTAACCAACAAAAACAACAACACAAACTTGAGTACAAGAAACAGTCAGTAACATAGGGAAAGAATGGTCATCATGGCCAAATAATTCTGCAATGATAGAAAACTGAAATGAGAAATACTAGTAGGGACGGTGGGTAAATCCGTAGACCTCACCATGAGAAGGTTAGCGTAATCATAGTAGAAGTCTTCATCATCCTTAGAGACTTCCTGCACATCTGATTGTATACCAGAGTGATGAAAATTAACATGAGGATTGACTAAGACCTTGGTAAATTCGGGTATTTGGTCTTGGTGAGGTCTTCATGAAGCTTATCCTGATAGGGCTTGGACTAGTGAGTCGTCTTCATGAAGCTTATCCCAATTAGGTTTGGACTAGTGAGTCTGGTCTTCATGAAGCTTATCCCAATTAGGTTTGGACTAGTGCGATCACTCTGGTGAAGTCTTCATGAAGCTTATCCTAATTGGGTTTGGACTAGTGGGGTCAGGTTTTGCTAAACGATAGTTATCAGAAAAGACTCTAAAATAAAGAGGGCGAATCCCCTTTTCAATTCAGTCAATCCAATCCAAAGTTTCTAATTAAATCAGTAGGTTTATAAACAATAGAGATGGAAAGAATTTCTTAAGAAATTGAAACCGAAAGCTCCAATATTGAGACATGACTAATCGCGCCTTTATTATCGATTGAAGAAAGGTAACATGCTTTGGGTTGAAGACTTGAGATTTGAGGGGTTTGCAATTTGATGACTGACGCTTTTCCTGATCATAATCGATATCGTAGGTATATAAGATGACAACAATGGCGGAACTAGGACTACGACAACTATTATGAAATAGTTCACATCAAACGATAATAAAGTATATACTTCAATATAAAAGAAAACCTTCTTTGGTATTCTTTCGTACTCTACTGATGAGGATTCTGAGAACCAGTATGAGATCCTTTCTTCCATGTGTTCTACAATGACGAGTGAGCAGGGCTATTTATATATCGTATTAACTGGTTAGGAATATAATATCTTATAGGCAAAAAGAAAGTTTTGCAATAAGAAAAAACATAGACTTATTAGTCAATTAATACCTTATAAACCAGATTGATAATAAATATGATATCTAAATCTGTCTACTTAAGAACTACCGAGTACACATTTGAACACCCCAGAGTTGTTGTAACGAATCAGTACTCCTTCCGCTATCATGAAAATCATTGGATCTTTCCCCTGTGTGAGACACAATTCTAACCGATTAAATATCCACTTGGCTTCATTAGAAACGGTCGAGTGGCATCCATCTCCTGGAGTATATATTCGAGAACGGTCAGACTATGATGACTCGCATAGTAGTTCCTCACTCAAGTTCCATCAATCTCTCATATGGACGTACGCTTCTACTCTTACTATAAAGCAATGTCTCAAAAACACAGCTGAGCCATGGTCTATTACTCAAGAATATCGGGTATGAAAGTCAGAAAGTGTAACCTCATCCTGATGAGGTCTGACAATAATAACTATGTCAACGGTAACGCCATAAACGAATGAGGTGGACGAAACTGAGTAAAGGAGAATTTAGAATATTTAGAATCCAGAGTAATTAAGGATCCAAGGAGAAGATGAACTAGTATCTATAACTTCTTAGAATATGCCACCCATTTTTTTCAACTGCGAAGTCGACGTAATGCTGTAGTTGCATTGGAATAGAGCGAGGAGAAGAGTTGCATTATATACTCTTAGGAATGCAAACTCCCATGACAAGTTAATGTTATCTTCCTACCTTTGAAAATGTTTTATGCAGTTTCGTATTAGGGCGATCTGATCTCTAGATTCTAGAATCACTTTTGAAGAAACTAATATGTGAGATCTGGCGAGATCTTGTATAAAAAGACATCTCCTGCCATCCTTATGACACACAGC